CTGAAACAGAGCCAGCTCTGGGTCTGCCCGTCCTGTGATGTTCTTTCTTCTACCAGGTTTCCGGTAAACAGAAGTTTGATCCAAAAAACCCAGGCTAGGATGGCTTCCTGCTCATCCTGTAAGGGGGTGACAGCCTGCCCCTCCCTCAGGAAGTCCCTTTTCCAGTCTCACTTGTTAGACTAAGCACCTGTGAGTGGCCCACACTAGATCTGTGATGTCATCACGGATTGCAAAATGTGGGGTGCAAGTTTTCTTGTTATATACCAGTCACCCAGTCACTTCTTACTAGGTGTTGCTTCTTCGGATTTGGTGGCTCACACCTGTAATTCTAGCTACTTGAGAAGATCAGGAGGATTGCAGTTCAAAGCCAGCCCCAGACAAATTGTTCTCCAGATCCTATCTTGGAAAAAAAAAAAAATCACAAAAAAGGGCTGGTGGAGAGGCTCAAGTGGTTGAGCGCTTACCTAGCAAGCACAGGGCCCTGAGTTCAAACCCTAGTACTGCCAAAAAATAAAATTCTCAGTACATGAAAGGATTCAGCAATGACCAAGCTCCTCACTGAGCAGAGCCAGGGAGGTCAAGGTCAGGTGCTGAGTGCCCTCCATGCTGGAGGTGCTTGTGCATAAAATGGGCAAATAAAAATATCCAAGCAGGGTTTAATTACCTTGCTATATATTTGTGACAAATAATATTGGGTCTGTTTTAATGGCAGTGACAAAGTTTGCCTTAAAGATTTTTTAAAAAATGGTAATAATCCTCAACAAACTGTTTATGGAGGTGCACACCTGTAATCCCAGCACATGGGAGGTTGAGGCCTCAAGTTTGAGGCTAGCCTAGGCTACATAGCAAGACCGTTTCTTAAAAAAAAAAAAAAAAAATTCTCAACCAAGACTAACAAACTGAATGTGGCAATATATAAATACGATTATGTAGCTGGTGGGGAGTGGCTCCAATAGTAGAACACATCTCTAGCAATCTTGAGGCCCTGAGTTCAAACTCAGACAACCAAAAACAAAAAAAAAGCTTATGTACCATGACCAAGTAGAAATTATACCAGGAATGGCAAGTTGATTCCACATTCAAAAAAATCAATGATTGTGGTACACAGTATTAATAAAGACACTAGACAGTGTCAAGATGATGAAAGATAAAGGAAGACTGACAGTCAGGCACCCGTGGCCCATGCCTGTAATCCTAGCTGCTCAGGAGGCAGGGATCAGGAGGATCGCCATTTGAAGCCAGCCTGGGCAAATAGTTTGTGAGACCCTATCTTGAAAACACCGATCACAAAAAAAGGGCTAGTGCATGAAGAAGAACGAAATGTTATCATTCGCTGGTAAATGGATGGAATTGGAGAACATCATTCTGAGTGAGGTTAGCCTGGCTCAAAAAACCAAAAATCGTATGTTCTCCCTCATATGTGGACATTAGATCAAGGGCAAACACAACAAGGGGATTGGACTATGAGCACATGATAAAAGCGAGAGCACACAAGGGAGGGGTGAGGATAGGTAAGACACCTAAAAAACTAGCTAGCATTTGTTGCCCTTAATGCAGAGAAACTAAAGCGGATACCTTAAAGCAACTGAGGCCAATAGGAAAAGGGGACCAGGAACTAGAGAAAAGGTTAGATCAAAAAGAATTAACCTAGAAGGTAACACCCACGCACAGGAAATCAATGTGAGTCAATGCCCTGTATAGCTATCCTTATCTCAACCAGCAAAAACCCTTGTTCCTTCCTATTATTGCTTATACTCTCTCTACAACAAAATTAGAAATAAGGGCAAAATAGTTTCTGCTGGGTATTGGGAGGGGAGAAGGAGGGGGCGGAGTGGGTGGTAAGGGAGGGGGTGGGGGCAGGGGGGAGAAATGAACCAAGCCTTGTATGCACATATGAATAATAAAAGAAAAATGAAAAAAAAAAAAAAAAAGGGCTAGTGGAGTGGCTCAAGTGGTTGAGTGCCTGCCTAGCAAGCTCAAGGCCCTGAGTTCAAACCCCAGTACCACTGGGAAAAAAAAAAAAAAGGCAGTTTGAGAACCTGTGTCCCACACTAAAGATTAAGGGCACGTTACAGCTGAATGCTAAGGGCCAGAGAAAAGATATTAAGGGACAATTGTGGAAAAGCGAGTACGGTCTATGCTATGGTTTGGGTATACTTTGTCCCCACTCCCTGAATCCCATATTAAAGGTATGAAGTGTGCAGAAACTTGATCAGACTATGTTGTCCAGAGATGGGGGCTTTGGCAAGCAACAGACTAGATTCATTCTCTAGAGGGGGTGCCTTCATGACTGAATCCTAGTGGCTTTAAAGAAGAGGCAGGGACTACACACACATGCCCTCCTGCTGTGATGTGATGTGAACAGGGAGACCCTCGCCAACCTGTGGCACAGTTTGGACTTGCAGCCTCCAAAACTGTGAGCTAAATAAACTTTTCTCTATAAAATAGCCTGCCTTGAGTATTTTGTGATCATAATGAAAAGCTGCCTAATAATCTGTAGATTAGTTCAGAGTCTTGTATCAGTGTTAATCTTTGGCTTTGATAACTGTACTGTTGTTATATAGGATATTGAGGGCTGGAGGTATAGCTCAGTGGTAGAGCACTTGCCTAGCATTCGAGGTTTGATCCTCAGCACCCTCGCACAACAAAAATGATATTGACATTTGATTTGCCTTTTCTTTTCTTTTTTTCTTTTGGTGTTACTGGGGTTTGAACTTAGGGCTTCATGCTTGCTAGGCAAAAAAAAAAAAAAAAAAAGATTGCTTACCCTCCCAGTCCCCGGCCATCTCCATAGATTGGCCTTTTGCAGTTTATGGTCCTTTGTGTCTGGTGCAACTTAGCATCATATTTTCGAGGTCTTTGTAGTAGCTCAGAGGGATGCTTGGTGACACTCGGATAGCATCTGAAAAACTGCTTGATGATGCATGCTGGTACTCCTCTTGGCTTGCATAATGGTGTTATGGTTATGCCACGTAATGTTTTCACATTAGAGGAAGTCAGTTGAAGGGTAGAGCCCTTCTTTCCTTCTTCGTACCTTTTTCTTTCTATGTTTCCCAAGCTGGCCTCCAACCAAAGGTCCTCCTCTCAGCCTCTCCAGTAAAAAGGTGTGCACTACCATGCCCTTATATTTATATATTTACATATATTTATATTTTAAAGCTGAGGGTCTGCTGGTGTCTATTGTACTTATGTTGTGATTTCTTTTCAGTCTCATGGTTCTGCTGCCCTTTCTACCTGCGACAGGTTCTTGGTGAGTTCAGCATTCAGAAGGTTCCTTAGGGTTATGTAGAAACTAAAGTCACAGAAGACACATCCTGCAGAGCTGAGCCAGGATCTGTCACTTCCCTTGTGGTGCCTCCAGGGCCGGACGGGAGGATGGAGGGTGCCTGGAGGGCCTTAGGCTGGTCCTTCTATCCCTCTGAGCATGTCTAAGTCCAGTCAGGGCCCTGAGAGGCTGGGCAAGCTTAGAATAAAGGAGGTGAGGACTAAGGGACCCAGGGAGGAACTCGGGGGCTGAGACCGGGGTCCCTGCCCTGCACATCTGCCTAGGGACTTCCTCAGAAATTGCTGATGTCAGGCCTTGGCTTCCTGTTGCCAGGGTAGAGAGAATGAAACTTGGACGGGAGGACATCCAGACCTTGGAGGAAAGGAGAGCTCGGCAGAGAGGGCCTGAACTTGTACAGACACCCAGACATGCCTGTGGGCCCAGGGATAAGCTCCAATACAAGCACAGAGACATGGGTGTGCAGCACTCTACTGACAGGTGGCAGACAACCGCACAGGTCACATGGACACGCTGGTGCAAGGCCTGCCAGCACCTGTACCAGTGCTGGGTAGCAGTACTCCTCAGGCAGGCCAGGCAGGGCTGGCGGGTCAGTTCCTGGGGGCGATGATGAGCAAAGAGGACTGGGCACTGGGCCAATGAAGAAAGAAAGGGAATCTAGGGAAGCTCAGTAGGGGCTGGAACCTGAGCTTGGGGCAGCAAGGAAGGAGGCTGGCTGGGTAGCCAGGGTGCAGTTCCTGAGAGCACTTGACCCCCGACATGTTCAGACTCCCTTAATGTGACCAGGCAGAGTGAGGGAGCAGGACATCCTAGTGGCCCAGGACTAGGCCAAGTGACAGTTGCTCTGTCCCCTCTCTCCCACAGCCTAGCCTCCGCCAGTTCCTGTGGTGCATCTGTATCAGTCCAGATTCTTCTACCACTGGGTGACTAAACTCACCTCAAACCAGCTCCATCAGCCTAAAGGGGAAGTTCTGTCCTGTCCCCTGAACAGCCCAGGGGAGTGTGCGAGGCAAGGTGGACCCCCAGGGCTCCATGAGTTCTCAGGTGCCCCAGTAGTCTCCCTCCCTACTCTAAGCTTCCCTTCCAAGCTGCTAAGAACTTTCCAGAACTGCATCTCTCTATCTTGAGTCAGCCTTGGCTCACACAATTTTGGCTCCTATGGCCATCCCACAGGCCTGGGGAAGGGTAGAAGTCAGCTGTATCTAGACCACAGGATCTAAGTGTGGGGCGGTTTGGGGCCTCAGGAAAAGAACCATTATCCTGAGCCAAGTGGGATGCTGGGAAGGCAGAAATACCAGGTGACTGTTGCAGGGTCAGACACCCTGACAGTGATGGGATCAGCCATCTCAAGTAGGTTGACCACCTTGCCAGCCAGGAGGCCTTGGGACAGGTGCCTCCTCTATAGCCTGAGACAAGATGACCCTTGTGAATGGAGGTTAGGAGGCTGGTGCCTAATGTTGCCTGGAAGGAGCGAGAAGGTGGCCAGGCCTAGTGTAGCTAGGAGCACTTGGACTCCATCATGAGGCCAAAGAGAGCTGGGCAGCGTTCAGTCAGAGCTGTGTTATTGAATAGCCCTGGCTGGGGGAGGGGGGGCGTGGAAATAGATAACTGTATGTGTCTTGGGGGGAATCTGGGCTGGAAGCCCAGGAGCCTAGAGCCTGGGACTGAACCCAGAATGCAAGGGAGGTCTGAAGGGTCAGCTGGAACCTACTAAGAGTGTAGGGTCTGAGAGAGACTGGGGCACAGGGCAGCTAGACACACCTAGGAGTGGGCCTGGCTGGAGAGCTTGGGCTCTATGGGCACAGAACTAGGCTCTAAATGGGCAAGAACAACCCAAGGGGGAAGTGGCCAGGCTCTCCCCAGCCCTGGTTTCCGCCTTCCCAGCCTGCCCAGGCTCCCTGCCTCTGTGGGCATAGTCACGCCCCGCCATCCCCCTAAGAAGCAGTGGGGAGGGCACTGAGGCTCTTCCTGTCCTGGGCTGGCCTCTGAGCAGACAGGCTGGTAAGAACTCTGTAGCTAGCCCTGCACTGCTGGCACCATGAAGGACGAGGTGGCTCTTCTGGCTACGGTCACCCTCCTAGGAGTCCTGCTGCAAGGTGGGCTGGCTCCTGTCTGGGAGGTGGGTGGGCCTCAGACGCAAGCAGTTTGCTTGTGACCTCCAGGCCCAGGTGAAGGGCAAAGTGGGCCTCCAGCCCTGGTTCCTGGGGTCAAGGCCTAAGGTCTTCCAGGGCTACTGGAGACTGTGTGGCGAGGGTTTGAGCACCAATTCGGGGCTCGCACTTTCCTGGAGCAGGGAAGGGGAAACCCTGGAGGGTGAGCAGCGAAAGCTCTGAGCAGGGACCAAGGCTAAGAGGGGTGATTGAGCAAGGGGACAAGCAGTAGGATAGCAAAGACTGCTGAGGGACCTTTGAGGTAGGTATGCCAGGTACTTGCCATGGGGCTAGGGACAAGGGCTTTCTGGGACCTAGGTCTGGCATGCAGCTGTGTGGAGTTGGGGTGGGAACATGCAAGATGAACCAATGAACTGTGGGACAGTCATAAGCATGGGGCAGCTGGACCCTGCCCTTTTCACTTGTCCCCTCTCTGGACAGCTCAGTGAAAAGCCTGCATCCTGATCCTGCCTTCAAAGTCACTCTCCATCCTGAGACAATGTCGAACTAGACAGGGTGGGAACCTTCTACCCTAGCCCCCTAGCCTACTAAGAGGTGCCTGCTTGTGCCCTTCGCAGGAGGCCATAGGGACACATTCCTGGGTCAGCCATTCCTACTGTTTGAGCACACCAGTGCTCCAGTGTATGGGCCAGGATGAGTCAGCTGGTGGGTGGGAGCCCAGAAGGGATTGAACAGACAGGGCAACTTTGTCCTGCAACTACCCTAGAAAGGAAGGCCCTCAGCTTCTCCTTAGGTAGACACAGGCCTGGCTCCAGATCCTACACTGTGCTGGCATGGCCACCCCTTGGCACCCACAGTGCACTTGGAATGGTACATGTGTACAGAGGGCCTAGTATCAAAGGTACCAGGGCCACAAAACTTACAGGAAGATAGGTGGGGTTGTGTGCATGTTCAGGGCCAAGAGAAGGGTCTTTTGGAGCCCCACATCTCTGCCCCTGCACTGGGTTAGGGCGGGAGAGTCCCAAATGAACCCTTTAGGAGCAGGGGAAAAGATGTCTGCCAGATGTAAGGCTGAATTCCTTATGTTTGAACAGAGAACAGAGAAGCTGAGACCTAGGGCACAGTTTGGAGGCCTGGGAACCCAAGGCTTGCCTAAGACAGAGTCAGGATGTTCTTCTTGACTGACTCTGTGGATGGGCAACCAGAGTCCCTTAGCCACAGAGTAAGAAATACAGCCAATTTTGCCCTGTGGCACTACCGACCTAAGGACTAAAAGGCTGAGGTCCATTCCAAGACTGGGAGCTAGGATTTGCCTGTGTTTTGCAAGTCAAATGGTCCAGTTGCAAAGTCACAGGGGCCCTTGTCTCAACAGGTGTCTGTTATCTGCATCACCCTCCCTCCACTCTCACAGGTGACAGAGCCTCTCTGCGCCCAGGGGCTTAGCTCTGCCCTCGCCATTGGCATCGCTGACACAGGGCAGGCGGGACAGGAGTCAGGAGGGAGTTAGAGAGGGGTCGTTTAGCGTGGAGAAGTGAAGAGAAGGGAAAGAGTGGAGCCAGACTGGAGGATGAGCCCCGCCCCAGGTTTGCAGGGTGTCCCCACCTGACTCTCGCCTTCCCTCTGCCCCAGCCTACTTCTCTCTGCAGGTGATCTCCGCGCGCAGGGCCTTCCGCGTGTCGCCGCCGCTCACCACCGGCCCGCCGGGGTTCGAGCGCGTCTACCGAGCCCAGTGAGCCCGGCGGGAGGGTGCGAACGAGTGCCACGCGGGTCAGGGTCGGAGGACCAGCCGGGCCGGCGCCCTCACCCTTCCCCGCCTCCACCGCAGGGTGAACTGCAGCGAGTATTTCCCGCTGTTTCTCTCCAGCCTCTGGGTCGCTGGCATCTTCTTCCACGAAGGTCTGGGGGCAGGACTGGGGCGCAAGCACTGGGCCTCCTTGGGTGCCAGCTCCAGCCTGCTCACCCCGCCCTGCCCGACCCCTGCAGGCGCGTCGGCTCTGTGCGGTCTGGTTTACCTGTTCACGCGCCTCCGCTACTTTCAGGGCTACGCGCGCTCGGAGCAGCTCAGGTGAGAACCGGGCGACACTCCCGGCAAAGCGGGGCCGGGGAAGGGTCTCTCGTCAGTGCGGCTCTGACGGCCGGGGTCCCCAGGAGAGAGCGGGCGGCGAGCGGCGGGTTGCGAGTGGCTACCTTTGATAGGCAGCAGGTGGGCGGGCCCTCGTAGGGCTGGTGGGCGGTCCTAGCCCGGCGGGGGCGGGGCCGAGATCCGGGGCGGGGCCCCCGCTCGCCCCGCTGAGCACCGCCCGCCCCCGCTGAGCACCGCCCGCAGGCTGGCTCCGATGTACGCGAGCGCGCGCGCGCTCTGGCTGCTCGTGATAATGGCTGCGCTTGGCCTGCTCGTCCACTTCCTCCCCGCCACGCTGCGCGTCGCGCTCCTCAGATGGCTCCAGGCGCTGCTGCCGATAGCCTGAGACCGAGGACCGCCGGGTTGGCGGAGCTGAGGAAGAAGAGCCGGTGCACAAGGGAGGTGTACCCACCCTTGCCTCCCAGTCCCTATTAAAAGTTCCCGTGACCGCTTCCGGCTGCATTGTCGGTGTCGTTGGGCGTCGTGCACCGCGGGTTAGGTGGCCCGGAGGGGCCCAGCCCCGGACCCTGGCAGTCCGATACCCGGGCTTCCGGAGGCGGCGTGGGTAGGGACGCGAAGGAGACGGCGGGGCTCGACCCATTCTTCTCAGCCCTGCTCTCAGCCTCTGGGGCAGCTCGCGTGGACCGTTTCTGGCCAGGGGTGACCACCCCTCTCCTCCTTCCCCCCTCAGGCCTTCCCCTTTCTGATCCTCGGCTGCCCTATTCCTCATCCCATCTGGTCTCCCCCTCCCCCCACATGCCTCTAGCCTTCCCCTCGCACCCCCCAATCCTCCTTTACAACCAGAGCTGGTCTCCCCAAGTTTCGGCCGTCTAGAACAGTATGGGGCTGGAGGAATGGCTCAAGTGGTAAGAGCGTCTGCCTTGCAAGCGTGAGGTCCTGAGTCCTGAGTTTAAACCTCAGTGCCGCCAAAAACCAACCAAACAAAAAAACCCACACCAAAAACAGTAAATCTAGGTAGGCCCGCAAGGTAGTTCCTAGCACTCGGAAAGATGGTGCGTTCATCGTCAGCTTCACATAAGTGGGACTTAGTCACAAAAAAAAGAAAAGTATAGGTGTCCACGGGGCCCCCTGATAGGTTCTCTCAAGAAAATGTAAAGGGGGAAGGGAAGGTCTGGCAGAGTGGTTCAAGTGGTAGAGTGCCCTGCCTAGCAAGTGTGAGGTTCTGAGTTTCGAACCCCAGTACTACCAAAAAAAAAAATTGAAAGTAAATGTAAGAGTGCCTTGAAGGAGACCAGACACACAGAAGACCTATTGACAATACATCGCTAAATGCCTTTTAACCTAGTTGACAGAGGGAGGAAAAAGCTTTCCAGCAGGGCCAAGGATGTGTGCAAAGGCTCTGAAGTGGGTAGAGATGGCATTTGTTTTAGGGAAGAGGACCCTATTATGTGTCAGGAAACCAGCGAAGAGAGGTGAGCAGGAACCTGGGGGACCCATGATAAGGACAGAGAACCATGAAGGTGGGGGAACAGGGAGATTTGGGACTTTGAGGCATGAAGGGAAGGAGGGAAGGCTGGAAGGCATCTGGGGCGGGTGAGGCCAGCCCATGTATATAGGTAGGAAGGGGCATGCTTAGGGTGGGAAAAACTTTGGGCACCTGGACATGGTTTCTGAGTTAGTGAGTGGGTGGCCAGGTCCCTTCCTCAAAGTGGGGGTGAAGACATGCTGATCTGAGTCATAGGAGCACTGGCACACACACATGGAAGGCCAGTCTGGGTCCTTAGATTAGCCTAAAGAAGGCAGGGTCACAGTCACTGCAGCCACTGCTCAGCAGACACTGTTGGGGGGGGTCTCCCACTGGGGACACCCCCAATTTACAATCCAAAGGTTTAAGGGCCTCCTGGGGCTAGGCCAAGGGCAGAGACAGACGAGAAGGTGCCTGCCCATTAGAAGCACATACTTCATTAACCCTTTATTACAAGTCACGCTCTTATAGAAGTATATGTGGACTTAAGTGAAAAAATCAAATGTATCCAAGAATAAAAAACACAGCACATAAAGTAGTATATGCATTCCAGTGTTCGCGCCAGAGACAGCAGACGCCCAAGAAAAAGCTCTTCTAAAACGGCCTGGCTCAAGCCAGCCGGTGCGAACGGTTCGTTCTCGGTTCTCGGTTCGGGCGGCAGCGGGCCGGCCCTCAGGCACAGTGTGGGGGCCGCCTGCCTCCTCCTGCGGCCGGGCAGGCGGGGGCAGCACCAGCTCCTGGGGCCTCCGGGCCAGCGGCGGACCCCAGGCCGGCTGAACCCTCTGGGCAGAGTGGATGCGCCTGGCCCTCCAGGGGCAGCAGCAAAGACATCCTCCGGATCGTGGGCTTCAGAGTTGGCCACAGAGCACCCTCGGAAACCCTCCACTTAGTCTGCCTTTTTCAGGAAGATCTGGAAAAGTTGAACTCGGTGTCAGCCCAGGTCCTGCCCGGCCATGGTCTAGCAGGCTGCTCCCTGCACCCTGCCCACCTCACCTCGCTCAGAATGACCCACACCGGGGAGTCAGTCTGGATGGAGAGGCGCAGTGCTTCCAGGGGGCCAAAGGCAGGGTCCACCTCACCTTCTGCAACACCCTTGTAGAAGGAGCCTATGGGAGGGCAGTGCCAAGAGGTAAAACAGCCAAAGCCAAGTGTCCAGCCCAACCTGACCAGCCGCTCAGCCCAGCCTGGCTCTCCCACTCACCTATCTGGAGGTAGCCATCAGGGCTCCGGGGGTACCGTAGAGTGGCTGAGCGACCCTCCTGTAGGGCCTCCTTCTCCGACTGTGGGTTCTGGAGGACAAAAATCAAGGGGCTAGAGCAGGTGGCCAGCAGAGGGAGGCCTTGGGGTGCACCCACACCCTGCCACACTCACGTCAAAGGGCAGCACCTCCACGGATGTGTTGAAGAGCTTGTCCTCTGGGTGCTCGATGTTTCCGCTGCGGAAGAAGAACCTACAGACCGCCAGGCAGGCGAGTGAGTTAATGCAAGGGTGGGGCACTGCCAGGCACACTGCCCAGGACCAGCAGAGAAAAGGCTAGGCCAGGTCCAGGAAAGTACTGGCGAGCCGCAGATGCCGGGTGGGGGAGGCCGGGCACCAGCGTGTGATGTTTATGTGATGTGCGAGGCAGCCGGGCCTTGCCTGGGACAATGGTGATGGGCCTGCCTGACAGTCCTTATAAGGTAGTACGGTACCACTACCAGCCCGGCTTTTTGGAGGAGGGGGGTGGAATGGGAGGGTTTTAACTCAGACCTTTGCGCATGCTAGGCAGGCCCGCTACAACTCGAGCCACGCCCCAGCCCTTTTTTGCGTTGCTTTTTGGATAGGGGCTCCCGTTTTTCTGCCTGGGCGGCCTCCTCCTACTTATACCTCGGCTGGTAGGTAGGAACACGCGCTGTGAGCCCCTTTTCAAATAAGGAACCTGAGGCACGGTGGGGTTAGATAATGGTGAGGTTAGCCAATTTCCTAGGGGCCCAGAAATCTGCTCCGGGCCTTGTACCCGGGTGGTCCCCCTCCCCCTCCCCCAGGAGCACTGACCGCTCAAGGCGCAGTGGCTGGAAAAAGCGGAAGCGGATGAAGTCCCCCGCGGCGGGCGTGAAGGCCCAGAAGAAGTCCTCGCGCAGATAGGCCTTCTCCAGGGTGAAGTGCTGGTACGTCTTGAGGCTCGTGCTCACCTCCGCTGGCGGGTTCACATGCTCCTTCCGCAGGGCTTGTTTCCCAAAGTCCTTGTCCTGAGCAGGCAGCACAGGAGCCGCAGCGAGCGTGAGCCCCGCCCTCCGCCCCAGGCCGGCGGGTTCTGCCTAAGCCCCGCCGCTGCACCCCACCTTCAGTTTCTGTATCTTGCCCGCCAGCGAGGAATGTGTGCCCACATGCTGGAAGAGGGAGGGTTTGAAGCGGATCCGAAGGTTGGCCTTCTGCCGGTCACAATGCTTCTGTGAAGGGAGGTGACACTTTAGGGCTCAGCTCAACCCGGCCTCCAAGGACAACCAGGGGCTTCCCACGGAAGATCAGCCACCTCCTCTGTGACCTCTGCATCCCCTGCTCACCGCATCCTTCTCGGGGTTGCAGACCTTCACCCACAGAATGTGGTCCAGGAGCCAGTCGATGGGCTTGTCCCGGTAGAACATGAGGACGAACTCCACAATGAGGCTGAGGTCCAGCGACTTGAACATCTTCCCTGGGGGAGGAGGGGACAGGGGCTCTGAGTGGGGACACTGCTGGACACTACTTCCTCTGAATTCTTCTGGGGTCATGGGGAGGGGCCCACAGCAAACCCTGAGGGGGGCTTCTCGCAGGTGAATGTCAAGACAGCGCTGGTGAGCACGGACATCCCATGCTGGGGTGGGGAGCGGGCTGACAGATGGCGGCAGAGGGTGGGTGAGGATGGGGCTGAGGGCAGATCCGCGGGGTGGGGCCCACCAATGAAGCCCAGCTGTGAGAACTCCAGGATCATCCAGTCCTCCGAGGGCTGCTGGAGGGCGAAGTTCTTCATGGTGCTCAGGTAGTTGGGCTTGGCTACGATGTCGTCCTCTAGCTGCATGGGGCAGGTGGGAGGGGTTGAGACTCAGGATGGGTGCAGGGCAAGACAGGGTGCCTCACCCAGGCCCAGCTGGTCCTCGGTGGGCAGGGGCAGAGCAGGGCCTTGGGGCTGACCTGCACGTAGTAGATGCCTTTGGACTGCGCATACATCATGAGGAAACAGTAGTCGAGGTTCTGTTTGGTCCTCCACCTGTGGGCCGGGGCAGGGGCTTCAGCAGTTAAAACCTCTCCAACTCCAGTGTGACCACCACAGCAAAGCCACTGAGTGGGCAGGACCTGCCTTCCACCCACATGTGGAGCAGGGGGTGCCTCCAAGGGAAAACCAGAGGCACTGTAGGCAAGTGCCCTGCACTCAGACACCAACTGTGGCTTCTCAGCCTAGGTGTTGATTGCTGGGGGTTGGGGTGGTGGGGTGGGGTACAAGTACCTGACTCTTTCCTTGGGGTCCCCAAAGGACTCTCGGAGGCGGGAGAAGTCAGGGTAGAAGTGGGGGGAAGGTGAGATGACTTCCAGGAGCCCAGAATGGATCTCTGTGGGGAACCTGGGGGGAGGAGCAGGAAGGCTCAGGGGCTTGTGTGGCTAAGGCAAAAGAGGGGTGCCAAGCTGATCAGACCCTCCCTGCCCCTTTCTGGAGGCTCACCAGACAGACGTCCTCCCACCCCCACAACCAGTCTACCGAGGCACTGGGGCTCTGAGCCTCTTTCCCCCAGAGACAGGACACCACCCTGGGGAGGCAAGTCCCTGCCTGCCCAACACCCAACTGACAGCCCTTCCTCCACCAGCTTTCTCAGGCTGCCCGTACTCACAGGGCTTTGATGTTCTCCGTCACTGCTGACGTGTACTGTGGGTCAGTCTGTGGGAAGACCAAGCACCCTCTCTTAGCCCAGCTGCCACCCCAAATGGCTGAAGAGGGAGAGGAGCACAGGCTTCAAGTATCCCCACATGTGGAGGGAGTGAGCCTCTCGTCCTGACAGCCCAGTAAGGCTGGGCCTGCTGGGTCACAGGTATGTCAGAAAAAGCCCTTTGGAATACATAGAACCCTGGCCAGGTATGGGGGTAGGGAGTTCGGGGGAGAGGGTAACTGGGACCAGATAACTGGCATCTCCATGAGGGGGCGCTAATGCTTCTTTCTTTTTAACTTTGTCTTCAAAAATTTGTGAATGAAACTGACGATTGCACTTCTGATTGTTTTTTCCTCTGGAATGTTGTTTTTACTTCTCCTCCCGGTTAATCTGCGTGGCGGGTCTTACCCCTATGTCCCCTACCCCATTCCCACGCCCTGGACCACTCGCCTCGGCGATCAGCACCACGATGACCGAGTCTTCCTTCTCCTGGGGACTCAGCTCGGAGATGAGTGAGCGCAGCGTGTCTGTCAGGTACGAGTGCACCTCGCGTCGCACGCTCGGAATGCCCATCACCACGGACACTACAGGGGCGCGGAGGGTGACACTGGGCAGGGCGCCAGGGGCTGCCTCACTGCCTGCCTCTCGCCCCTCCCAGGCCACACCCCTACCTCCAGTGCGGCCCTGGCCCACGCGCACCGCAGGCTGCAGACTGCTCTCCTTGGCCAGTAGGTGCGGCAGGTGGTGGAAGACGGTGGGCAGGTGCAGCACGTGCCTGTGGGAGACGTTCCACGGCTTCAGTCGGGGGTCCTCTGGGTGGGTCGGAAAGGGACGAGTCAGTCAGAACGGCTTGCAATCGGCCCGTGCCGCAGGCGTGTTCCGCCCGAGAGCTCACCTGTTAGACGACCCCAGGTGCGATTGCCCTCTCCGTCTCGCAGCGCCTGCCTCTCCGACACGGCCCTCTTGATCTCGTCCAGCACCAGGTTGAGCTCCTTGGAGCGCTTAAGGCTCTCCTGCTCAGCAGCGTGCAAACGGTCGCGCAGCGCCAGAAACTCCCGCTGGTAAATGTCCACCACGTCGCCTGCGGGGCCACACGCAAGCCGTCACCAGGGGGCGGTCGCGAAAAAATACAGATGAGTGCCCATCTGTGCAAGAGCATGTCTACATCTGTTCTCCTGCCTGCAGCGCACAAGCTATCTGGGGTTACGGGAAGGTCCGTGTAAGGTCACAATGATGCTCACGCTTGGGATAGAAAAGCCCCAGCAGGTGACCTAGCCTTCTCTCAGTACTGTCTCTCAACTTCAGTTATGTTCTCCTTGAGGAGGCATCTGAAGTGGGCAGGCGGTGAGTCACTTCCAGTCCTGACAGGGAATCCTAAGCCAGCGGTGAACAGCCTCAGACTGAATTCTGGTGTGCTTTCATTCCCCAAAGCTCCTTCTTGCTTCTTGCAGCAGTGCTCCTGGAGCAGGACACTCAAGGTCCCATCCAGTGTGCAAGGACTCAACCCTTCCTCCAGGGGCTCCTAAGTCCCAGCTTTCCTTCTCCCTCAGGCCACCTCTATGGACCCTAGGGACAGTCTGCCTCCTTGGATTCTTACTCCCACCCTCCAAGTGGGGCTGAGCCTAGGTTCAGAGTCTGCAACAGTGTGCCCTAGGGAACCTGTTCTTCACTGACCTCATGGTGGGTACTAGTTGCTCACTCTGCAATGGATTCTGTAGGGGGTGGGAGATGGTGGGAGGTGCAGCTGCTACAGATTTTCAGCCCTCCTCCCCCCACCCCCGACATTCCACTCCACCCCTGTGCTCAGATAAGCAAATGAAGTTGAGAAACTACCCCAGGGGTTGCTCAACCAGTCAACAGCCTGGGACAAGCCTGAATGGCCTCATGCCTGTGTCTCTGAGGACCTGTGCTAAGCCTGGGCTACCTCAAAGGGCTGTGTGCCACCCCAGGGGATGCACGGCAGAACCTCCAGCTGGACCCCAGCTGGCAGTGGCTAAGCTCAGACAGGAGAGGTGGAGGCAGGCTGGGAGCAGCCCTGACAGTGGAGAGGAATCCCCGGGGTGTCAAGCACCTGGCTCCACTGGTCTGGCAGAGCCAGAATGATAAACAACATCTCTATGGCTGGGTGCCAGCTGCTCTGCCAGCCCAAGCACTCAAGGCCTTTGTTAGTCTGGCTTTTGGCCTCTTTATTTGCCCGTCACCTACACCTCCTCTTCCTTGGCTAATGCTGAGCTTCTGTGCACGCTGCTTTTTCTGCCTGAGTCTCCTTTTTTCGTGGGGCCTAATGAAAGAGTATGTAGCCTTTGGAAGCCTTGTTTCCAAGTCTGCATGTCTAGGAAGACTTCCAGAATTCCTCTCCTATCCCGGAGGCCCTTCCGTTGTTGTTGCCTGACCTCTGGTGGGTTCACAGATCCCAGGGCGCCCTGGAATGGTGCTACCTTCCTCCTCTCCAGCCCTATAGGCCAAAGCCAGTTGGGTCACTTCAGGACACACCTTCCCCAGTGCAACAGCTGGCTGGAGGGAGGGGTTGGGGGACAGGGAAGCCAAGTGGGATGCTCCTGAGGCACCCCTCACCCTAGCAGCCAGCCCCCCCCCCCAGTCTTCCCACACCCTGCCTCACCTTGCTCCTGGGACAGCCCTGGGGGGGGGCGGCGGGGGGGGGGAGTGGGAGTCAGGTTACCGGATCTGTGAGGCTCTCTGCTGGGCTCTTAGGCCAGGTTACCCGGGAAACCTGACCCCTAGAACACAGAGTGGCCACCCCCAACACCGCTCTGCTGGCAGCACTGGGACTGTCCTCTTCTCAGTAATAGCAGACAGCCAGGACAAACTGGCGGTGCAAGGTCCTCAGAGCCCCCAGGAGGGAGTTCAGAGCTGCCTAGCAGGACAGTGGTCTCCCTTGGTCTGGATGCAGCTGGGTCCCTGCCCTCCCCCAGGCCACCCTGTGCCTAAGGGATCCTGTGGCTAAGGGGCAGCTTTGTGCCACTGGCCCCCCTGAGGTGGGGCTACTCTGAAAGGGTAGGAACATGCCACTCTGAATTCCTGCCTGGTTCCCAGATCCTGACCTTCCTTGATCTTTAAGGCTACTGAGCTCTGACCCACATTGAACTGCCCTAGGTGGACAGTCAGCCAGGCATGCTCTGAACCACCCTAAACATTTAGGCCTGGAAACAGCTGTTCCCTGCCCTGGCCTCCCTTCCTTGGGGGCCTCCCTTCTCCCCAGGTCCTGACCTTCCTCTATTTATCAGCAGGTAATGGGCCCCTTGAGTTTCTGGGTCTGGCTCCTACCCACACCTGCTGTCATTTTCCTGTCCCTCAGCAGCCCAACCCTGCTCCTCGCCTCCAAGATCCTTGATTGACCCTCGTCCCCAGCTTCTCTGATTGGGGTCCACTCTGTCCTTGTCCACAAAGACAGAAACTCAAGCTCTGTGACTGCCTTCTCTTACTATGGGGCTCTGCCAAGCTATTGGGCACCCCACAACCTTCATGCGCTGCATGGTGAATAGGGTGAGAGGCAGCTCTGGTGGTGAGGGTGGCAAGGTCTGGGGAGCCTTTGGTTTCTCTGGGAGGGTGGAGCAAGTAGGGCAGAGGCTCCAGAGACCTGGAGGACTTTGGCTTCTATTCTCACCCATGTCTTCCTTCCTACTGCAGGTGGGGCTGGCCCCAGGGAAGGGCTATGGCGTGACCACAGTATTGTGATCGATGTTGACCACTCTAGGCAGTATAAGGCCTCCAGGATTGCACATCCCTCCCTGAAGGCAGAATGACCAGGATGGCCTGAGGCCCACATACCACACCATTCTACCTTGTTCCCTCTTGGCCGAGGAAACAGATTTCCGAGCCAAGTTGGGTCTAGCCCTTGTACTTGGGGAAGAGGAAAGGCTCAGAGGATCACAGGCAGGTGCCAGGGCTGTGGAGAGTGTCAGGCATCCACCTCCTCTCAGGGCTGCAAATTGCACCCTTCCAGGAGTCAGAGGGGATGTCCATTGTTGCTAAAGTCTGGACATGGGAAGACTGTGTGGCTTTGGCCCAGGGTCATCCCTCCCCAGAGATGGGTCCTCATCAAGTGCCTGGCTGAGAACTGCATTTGTGCCCTTCAGAGCTGCTTTGCAAATGTGACCAAGGCTGGATATGAAATGAGACCCCTGACCTTCTTCCTTCCAAGTTCTGAGTCCTTCCTGCATTTGACTCAGGCTTCCAGGATGGATCCATTCCTGCTGCCCCCTTCCTCTCTGACTTCCTACCTCCTCCCTTCCCTGCTGATTCCAGTTCCTTGCTAAGAACTGAGCCCTCTTCTGAGCACACATCTGCGAACTGGAAGCTACGATCCAGTGTGGCCTCAGACTGGCTGAGTGTGGCTCCACTGTAGGCTTACTACAGAGCTCTGTGCATGGAAGATCAAGAAGAGTTCACAGACTAGTTTAGATTTCTGGCTTCCATCAAGACCTTCAAAAACTGGCCCCCTGCAGAAATAGAGACAGCCCCTGGAAAGAGCAGGCCTGGTGACTGTCCTCTCCATGCTCCACAGGCTCCTGCGCTTCTGTGTCCCAGAAGGAAGATCCCCTGCCTCTGAGCCCCCACCTTGCTCTAGCTGGGGATGATCTCACACTCTCTAGGTCCTGAGAGTGCCAGCCTCCTGAAAGCCCTTTAGGCACGGCTGGCCCTAGGTGAAGCCACCTGTGTCCCTCTCATTCTGCTTCCTGCTTGAAGCTAGGGCCCCGAGAGTAACAGGCATAAGGCTACTGCAGGAGGTGCACAGGAACTGTGACCTTGCTGAGAGTTAGGGGCAAGGGCTCATCTCCCAGCCCATAATCAGACGAATGAGCCTACCGAGGCCTCCAGGCCAGTCTGCTTTTGTGGCCACTCTCCCAAGGACTCAAAATATCCTCCCCCGGGTGACCTACAGAGAATTCTGCCCTGCCATGCTCTTCCCACCCCCACAGCCTCTGCCCTGGCTGTCTCCAATCTGGGTTAGACTCTAGGGGATCTCTCTTCAGGGTCATGGACTTTCATCCTGGAGCCCCAAGGGAGTTCAGGCTTCCACCCAAATGAGACAAGTCCAGAAGGCTAGGCTGGGCTGGGCTGGTGGTAACCTGGTGGGGACAGTTGGAAGCCTCCAGCTCCCCCATCATACCTCCTCCCCCAGCTTCATCTAGTGCACTGTTGGGGAACAGGGAAGTAGTTGGTAGGAAGGAAGTGGAGGGAAGCAGAGGGCTGGCTGGCCACAGTCTGATCCTGCAGGAAGACCAGGAGGCCGGAAGGAAGCCGCTTTCCTGGTGCCTCCTGAGCTCAGGCAGGGTGGACAAGAGCCTCTGAGGGCCTCAGGCTCCATTCAGCCCAAACTACCCCACCCCAACCTTTATCAAATGACCCTAGCCAGTGTTGAGCCTGGCCCCTCCACCCTCAAGGGTGCTGCCAAGACTGCCCAAGCTTCAGATGTGTGTCAGAGAATGGGGGTGGGCCAATGAGACCCCACAAAGTGAGTGATCAGATGTGTGTGGGGAGGAGGGGCTGGACCAGCCGCTCATGAGGCCCTTCACTCACTCTGGACAGGTCAGAAGGCGCAGGCAGGCTTCCCTGGTATCTATGTACCAGCAGAGGAGTCTTGGGGCTGGGTACCATGGAGGAGGGTGGCTGGCTCCCCAGGGAGGAGTACACAGCAGCAGCCTGGCCCTGGGCTAGGGCAGAGCGGAGGGAGTGGAATGGCGCGGGCGTGGGCTGGAAGGTGGTGGAAGGTAGTTCCTGGCTGTCTTGGCTGTCCCCTCACACCTGTCTCAAGAACACTGTTCCTGCTCCTGGTTCAGATGCCTGAAGTTGGTTCCTTGGGACACTTGGTCACAGCTACCTCTGTGACCTTGTGTCTGTGCCCCTCTGTGAGAACTCCATAGGTTTTCAACTTGCTAGTGGGAGCGACCGCCCCTGGCATTGGGGATAACTGTCCGGCGGAGGCCAGTCCCCAAGCGCCACACGGGGCAGTGGCCGGCGATCGGGCCCTTGGCCCGGCCCAGGCCGGTGGAGAATTTCGTGATTCCAGCAGCAAACAAGTGGGGGCGAGGAGGGGAGGGACGTCCTCCCGCGCTGCCCAGCCGGGGAAGGGGTGCCCGCGTCGGCTTCCGGCCGCCTCTTGCGGCCCGCACCCGGACCCCGCTCGGCCACCGCCGCCCAGGTGCGCCCAGGTGTGGGGCGGGCGCGGGGCCACAGCCGGGCGACAACGGGGGCTGGGGGGGGCTCACCTTTCTGGCCGCTGAGCGCCGCGTACCAGGACAGCGAGAGGAAGGCGCACAGGCAAAAGAGCAGCAGCGTCAAGAAGGTGCCATTGCGGAGCCTCATCTCCTCGGGTGCGCGGCGGGCGCCGGCGGGGCCGAGGCCGCATGGCCCGGGGCACCGGGGCCGGGGCGCAGGGGCCGGGAGGCGGCGGGGGCCCCGGCCCCGGGGCGAGGAAGGGCTGGGGGCCCGGGGCCGGGCGGGGATGCGGCGGGGCCGGGATGGGGATCGGGCCCGGGGACCGCGCTGGCTGCTCCTCCGGGGCGCGGGACACTGGCGGCCTCGGCTCGGCGGCTGGCCGGGTCGGGCTGGGCAGGACTGGGCGGCGAGAGCCGCGGCCCGGCCTGAATCCGGGGCCGCCGCGGAGTCGACAGCGAAGGGCGGGGCGGCCCGCATTTAAAGGGGCCGCATCACCCGCTGCCGCCACCATCACCGCGAGGGGGCGGGGTGGGAGACCAGCGCCTGGAATCCCTGCGGGCGGGCGGACTCCGGACGGACGCGTGGGCTCGTACGTCCAGGGCTCACCGTTAGCTAGGGTTCCTTCTGCAGGTAAGTCGAGGCTAGGGCTACCGCGAAGGCGGGACAGCTGCGGTGGAGCCGGGCAGACATGGAGGTGTCCTCACGCCCCCTGTCAGTGGCAATCCCCTTGATAAACTCCCTACACACAGACCTGGCCCTCACTCCCATTTTCCCGGGGACCTTCAGGCTCTTCCCCAGGTCTGAAAGGGTCTGGGCGGTGGGAGAGAACAGGTATGGCTGGAGCTGGCGTTGTCCCCAATGGCCGGGAGTGGCCGTTGCCTCTTTGGACGCCCACTGGCACTACACTTCCCAAGACCTTTCTCCAGTCGGCCTCAGAAAGGCGTGCTGGGGACCGCGGAGGCGCTCCTGCTCTGTAAACTAGCGACAATGGGCCATTCTCAGCAGTAAAAGAGTCAGTCGGTGTACGTGGGTGTAGAGAAGCCAGCAGACCAGAGCGGGCTAGCTTCCTGGGTGCAAAGCGTGGCGTAGGCAGGTTCAGTCCGCAGTGTAGAGGACAGGTCCGCAGAGTGACGCGGGGTGCAGGCCTGCAAAAGGTACAGGGGCCTCAGCACCGTTTATTGCTGGCGGCTTCCTTCGTGGACTAATCGCACACTTTCCCCAGGAAGGAGACAAATAAGAAAAGGACTGTATTGGAGAAGCACCATGTCCCCTTCCCTATTTTGGGCCTCACTGCCATTCCTTAGGCGTTCTGGTTCCCAGCAGGGGAGATCTGGACTGGACGGCCACCCCTGGATCAGAAGCCAGGGTAGAAGGCAGGAGCCATTATGTACCTATGCCCCTGCTGGAAAAGGGAGGTGAAGGCGGAGGTTGGTCAGAGGCCTGTGTTCAGGACTGAGCTGCACTTCCCATTTTTCCGCCTAACTGCTCTGTGGGTGGTAATGAACTTTGTGATGTAGAGTCCCAGCCTTGTTGGAGCCTCCTGGAGGAAATAGCCCTGGTTTGTGTTTCTACAGGCGTCTTCTATTTGTGGGAAAGGATAACAGTTTTTCATTTTGGTTGTTATGTAGTCTTAATTTTTTTTTTTTTAAAGTTTTGGGGCTAGAGGTGTAGCTCAATTGGTGGAGTGTTTGCCTACCATGGTTGAGGCCTGGATCTCACACACACACACACACACACACACACACACACACACACCAGATTAAAAGTGAGTCAATTTAAGGAAAAATATTACAGTTATTAAGCCAGTGAAAATGAAGGAGCTGGTTATCAGTGACCAAGTTTGATTCCCTTTCCACAGTACCTTTGGGACAGGGAGAGCAGGAATGAAGAAAGCCCAAGAGGGGGCCAGGCTTGTATCCTGATGTCTGGGAAGCGCCAGCCTCTCCAAACAGGGCCCTGGTATGAGGGAAGCTCCTGATGTCCCAGTGCTGGGCTGCCTTTAGCTGGACCCTCTCTGTAGCCCATCAGCCAGTCTTTTCCCTTTGAAACAGGGCAGCCATTGCCTGGCTCTCTTCCTGTTTTCAGCTGCTCTTTGTATCCTCACAGTAATTAATTAATTTGGGCCTGCCTGCCACCCAAACTCCCTCTGGGCATTTCCTGGCTCTGCCAGTCACACTGAGTGCTTGGTACTCCTTCACCTGAGGGCTCAGCACCTGGTGCCTGGAGGACTAACTCCCGGGAAAAAGGAGCCAAATTGGCCCTGTAAAGTCCTGCTTTCTCTCAGATCCCAGGCTGCGGTTCTTCCTTTGTTTTTCCCTCCCACACAGTGAAAATACCCTTTTGTGTAGAGATTACTTGCTAGCCTATAGCCCACTTTGTCTTCCTGGAGATTTCCTGCAACAGCCCTTACAGGTGACTTTTCTTTTAGACAGGGTGTTTCTGTGTTGCTCAGGTGATCCTCAATCTCGAGATCCTTCTGCCTCAGCCTCCAGAATGCTGGGATTACAGGTGTGTATCGCCATACTGATTGGAGGTGACCTTCTTAACCTGTGATCTAAGAACCTGGTCTTGGGAAGGTACAGGAGCTGAACTGAGAAGAAGGGGTATTTTCACTAACCTCTAACTGAAACTTGATATGTACTGCAATTACTAGTGGAATCGATGGAGACTAGTAGAATTACCAGTCCTGTGGCTGTCACAATAGAAATCACAAATTTTCATCTACTGCAACTATAGGTGTGGCAGGCATTTCAAAATAGCTGTTATAATAATAGCAGTAATTTGGTATTTCTGGTATTTATTAGTCCTGTCTTTAAATCTTGCAATTTCATAAATATTTGTTGATGAAGAATCACAGATGCTTCTGTGTCACAGGTGTGTTTTTGTATTTTGATATTTATGTTTCAGTATTCTTTTTTTGTAATGCAATTCCTTTCAAAACATGGTTCTGAGGGTGTGGTGGTGCAGAAGGCACCACCAGCACTGAGGAGGCTGAGGCAGGAGGGTCACAAGTTCAAGGCCAGCCTAGGCTACATAGCAAGACTCTGCCTCAAACAAAACAAAACAAAAGTGTGGTTCTAGGATTACAGGGATCATTCATCTTCTACAGATACTGGCACAGTGAAAGCCTGTCCTAAGTCATCCCCTCTTCCTGTCATTTTGTTAGGTGCTTCATTCCCTTGTTCATTCATAATGAATGTTTTGAGTATCGACCTTATGCCAGACACACTTGAGTCAGAAATGCAAACACAGGGGCTCTGTCATTGACTTAGTCACTGCCCTGCCGGAACCCAGCTAGTTTGCCCATCGCTGGGAAGGCAAAGTCCGGCCTCAGAAAGCTTACTGTGGGGGATGATCACCAAACCTGGAAGGGCAGAGGGCCTCCCAGGGAGGTGAGGATAGCCAATGGGGAGCCAGGAGAGGGGAGGCGTGGTCTCAGAGTAGGTTTCTGCCCTCCAAGCTGTGACTGAGAGCCAAAAGCTGGAAGAGGAGTGGGAGCTAGGGTTGGGCAGGCAAGGGGAGGGACTGGAGAGAATGAGAGAAATGGAGAGCACAGCAAGGGGCTGGCTGTTATTGGTGAAGGGGTCCAGGATATACCATTGTGGCATAAAAATTAGAGCTGAAGGTGTTTGAGAATAGGTTTTTTACATGCACTCCTTTATGTCCTATGAGCAGACTCTCCAAAAAGCTCAACTGTCATAAATGCCAGAAAAATGAATGCTGAGACACTTATCACAGAAGTCCAGTGCCACATCCAGACATTTTCACTAACGTGTCACAAATCCTGTCTCTCTTAAAAGTCATTTGTTTTCATGTAAATGCCGTTCTCCTTCTTCCCCTCCCCTATTAAGTTGATAAATGAGCTTCCAAATTCTAGCTGCCTAATACATGAATAAAAATCTATTTTTCTCTTGCTAATCTGTCTTTCCTAGGTTTAATTCGCAGGCCTCCAGTACTGACTATAAAAGAGTAGAGGAAGTTGGGCACCAAGAGCACATGCCTGTAATCCTAGCTACTCAGGAGGCAGAGATCAGGAAAATCTCAGTTCAAAGCCAGCCCCCAGCAAATAGTTCTCCAAAAAAACTCTCGAAAGAAAAACCCTCTCTCTCTCTCTCTCTCTCTCTCTCTCTTTCTCACACACACACACACACACACACACACACAGACACACACACACACACACACACACTAAAGGATTGCTGGAGTGGCTGAAGGTATAGGCCCTTAGTTCAAACCCCAGTATCAGGGGGGGAAAAAAGAAGGGGAGAGAGTAAAGGAAAAAAAAAAATTCTTGACAGAGGCACCTAGGAGAAAGGTGATCTGGAAAGGGGTAGATGGAGAGATGTGTTTCTGTGTTTCAATAAAAGTATTCTTCCTGAAGCCGCGTGTCCAAGTGTCCCCTGGGGCTCTGCTCATTGTAGCTCTTGCCGGGGCTGCAGGAATAACCTGAACACTGCAAGCTTCCCTGGCAAAGGGAACAAGACCTCTAGAAGCTTTGGCGGTAGCAAATAAATACTCTGACTTGCAGGTGGCCCCTGGCTTCTCTGTAAGTCACCCCCTGGCCCGTGGCCAGAGTAATCACATGGTCTCACCTCAAGGGAGCAGCTAGTTAATACTTAGAAAATATTCAGAAGGATTCCTGGCATAAAAGGAGTGCTACATGAGTGTTATTACTGCCGTTACTCTTAGGAAGTACAATCAACAGGAACTGCTGGCGGTTGGAGGGTAAGGACATGGTCACAGCCGGCTCCCAGGCTTCTAGTGGTATTGCACATCTGGCACCACCATCAGGAGCTTGGGCCAGGGCCTCATGACCCCACATTAGGCCTGCCAGAATCCTGAAGCTCAGAGGCTGAGATCCGGCTTTGATCTGCTGCTTCAGTGCAGGTCCCACTCTCTGGGCAGGCTTCTGCCTCGTGGGCGGGAGAGGGGTGCAGTTCACTAGCTAGCTTTGGTCTCACTAGGAGCTACAGTGCTGTGTGTGACCAAGCTAGGTCATGTGCCTGTCTCAGCCCCAATGGAGGCTGTGGCCCAGCACAAGCAGAGGGACATTTTACTTTGAGCGTTTATGATAGGGGACACAAGTTACGTATGTCCAAGGACAAAATTACACAGCAAATTTAAAGATCTCAATTGGCTTTATTTGTAATTCCAAATCAGGCAGTAGTTCACTCCATAAATAAGTATGAATGAGCTGAGCAGAAGGGGTTGGTTTGATAGGTAAGAGCTAAAAGAACAGAAACAGGACTGGGGGCATGCTTCAAGTGGGAGCAGGATGCCCTGGAGTTCAATCTGCAGTACTATTAAAAAAAGAAAGAAAAAGCAAAAACGAAGAACAAACAAAACAAACAGATCATTTCAAAATTACTTTCCTAATAAGGCAGAAATAGGGAGACAATAGAAAAATAACTGGTTATCCCTCCTGAAATCATCTGAAAGAGCAGATAATTTAGTTTTAGTTTTGCAGGAGTGGAACTTTAGCAAGGGTGAGTCCATTTTGATTTTTAGTATGGTCTATTGGGCCTAGTGGAAGAGCCTAGTCCAAAAGAACAGCTTCTATGGTTTTTCTTTGTGTGTTATTGGGAATGAACCCAGGGCTTTGCACGTGTGAGGCAAACACTCTACCACTGAGCTACCTCCCTGAACCCCTGTAACTTTTATTTAACTCCTGTAACTCACAACACCCACACACCCAACCCCAGTACCCCTACGTGCCAGGCTTGGCAACGTGGGCAAAACAAAGGGGTATCACAACTAGGGTGAGACAGAGGGTGCAGGGGCAGGGGAGCTGAGCCTCCCAGGAGGCAAAGTGGGAAGGGGGAGAGCTGGCCCTGGAGCTAGAATCAAGGGTGTGTTGGAGAACAAAGGTGGTGGGTGCCAGGGCTCAGGGGTGCCGCAGTGCATGGAGCTTGGGGAGCAGGAAAAAGTCAGCTTCCTGAAGTCAGCTGTTTCTGGAAGGTTCTCCATGGGTTGGGTGGTGCAGCCCTGGCCTCTATGTATCCCTGCACTACTGTGTGGCCCTCTGTGTGGGCCACCTAGTCATTGATTCATCTGCCACTCCCTAGAGGGGGCCACACTCACCTCTGTCCGGCCTGGTCCTGGAACTGGGACCCTCACACTCTTTCCTTGTGCCTGCTCTTTGCTCTTTGTGTAGAGCAGGTGTTCCCCAGCCTCCAACCCTGTGGCTAGGGGTGCACAGCTGGCCTGGGAGTCAGGCACAGGTTCCCCTTGATGAACAGCTTAGGTGATAGCTCAGACTAAGCCAACTAAAAGCCAGGTCGGTGCTTCCTGTCGCTGCAGGGAAAGTGAATTGTCAGCGGGCGTTCTCTTACCCAGCGCTGGGGACCCAAGGACACACACACCTGAGGACACACACCCAGCCCTCAGACCGCCGCTCAGGGAGGGGCTGCCTGCGTCCCTCCTTCCAGTGTCCCCGCTCCACCCCTTGCCCTTGGCCCCAGCTCCTTCCACCGGCACACGTTCCTTGGGGCCAGCTGGCGGGCTCTCCCCCAGCGCCACCGGGTGGGGAGTCTCTGCAGATCAGGTGGCGCCTCCCTTTTCTGCTTTGGCACTGGTGACAGCATCTCCACCGCCAGTATGCATGGGCATTGCGTGGTACTGTCTTGTCCTGTCTGTGGCTTGGCATACCCTATGCCCTGGAGGGTCCCGGGTTCCAGAGCACTCTGGCTGTGATTTCATTTGGAGAAATGGCCCCCAGCCCTGGGGCAGTCCAACCTCACATCATGACACCCAGTGAATTGGCCCTCCTGTTGTTCCCCTTCCCTTTCTTCTCCTTTTTCTGTTTTGCAGCACCAGAGGCTGAACGCCCCCAGGGTCTTACTCCTGGAGCCACGCCCTCCGTCCTCAGCTTCCCCACCCTTTTTGTTTTGTTTTGTGTGGCACTGGAGTTTGAAGTCAGGGCTCTACACTTGCAACACAGGCACTCTACCACTTGAGCCACACTTCCAGTGCCCCCCCACCTCCCACTTTTTGAGAGAGGGTCTCCCAAACTATGCCTAGGTTGGCCTCAAACTCCTTCTGCCTCCACCTTCAGAGTAACTGGGGTTACAGATGTGTGTCACCATACCCAGCTGTCCCTTTTCTTTTACAAATTCCTTGGGATGTTATATGGTCCCCTTCCTGCCACATAGCCCTTGATACCTCTTGCCTGGGCTTCTGTAAAGAAGAGCTAAGCCAGGTGCCTGTGGCTTACGCCTATAATCCTAGCTATAACTACTCGGGAGGCAGAGATCAGGAGGATCATGGTTCGAACCCAGCCTGGGGAAATAGTTCCCCAGACCCTCTCTTGGAAAAAAACCCTTCACAAAAAAGGGCTGGTGGAGTGGCCCAAGGTGTAGGCCCTGAGTGCAAACCTCAGCACTGCAGAAGAAAAAAAAAAAAAGAGCTAAAAGGAGGTGTTGTCCAATACTTGGGGATGTTTTCCTAGAAGGTCCCACCAAAGAGGTGACATTTGGGGCAGGGGGAGGGTTCTGGGCAGGGGAAAAGCCAGAAGAAAAGTACTAGGTGGAGTGAGTCAGCATGACTGGGAACAGGGGTGTGTGTCTCTCTCATGACTGAGGACAGAGGTGTGTGTCTCTCCCATGATTGAGGACAGGGGTGTGTGTCTCTCCCATGATTGGGGACCTGGGGGAGGGGAGGTGTGGGGAAGGGCTGGGGTGTCTCTTTAGTGTGAGTGAATGAATGGAAGGGAATGGTTGCCAACAAGGCCTGGAGGCCACCACAGTCATAGACTCACATCCCAAAGTTTTCCTCATCCTCAGGGCCTAGCTAGGGCTGGGGTCTGGTGGGGCTTTGCCCCTGTGTTCCTTAGTCTCCTGAAGAATGGCCCAAAGCAGCTAAGCCTGAATCCCCAGTGGCCTCATCTCTGACTACCCAGCACCCACCTGGCCATTTGTTTTGACTCCTCATCCCAAAGAACCCCAACTGAACTGCAGAAAACCACTGCCAAGCCATGGGAATTTGGGGAATGGGAAAAGGGGGAAGAGGAGGAGGCAATGGCGACACACCAGACAGCAATAAGCGAAAGAAATCAGATGTCCTGTGTTCACACCTGCTGTTCTCCCAGGACCTTGTCACTTAGATCTCTAAATTCACTCCTTTATGTCAACCCCCCTGACTGCCCCCATACCTTACATCCTCAATTCATACACCTATCAGGTATCACCTGGGACAGGCAACTTAAGTCCTCCCTTCTGACCCATTTCAAAAATGAGGAAAGATGAGACTGGTTGCCTGTCCAAAAATGACAGGGCTGGTCAGTAGCATGTCTCCTAACTCTGGTGCCAAGCTTTCCCCTTTCCTCCTTCCTCAGGTGCCCACGAGATGCTCTGGAGGGTAAAGGCAGTAGACTCAGGGAGGTTGGGGACCTCCCTGCATCATGGGGATGGAAAAGACATCAAGTGTCAATAGGAGGACAGGGTCTGATTTGTCTTGACAGCCTTGGCCTTTGAGAGATCCTTTTGCTCTGGGGTCCTCCAGGCACCTTCAAGGCTCTGGGACCCCTCCCCAACCATGCCTGCTGTCATTGCAATAGATGGTAACAGCCGGGGAAGCCCCTGTTATGATGGCAATCATGAGACTGTGACTCACTGCCGGGTCAGGCCACCTGACCACAACAGGGCAGGCAGAGAGGGCCCTGCCAGGGGGTTCCCCAGCCTTTTCCTTGTTTATCTCCTGGCTGACCTGGGATGGGAGGCAGAACCTGGGTTGCTCTAGGTTATCAGGGCATGCTGGGAAGAACCAGGAACTCCAGGCAGGGGTCTCTAGGCCAGCTTCTCAGGATCCCATTTCCTGACATCCCTTTCTACCCGAACATGTCCACCCTCCCTGAAAACTCATTAGGTCCCAAATGGTGAGAAGGCAAAGGAGTTCCTGGTGGTGGCCTTAGATCCCTCTGTGATGGGGGGTGGTCCCCTGATTCCTTCCTGAAAGCCAGGTTTCCCCTGGGCAGGCAGCCTGGCTTGCTTTGGGGCTTTGAGGATCTTAGGCCCCTGGGCTGCTGAGTCATGCTTGGCAGGCACCCGGCTGCAGGCCGCAGCCTCTGTCCAGATGCTCCCTCCCTGACCACTGACTGCACAGCAGGCTGAGGGGCATTTCCTGGGCTCACAACCGGTTGCAGGGAGAGGACTGAGAAGGACAGTTCTCTATAGGGCTTCTGCGGGCATGACTGTCAAGCTGTGTCCACTCAGTCCTCTGAGAAGGAACAGTCACACCTGTCGCCAAGTCTGTGTTGTGCTCTCAAAGGCAAACCACCTTCCCTTGTCTCTTGGCTTTCCCAACCCTGCTTCCACAAACCCCACCAGCAGGTCTGACTTCCTACTGACAGGCTCCTGCCTGGGAGGCTTCAGATGGTGACATTCCTTTCCTGCCTACATCCTACTAACTGCTCTCCTTCCCACGGGCCTTGCAAGTAGTTCACTTTTGTCACATAAAGCAGTGTTTCTTGGTTCTTAGCTGGAGTACTGGTGGTCTGACCTCTCAGCTGCCTATGAGGCCAACAGGCCTGAGAACCCACACCTGTGCTGACAGGTGGGTGTCTTGGGGACCAGGAGGATTCTCTTGGACTGCAGGAAAGCTCAGTGTCCTCACTCATGCTCAGGAAGTCTTAGCTGGCTTATCTGGGAAATCTCACTAGCCCCTGACCTCCAGCACCTCTCAATCTCACCCTTATTAAACTGGAAACTTCTCAGGTCTGAGTCAGGGTCTGTCCCTTAACCAAGCTAGGGGTTGGTCATGGAGGTATGGGTGGTGGCATGGAACTTGGGAGCCTCGGGGACAGCACCGTGGGAACCAGCTTGTTCTGGTTTGCATTGCCTATGGAGTGGTCCCGTAGTCTGATATGGACTGCGTCCTCCTTCGCTCGGGCTGGGCATGCCCCGTGGCCTGGGGACTGCACTACTGAGTCATGGCCAGGCCCAAGCCTGGCTGTGTCCTCCTTTCTGCGTTGGGCATCCCCCATGGCCTGGGGACTGCACTGCCGAGTCATGGCCAGGTCCAACCCTAGGAGGCGCCTAGGATAAGCCCCCAACCCATCCCTTCTCACGGGTGCAGAGGCCGGGGTCGGCATCTCCCAGTGCCCTGAGGGTAATGGAGGGGGGTCTAGAAGAACGAGAGAGGGCAGCAGTGAGGAGAGGGGCAATATGCCCCGGGGCCCTAACAGGGCGGCTCACGCGCTACGGCCTTGGCGGCGGGGCGGGGCGCAGGGAGGTCCCGCCCCCCACGAGACCGTTCGGGGCGGGGCTACCCGCGTCTCCTATAAATGCCTCGTGCCCCGGGCTGCAGCTGCGCAGCTGTGCTCCTGCTCTCGAGCCTGCGTCATGGCGTCGCTCACCGTGAAGGCCTACCTTCTGGGCAAGGAAGAAGCGGCGCGCGAGATCCGCCGCTTCAGCTTCTGCTTCAGCCCCGAGCCCGAGGCGGAGGCGGAGGCCGCGGCCGGCCCGGGGCCCTGCCAGCGGCTGCTGAGTCGGGTGGCTGCCCTGTTCCCCGCGCTGCGGCCCGGCGGCTTCCAGGCGTACTACCGCGGTGAGCGGCCCGAGCGGCGCGGGGGCGGAGACGCCGGCCGGGGCTGCGGTGGGGGCGGCGGCCTCCCTCCTCGTCGAAGCGGTGACGGGGCTGTCTGGGCCGCTCATCGGGTGGGCGGCGGCCTGCGTGGGTCGTCAGTTGGGTCTCGGGTGCCAGCCTGTTAACTTAAGTCTGGTCCCGGCCTGGTCCTGGCTACTGGGTGCTGGCCCTTCTGGAGCTGGGGGCGGTCCGGTTCTGCCGGCTGGGCATTCAGGCCTGGGGCATAAGATGCCACCCCTCCCCCCGCCATGATGTCGCAGATCTTGGCAAGGACGCGGCGGGGCGTCCTCTGTGGCTCCCCGCAGGGACGAAGTGGTCAGGCGGGCACTCGGGTTACACCGACATCTTACTGCCGAGTCTGGTCCTGCTAGCGCCAGGTGGTGGGTTTAGATAATGCCCTGGGAGAGCCGGTACCGGTAGACGTGGAGGAGGGGCGGAGAGAGGGAGGGGTGACGCGTGTAAACAAGCGTGGGGTGCGGGGGGTGGGGCTCGGGAAAGTGCGGCCTGGTCTGTGAGCTCCGGGGTGGCGGTGGGAGTACAGGTTGGGGACAGAGGCCAGGCTGGGTACAGGCTGGACAGTGTGACAAGATCAAAACGTTCTTGCAAATCCGGAGCTGATTTCTTGCTGCGCGAGTGAGGCGGGTGACTGCAGGGGGTGGGGTTAGGGGAGGTGGTTGTGCCTAGGAGCCAACCCGACGGCTAAGGTCCACCCCTGGGAGGGGACTGTTCTGGGACCTCCCTCAGGAGGATCTGCCAGCCTGAAGGCTTACTTCTGTTCTTTCAGTTTTTTTCTGTGTGATAACTTTATCGAGCTGCATCATTACATACCATACAGTGCACCCATTTAAAGAATATGAGTCTATGGGGTTTTTTTTGTTTTGTTTTGTTTTGTTTTGTTTTGACGGCATTGGGGTTTGAACTCAGGGCCTCACTTTTACTAGGCGGACACTCTTGAGCCACTCCACCCGCCCTTCTATGGGTTTTCTTTTTGTGGATGAATAGTACTGTTTTACAGGAAAGCCACGTTTTGTTTGGTCTTTAGTTGGTGGGCATTTGGGTTGCTTCCACCTTTGAGGCCAGCCCTGTTGTATAGCAGATATTGCTGTCTAATGGCCCTCAGACGTAGCTCTGCCTGCAGATGTGTGGCTTGGCCTGCCATTTGAGCTAACATAAAACCCGGAGACTGTGTACACATATACATTTTTTAAAGCTTTGTTGGGGAAGGAAGCAGGCAGATGGGTTCATCCTCTCCTTTGCTGATAAGCCCAAGACCTTTGAAAGGCTGGGTGTCTCAGGAGGGCACAGGTAGGGACCCTGCACAGTTGAAGATGGACCTGAGGCTGGTTAGATCTGGACAGAGGTGTCAGGTGGCCTGCTGTGGCTGCTGCTCCTATGCTCCTGTGCTCTGCCATGTGCATGGAGCTGGGCCCCAGGGCCCAGGCTGGAGCACTTACTGTCCAGGTGTGTCAGAAAGCCCCTCTTGCCACTTGCTCCCTCCCCCTGGGCTCAAACTTTAGAGCCCTGCAAGTGTCCCTTTAGCACTGACTTATGTCCAGATGAGAAGCCTGGGTGTCATCTGTCCTTTTTCTCTGGGGTGGGGTGCTGGGGATGGAGCCAAGGGTTTTTCAAATGCCAGGCAAGAACCCTCCCATTGAGCCACATCTGCAGCCCTTAGGTGCTGTGTTTTAAACCTTCTAGATGAGGACGGGGACTTGGTTGCCTTTTCCAGTGATGAGGAGCTGACCATGGCCGTGCCCTATGTGAAGGATGACATCTTCCGCATCTATATTAAAGGTAAGTGAGTGCTTTGGGGTGTTGTCGGAGACCAGGTAGTAACTACTAGTGAAAACATGGCTTGACGATCCTCCAAAGAAGGGGTCAGGACCCGGGAACAGTCTTATTCAGGGACATCATACGTGTCTGGCCTGAGGACGAGTCCATCGTCACCCTAGGGAGTGGGATCTGAGCCCCGGGCTTGGGGCAGCCTTAGGAGTTTTGGCGAGGACGGAGGCCAGATGTGTATAGACAAGGCTCCCTGCTGCTCCTCCACTGTCTGGGCCACATGTGTCTGGATAACGGGTGCAGGCCTGGGACTTCCTAGCAGACCCTCAGGTTACTGTGTTGCTGTCACCCGAGCAACTGAATTCTTAGTAGACTCTGGATGATTGTGACAGCCCTACTGTGACAATGGGAGGGAGGACCTCAGGGCCCTCACCCTAACTGTGGTCTGCAATCTCTTCCTCCCTGCAGAGAGGAAGGAGTGCCGGCGGGACCACCGTCCCCTGTGTGCTCAGGAGGTGCCCCGCAACATGGTGCATCCCAATGTGATCTGCGACGGTTGCAATGGGCCGGTGGTGGGAACTCGCTACAAGTGCAGTGTGTGTCCCGACTACGACCTGTGCAGCGTCTGCGAGGGGAAGGGCATGCACAGCGAGCACAGCAAGCTCGTGTTCCCCAGCCCCTTTGGGTACTTCTCTGAGGTGAGCCAGCCCTCTGAGGTGCTGGGGTGATGCGGGGTGACAGGAGCCTATGACCTTAGCCCCTCACTGTCTTGTTCCTCCTCCCCAGGGTTTCCCTCACAGCCGTTGGTTTCGGAAGCTGAAACATGGACACTTTGGGTGGCCAGGCTGGGAGATGGGCCCACCAGGGAACTGGAGCCCACGCCCTCCTCGAGCTGGGGATGCCCGCCCCAGCACCTCAGCGGAATCAGGTGAGACTTGCATCTGAACTGGCTTCTCCCTGGGGAGAGGGTGGCCAGGCAGCCTGGGTGGGCTGTGCTATGGAAGGGCTGGCAGAGCTTCAGGGCCCCTAGCCAGGCCTTCCCTGTGTCCTGAATTCCTGCTGGGCCCACGCCCGGCTGAGATATTTGTTTGATTTTGAGTAAATAGCATAGCTAGGATATGGTCAATATTTATGTACCACGTGTACTGAGTGCTGTGGGGTTACAGAACACCATGGTCACAGGAGACAGAGTGGCCTAGGAAGAGGCCGCTGGGGGATGGGGGCACAGAGTGGGAGGGAGGAGCGCTGAATGTGGGTTGCTTGTCTCAGGATGGTGGTGACCTGGATGATTGGGACCTTGGCAGGAAGATACTGGGACTGGGACGGTGTCAAAGGCATTAAATTAAGTCCAGCTGGTAGTATACACCTGTAATCCCAAGCACTCTGGGAACCTGACACAGGAAGGTTAAGAGTTCAAGGCCAGCTTGGGCTACATAGTACCTGTCATAAAAAAAACAAAACAAGGGTACAGAACTAAAGCTATCTATTTTTTTTGTAAATATCAAAAGCTTCTGGTCCATCAGAGGATCCCAGTGTGAACTTCCTGAAGAACGTAGGGGAGAGCGTCGCAGCTGCCCTCAGCCCTCTGGGTAAGTGAGCTTCCTTGTTCATCTCTTGAGATCAGGCCAGCAGTTTGGTGACTCATTGTGCACATGGCCTTTTTGTAGCTTTCACTTGGGAAAGGAATGAGCAACCAATGTGCTTTATTTATTTATTTTTTTTTTTTGTATTTTTGGTGGAACTGGGGTTTGAGCTTAGGGCTTTGCACTTGCAAAGCAGGTGCTCACAAAGCAGACACTCTACTGCTTGAGCCACACCTCCAGTCCTTTTTTTTTTGTTTTTGTTTTTGAACTCAGGGCCTTCACTTGAGTCTCCAGTGCCTTACTGTTTTTTTAGTTATTTTTCAGATAGGGTCTCAAGTTTTTGTCTGGGGCCAGCCTCAGAGCACAATCCTCCTTACCCAGCTGGAATTACAGATGAGTACCACCATGTCAGCCTTATTTGTTGAAATGGGGTCTCACTGACTCTTTGCCCAGACTTACCTCAAACTGTGATCCTCCTGATCTCTGCCTCCTAAGTACCTGAGCATACAAGTGACCCCTGTGCCTGGTCATACTGCTCTTGAAATCAGCAAGGTTTTGCTGCATAAAATCAGTCTTTGGCAAGTGCTGGACCACAGGCACCTCAAGGTCAAACTCTCAAGCTTTCTACATGGGATTTAAGTGGGATCAGCCAGCATTTCATTAGGAGAATTCCAATAGGGAGGGCGTCTGGACTGTGACTGAGGGCTGGCTTATCACCTTGTTGGGGGAGCAAGTGTCTGCATTTTCCCTAAGCTGGGCTTGGCATTTGGACTTGGGATAGGCAGTTGAGACATCGCTTCTCTTTTCTTTTTTGTTTATAACCACCAAATCTTTCCTGACTGCTTCTTGAGTGCTCAGCCTATGCCAGTGAGGGGTGGAGGGAGTGATGGAGGCAGGTGCTTTGTGTCATGCCTGCTTCTGAGTCACAGGGCACAGAGTAGGCCTGCAGAGATGGGTGAGCACATTGTGCTCCCCCCCCAGTGCTGTGATGTGACTCCATGCTCAGGCTGTGACACACCTGTGGCTTTAGGAAGTGCCTGCCATGTGAGGGTGAAGCATGGTGGCAGAGAATTGGCTGATGAAAGTGAGTCTGGTTCAAGATCCTGACGGATCCAGGACTGCAGAGAAGAGATCGTTCATCAGCACGCCTGCTGATGAGCACCCTGACCCCACCAGCCATTTGCCCCTGGGCTACAAGGCGCAGTGCCACCTGTTCCAATCCAAAGCCATTTCTGCTCCCACTCCTGCCTCAGGATGCAGCTTGGAGCAACACTGACTCTTGGCCTTACTGCTAAATTCAGTGGCTTAGCGCAGGAGGTTGATGGGATTCTCAGTGTCCCAGGACCAAGTGGAAGTAAGCAGCTCAGACCAGACACAGCTTACATATTGGAGTTTGAGGCTCTTGAGACAAGAAGGGATGTTCTGGATGCTTCCCAAGGAGGATGAACCAGGAGGTGAGCTGGGCCTCAGCCCCTCCCACTGCATTGAGCACAGTGAAGGCTGGAAAACTGCTGGTGAATTTTGAGAGGTTCGTCCAACAAATGGGCCTTTAGGGGCCCGAGGACAGCTCTGCAAGACAAGTCAGTGAACTGTACTCCAGCCTGGCTGAGCGTCAGACACCAGGATTTTTTGGGGTGTATATTTTGGTGTGTAGACACCAGGATTTTTTTGGGGGTATATATTTTGGTGTGTGGAAACGCTATTAAAATTATTCTAAAAACAAACTTCTTCAGTAGAACAAATGAGACAGTGTGGGAAGTCACAAAACCGAGTCTAGGTTTAGGTGGGGACTTTGAAACAGTTCACATCTCCAGGTCACTGGGTCCCCCTGTCTGATCCTGCTGTACTGCTGCAGTATCTTAGGAACTGGTCAAGCAGTCTTTGGGGAGGAGGAGAGAGGCTCTGCAGGCCTTTGAAATGGATGGAGTTGCCTGGAGCTCTGCAAAGCCAGGCAAGTTAACGGAAAATACGGTTCTTCCTGGTTCAAATTGAGAGCCATTGGAGGAGCTGCTTCACCTCTGTGTGGAAGTCATGGTGTTTTCCTTCCCTTTCTGTGTGTGCAGGGTGACTCACTGTCTGAAAAGGATGTGTCCAGGGGGGAAGCAGTCAGCACAGCCTCCCAGAAGGCAGTGGGTGTCGGGTGAGCCATTAGCTTTCAGAAAAAGTCAAGGTCTTGGTAGGTGCTGTAAGAATCAGGCGAGGGGGACTGCCACTGTGACCCAGTACTCAGAGGTTGTGGTCACTGACATAGAGGATACAAAGCAGTAGGGCCCTTCCTTATCACAGTATCTTTAATAAACACACATATCACACACACAAACACACACAGGCTTTGGGGACAGCAGGTCAGACTGCTGAACATTCTTTTTTGTGGGCTGGGGATCAAAGTCAAGGCCTTGCTCATGCCAGGCAAGTGCTTTAGTGCTTCACTTACTGGTGAGCTATGCTCCAGCCCTAGTGACTGTTGTTGTAAGCCCTCAAGTGTCAGGCCTTCATCATCCAGCTGGGGAATCCCTGCTTCTGCACCCTCTGACCATGACAGAAGTGGCACATCATTCACCCACCTCACAAAGGAGGAGGAGGTGGTATAGGTGCTCATCTTACTGTCCTTTCAACCTCTCTTTGAACCTTTCCATAATGAAAAATTAGAAGGAAAAAAGAGAAAAAGTTTTGCTCTTTTTGTTTTTTAAAGTGCTAGGGATCAAACCCAGGACCTTTCACCTAGTAGGCTACCACTGAGCTACACCCCCAGCCCAGTCTTTGTGCATATACTTCTAAAATGATGGTTAAGGCTTACACAAGAAGGTCTAAAGCAACATGGGTCCAAGAAAAAGTAATAGAGTAATAGAGGAAAAGATAGAAAGGTGTTACCGATTCTGGAAGATAGGAGGTGGGTGGATAGAGAGAGGTGGTAACCAGGAGAAGGAGGAATCAGATACCTGTGTGGCTGCACAGGGGACGCTGGTGAGAAGCAAGACCATCTTGCTTAGGTACCAGGAAAGATGAGATGTGGGAGTGACACAGGCCAGGGTGCAAGGGGATGGGTTGAAAACTTCAGAAGGGTCACTTAAATTCTAGGGTCCCACTCAGCCAGGCAGTGGCCTATGCCCACCCTTGCAGGAGGCCTGGAGCCTGTGAGCTGGGGAAGCTGCAGCCATGGGGCACCAGCCATGAGGCACCCTGAGGCTAGGCATCATGAATAAGCCCAGAAGTCTCTACCCTGGCAGGCAGGAGATGGGAGTCCCTGCTAAGGGGAGGCTCCCCCAGGAGGAGCTACAGCTCCAGGCAGCTGATTATGCCTTGCCTCCCCCTGCACACAGAGAGAAGGCTTCCTTTTCTCAGTGCCTGTCTAGGACCAGACACCCCCAGTGGGCAGCCATTGAGGGAAGGAAGCCTCTGCACATGGAAAGGAGGGAGAACGGGGAGGATGTGAATATCCTCAGGATGATGCAGAGAAGTACTGGGTTTGTGAAAGAACAGGACCACACAGAGGCTAGCAAAGGGAGAGAAGCAGAGACAAGGAAAGAGCTCTGCGAGAATACTCAGGGGCTAATACGGTCTCAGACTGCACTGGCCCTTGATCTGCAGGCGAGGATTTGACCAACCGTGGATAGGGAATATTATGAAAATCGCACCTGTTTGGAATAGGTACCACCTTCTTGTCATTCCCTGAACAATGCAATATAACCGCTGTTTACATAGCATGACACTGGATCAGGTGTAAGTCAGCCAGAAGTGACACAAAGTACAGCGCAGGATGTACACGGTTCATCTGCAAATACTGTGGCATTTTTATAAAATCCACAGGTCCCAGTACCTCAGGCCTAGAATGATGAATTCCAAAGATGAAGTAGAGACAAGGGAGAAAAGATGAGAAAATATCAACCCTGAAGCCCATTCAGGATGTTTAGGATGAATGGGATTCCAGAACGTAAACAGGAAGCCGAGGAGGACATTTATGAAGAATTGTGGACGGGTCTTTGGACATTCATCTCTATGTGGAAGGGGCCCCTGAGTGCCTTGGACGGTGACTGAGAAAGATCCCACACCACAGCTTAACGCTGTCTGAGCCCAGGGGATACAGAGTCCTAAAACTTAGCAGGTTGCTATAAAAGCTTGGGGATGTAAAGACAGCATGCCAAACTAGAGGATACTGGAACAACCAGTGACTGAAAGTCTGAGTGAAGTTGGGCAGGTGCCAGCGGTACATGTCTGTAATCTCAGCCCTCGGGAGGCTGAGGCTGGTAGACCTTGATTTTAAGACCAGCTGGACTGCCTAGTAAGACCCTGTTTCAAAAACAACAAAAAAAGTTAAAATGACTTTTTTCAACCTTGAATTCTCTACCCATGTAAAACAGTCAAGTAGGAGGACAGAGCAGAGTTGTCTTGTTATGCGAGGCCTTAGTAATTGGGTTTTTTTTTGGTGGTACTGGGGAGGAAACCTGGGGCTTGAGCATGCTAGGTGCTCTACCACTGAAGCCCCACCCTCAGCCCTTTTCTTTCTATATGTTTTGAGATAGGGTCTTGTTAATCGCCAGAGCTTACCTCAAAACTGAGATCCTCCTGCCTCTGCTTCATGAGTAGCTGGGACTACAGCATGTACCACCACTCCCAATTTACAAGGTCTTAATTTTACCTCATCTTTCATCAGTTGAAGAAATAAACCCAGGATGAAGAACAGAAGCATTAGAAAACAGGGAGACTAATGGGAAAGAGAAAAGGAGTTGCCAGAGTAAAGGAAAGGCAGTCAGTGCAGTAGCTGTGCCCTAACCCAGAAAGTAGGCTGTTGAGGCTGGAGCAAGAGGCTGGTACACCTGAGGGGTGCTCTCCAGGGACAAAACCAGAACGGATAAGGCAGCTGATGGCAAACCAAAGGCTCTGGTGAGGAACATGGGGAAAGTTAGCAGAGAAAAAAAAGGCAATGGTAGAGAAACAAATGATGGTAGAAACTAAGCCTGCTTGGCCTGGCAAGGGGCGACATTGACAGTGGTGCTGCATAGACGCTGGCTGTTCGGTCTTTGGGAGGATAGGGGAAAGAGGTAAATACTGATAGAGTAAGGAGTAAACTTGGGAACTCCAGCCATTGGGCCAGAGCAGCGTGGCTTGGGAGGGCTGCAGTGTCTGCAGGGAGTGGGGTGCGTTTTCACTGCAAGCCTTTGAGAAGGAGTGTCTTGACTCTAAGCTGTGGGTGTTTAAACTGCTTTGAAAAATGGCATTTTGATTCTGCCCTCTACCACCCAGTTACACTGAGCATGCGCCGAGCCTCTGCTCTCCAGCCTCGTGGGCTGCACACTGAGCTTGAGTGGTCTTCCTGCTGCCCTGTGCTGAATCGTAGGGTTAAATGTGTGCATGTGTTGCATCACAAGTCCCCTGCACTCAGGCCTGGTGTCAGGTGGCCTCCTGCACCGTGGTGGGGTGTTTGGCCACGTGTGGTATTGACCTTCACCCTTTTCTTAGGGCCTGGCCTGCCTGCTGTGCAGTCCGTTGAAACAAGGTCTCTCTGTGGACTCTGTGGCTCAGAAGCTGACCTTGGTATCATCTGAGGTTAATGTTTTATCAGTTGGGGGAAGGGAGCGGGCCAGTGTGATGGGTGTTCAGGAGAATTTCTGGAAGCCAAGGGTGTTTGGGGTCCAGGGTATCAGAACAATTCATTCCCTGGATCCTGAACGTCAAAGGTGACTATTCGTTTGCTTCTGGCTCAGTGGGTTGCACAGTCTGGTCCATCTGGAGCTGTGGCTCCAGAGTCAAGTCTAGTGTCTGTGTCTGCATGTGCTGATGGGGACTGAGTGCAAAAGCTTCCTGTGCGACAGCCCCAGCTTGTCCAGATAGTCTGCAGGTGTCCTGTGGACTTCACAGCTTTTGTTTCCTTCTTGCTTTAGGAATTGAGGTTGACATTGATGTGGAGCACGGGGGCAAGAGGAGCCGTCTGACGCCCGTCTCCCCAGAGAGCTCCAGCTCGGAGGACAAGTGTGGCTCTCAGCCCAGCAGCTGCTCTTCCGGACCCAGCAAGCCTGCTGCGAGCGGCGGGAGCCCTGCCCAGTCTTTGACAGAGCAAATGAGAAAGATTGGCCTGGAGTCCATGGGGCAGCCCGAGGTAGGCCTGCTCCTCCTGCCGATGGGCACGGTGGCCTCATCCTGAGGGATGGCGCCGAGTTCTGTCTGTGGTGCTGAAGTCACTCTGTGAACCTGCTGGGACTTTGTAAAGAGAAGTGGACTTATTCTTTGGAACCTGCTTGCTCTCTGCTGCCTGTAACCCCTGCCAGCCCTTCAGGCAGGATCTCCTGCTGCCCCCTGCACCCCACTCGGGTCTTTTCTGGGAATCATAGAGTGGCCAGGCTCACCCGTTTCTTGTGCTCATGGTCCGTTTTGCTTCAGGAACAGATGGAGTCTGACAACTGCTCGGGAGGGGATGAGGACTGGACTCACTTGTCTTCGAAAGAAGTGGACCCGTCTACAGGTGAACTCCAGTCTCTGCAGATGCCAGAGTCGGAAGGGCCGAGCTCTCTGGACCCTTCCCAGGGGGGGCCCACAGGGCTGAAGGAAGCGGCCTTGTACCCACACCTTCCGCCAGGTAGTGATCGCAAGGCTTTGGCTTCCACGCTTTTCTCTGCCCAAATCTCTTGCCCTCTTCTGACTTTCGCCTCTCCCATAGGGCTTGTCTATGGACACGAGAAAACTAGGACTGGTTTTGTCCTGTCTGTACTGAGTAATATGAACTCAGCTAATTTTAGTTATTTCTAATACTTAACACCCAGACAAGAAGGCAGCACTGGATTTGGACTGCCATGTACTAAAAGTGGGCTCAGACATCATGTGCAGTGTTTCCTCATGGAGAGTGCTGACCTTCTAGCAGGTGTCATGGCCAAGATCGCTGTAGGAGCCAGGTAGAAGTCAAATGTGTAAAGTGCTCAGTGTGGAAGGCAGCAGGTGGGGTGGGGACTGTGCCCACCCTGAAGAGATGCAGCCAATACATGGTGCAGTTCCTTTCTGTCACAGGGCAATGAAGTTTGAAGCAATGCCCAGTGGCCCTGGGGCTCCAGTATGTATCTTCTCTGCCTTAGATTTCAGGGACAGCAAAGTATGGTCTCAGGAATGTTTTCCTATTTTTATTGACTTACTGGTAGTAGTAGGGTTTGAATTCAGGACCTTGCTAGGCAGGCGCTCTACCACTTGAGCCATGCTCCCAGCCCTATTTTTAAATTTTTTGAGACAGGGTCTCATTGACCATCTTGCCTTGAACTCAGTGTAGCCCAGACTAGCCTCAAACTCATGATATTTCTGCCTCAGTATCCCAAGTGCTGGGATTACAGGCTTGTACCACCCTGCCTGGCTTGTTTCTGTATCTTTAAATAGTTGGGAGCCAGGTGTGGTAAAATAAAATTTTAAAAAAGGGCTGAGGAGCCAGTGCCATGGCTTTTGCCTGTAACCCTTTCTACTTGGGAGGCTGAGGTCAAGCAAATAGTTCACAAGACCTCATCTCTAAAATAACCACAAAATGGACCGGAGGTCTGGCTCAGGTGGTAGACTGCCTGCTTTGCAAACTCCAGTCCCACCAAAAAAAAAAAAAAAAAAAGGCTGTGGGGTGTATGTAGCTAAGTGGTAGAGCACTTCCCAGCATGTGTAAGGCCCTGGGCTTGATCCTAAGTATCCGTCACTCTGAAAAGGGCTGGGGAATCAGAAAACGTGAAAATCAGATGACAACATTCAAATTTCAGTAATAAAGTGGGGGTGTTTTTTTTTTTTTTGAGACAAGGTCTTTATGTAGTCTGGGTTGACCTCATACCCATAATCCTTCTGTGTCTGGTATCACCACACTTGGCTTTTTATTTTTGGCAGAACTGACATTTGAACTCAGGGCTTTGCACTTGCTAGGCAGGCAATCGGTTGAGCCATGCCTCTAGCCCTTTTTGCTCTGGTTATTTTGGGTAGGGTCTCACTTTTTGTCCAGGCCCACTGGACCATGATCCTCTTGTTTTAAGCTTGCCACCATAGCTGAGATGACAGGTGAACTTTTTTTTTTTAACCTGGGCTGTCCTGGAGCCACAGTCCTGAGCTCAGCCACCTCCGTAGCTGGAGTAACAGATGTGCTGCTGCCCAGCTATTGGTTGAGAAAGTGTCTTGTGAACTTTTTGCCAGGTCTGGCCTCAAACTGTGACCTTCCTAATCTCAGCCTCCCAAATAGATAGGATTATATATGTGTCACTGGTACCTGGCTTTTCTTGTTGATTTTGAGACAGGATCTCACTAAGTTACCCAGGCTGGTCTTGAACTCTTGGGCTCAAGAAATCACCCTGCCTCAGGCTTCTGAGTAGCTGGGACTACAGGCATGTGCTACCACATCTGGCAGTAAAGTTTTCTTGGAACAAAACTGTTTGTATGTGTTGTCTGGCTGCCTTTATGCTGCAATGGCATGGAAGCACTGAGTGGGTTGTGAGAGACTGTGCAGCCTGCGATGTAAGCATAAAACATTTACTATTTGGCTAAAGGCAAGGGCTGCCTGCTTGCTGAAGGGCAGGGTGTGCCACTCTGGCTTGAGTCCTGCAGGGCTCAGTGATGGTCCCTCATGGCTTCCTGTGCTGTCTTTGCCAGAGGCTGATCCCCGGCTGATCGAGTCGCTCTCACAGATGCTGTCCATGGGGTTCTCGGATGAAGGTGGCTGGCTCACCAGGCTTCTACAGACCAAGAACTACGACATCGGGGCTGCTCTGGACACCATCCAATATTCGAAGCACCCACCGCCACTGTGACGGTGCTTGTGCCTCTGTCCCATGCGCCTCTTCTGTCCTGTAGTTGCACTGTTTGTTAGCATATAGCAGCAGGCCTTCTGATAAGACCAGTTTATCAGCATTCTTCCAGAATCTGTGGGGTGGGAAAGCACGAAACCATTCAGGGTAGTCGGACAAGTGACGTGAGGGAGGAGCCCAAGTGTGTGTGTGTGTGTCTGTGTGTGCTGAGAACAGAACCAGCTGCCCGTGGGTTCCCTAGCTCCTGAGCGCCCCTCCACCATCATCACACCAGCAGCCCTGTATCTGCCTTGTCTAATGACCTTCTGCTTTTCTTTCATAAAATGACACTTAGCTGATTTTCCACAAGTGAAAATGCTGTCAGAGGGAGGAGAGGGCTGTTGTGCAGTGAGCCCAGGAACTGAGGGCAGCCAGAGTTTGGGTTCCCGCTGGGACTGGGGAAAGACTTCTGGGAGTGTCGTGGCTGTGGGTTTTCATGAGCACTGCCTCTTGTTACTACTTGTTCTTGTGTCCAGGTGTCAACTGCTTTTAAAGTAATTAATTCCTCTGTAGCTGTCCTGTTACCCAATTTGTAAGCAATCTAATTAAACGGTATAAGCACTTTAATCAGTGATTGATTCTGTCCTTTTTGGTTGCAGTGAGAGAAATGTGGGTTTATGCTCATTTAAAAACACATCTCGGAATTCTTTCTATGGTTTGGGGGTCTGGTGGAAGGAGGCCTGTGTAACACATAGATCTGAATTAGTGCTACAGTGGCACCCTCAAGTCACAGGTCATCCTCAAAGTCCTCCCCAGTTGTAAACAGGTCACACAGTCGTATGGGTGGGGCCGTTTGTGCCCCTTGGGCCAAAGGCCTACCCTCTGCCTGAGGAGTCTCAATGCCCCATAACTGCTCGGGGCTCTTCCTGCTGGGCCTCTCTGGCCTGGATGTGGGAATGTGTGTGGCCTGAAGAAGCTGGACAGTGGGGGGCCTGCTCAGGCAGACTTCCCTTGGGGTCTCAGTCCCAGGAGCCCTTCGCTTAGCCTGTGATGGACCAGCTGGCATAGGGTCTCCCTGCAGTGGTCTTGGTGGCTCTGTGTCCACATGTGAACTGTTTCCAGTTGACGGGAGAAATCGTGCCCATTTAGAAGACAGAGCCTTAATCTGCAAGGTAGGACTTGGCAGTTTCCACCGAGGAAAACTAAGCTCCTTTGTGTGACCAGGCACAGAGCCCCAGAGGCAGGGGCCGCTTCCGTGCTGCTCAGTTCCCATCAGGTCAGCGTAGCCCTGAAATAAACCAGAGCAGATGGCTTCTGTTAGGCCCCGCAGGACAGCCCCCATGCCAGCCTGTCTTAGTGCTACCCTTCCACTTACTTGTCTGGGCAGGCTAGGGATGTGCCCTGCTTCTGCAGTTTAGCAAAATGAATAAATGCCTTCCATGTCACCCCAACCCACTGCAAACCTCATGACCACAAAAAGGCTTTCCTCAAAAAATGGGCTCGTGTCTTGTGTTCATGTGACCCATCTCCCAGGGACCTGGGACCAGGTCAACTGGGCCTGACGGGAGGTGTGCACAGGAAGGGCCCTAGCACCGCCCAGAGGATGGAGGCAGGCTGCTCATTGGCGTCCAGGTGGAGGAGTGCTTGCTGAACCATGCTGAGGTTCTGGAGCAGAGCAGGTAGCTGTCACTCCTGGGCCATGACCATTGCGCTGGGCCGGGTTTCACCCCATGAACCAAAGATGCACAGAAAATGGTTCCACTGCTTACGAAGGGACTCGAAAGCAAAGGCAGTGGGTCCCTGCACACTGCTGACCAGGTAACTTGAGGACGCTCTGTGCTCCTCACCCTTGCCACCGAATTTGCTGTGACCTCACTGAATGTTCCCAAGCCTTAGGTCCTCTAAAACAAGCTGCGGCGAGATTAAACATAATGACACAGCTAAAATATTCGGCCTAGGGCTGGCACATGGTAAAGACAGTAACTGTGTACCACTGTTTTATAATCTGTGGAATTCAGGGCCACATACATACTGAGTTCACTAATGGCCTCTGCCTCTTGGCTTTGAGCAGTGCTCTGAAGCCTGACACACAGACCTTGGCTAATGTCATCAGTTAGAGGCAGAGACTGAACAGGGATGCTCACTTAGAGCTCCCACGGCTGTGAAGCAAAACCTGTGTTCTGGGGTGCTGAATGTGTGGAGGGGCCTGTGAGCACTGAGCACTGGTGGCTCATGCCTGTAATCCCAGCTACTGGGGAGGCAGAGATCAGGAGGATCACGGCGTGAGGCCAGCCCAAGCAAATAGTTCATGACACCCTATCTCAAAAATACTCAACATAAAAAAGGGTAGGTGGAGTGGCCCAAGTGGGAGAGCCTAGCAAGAATGAGGTTCCCAAGTTCAAACACCAGTACCACCAAAATCAAACAAAGCCACATCCTAAACTGGGGACAGTGGCTTATGCCTATAATCCTAGCTACTCAGGTGGGGATTGGGAGGACCATGATTCAAGGCCAGTCCAGGCACGAAGTTCCCAAGACCCCATCTCAATAAAGCTGGGCACAGTGGCTCATGTCTGTCATCCCAGCTATTTGGGGAAGCATAAACAGGAGAATCACGGTTCAAGCCAGCCCAGGCATAAATGTGAGACCCTATATGAACAATAACTGAAAGCAAAAAACCGTGGGGCATAGTAGAGGACCATGCCTAGCAAGCAAAAGCCCCTGAGTTCAAACCCCAGTACCGCCAAAAGCCACACATCCTATGTGAGAGGAGTGCACTGGGTGCAGGCAGGTGGCTCTGGAGTGAGGTGCAGGGCAGACCCTAAGACCAAGTGGACAGAGATCTCCACTCTGCAGGATGAAGACAGTCCTGACTCAAACCCTGCTAGTCAACCTCAGTTGGATCCAAGGCATAAACACTGAAGAGGGTGAACATAGGAAGGAAACGGGGTACAGATCAGAGACAGGAGCTGGCTTTGAACAGAAAGATTAAGAACCCCAAGCAGGAAGTTGGGTTTTTAGGGATATAAATCTCATACATCAACTGTTGACAAATACAGAATAACAAAAACATTCAAGCCATGTGCCTGTAATCTCAGCTACTCTGAGGCTAAGGTAGGATTCTGAGGCTAGTACGGACATCAAATGAGACCTCGTCTCAAAAAAAAAATCCTGTGGGGCTGGAGGTGTAGCTCCGTGGTAGGCGCGCACTTCGAGTAAGCGACGCCCTGACTCTGCATGCACGCATGCACAATCCCACGTAAGCTCGGTGAGCACAGGACTGGAGGCTCACTGTCCTCCATCACTGACCTCATGGGGCTCCCAGGTGGTCCCAGTGCTCAAGTCCTGCACACCAGGGCTGCGTGGAGGCCGCTGTGTGTTCTGGCTCCATTTCCTGGCAGAGAAAAAGTGCTAGCAATTGTCCAGTCCACCATTTGGTGGTCTCCCAGAGACTGACTTTGGTCACCTGGCCCAACGCCCAGCCCAGGGAGGAACCTCCTCACCCTTCACATCTGCCCAGCTCACACCACCTCCAGGAACAGCCCAGGCAGTCCATTTCTCTGCTCTGTGGTTTGTAGTTTTAGAACATTTTTTTCTTTTTTTGTTGGACTGGGGTTTGATCTCATGGCTTTGCCCTTGCAAAGCAGGCACTTTGCCACTTTAGCCACACCTCCAGTCCATTTTGCTGTGGTTATTTTGGAGAAGGGGGCTTGCAAACTATTTGCCATAGCTGGCCTTGAACCTTGATCTTCCCTATGTCGGCCTTCTAAGTACCTGGCTTGTTAGAACACTCTTACTTTAAACTGGAGTCTACCTCCCAAAAGTGTATGACCCATAAGGGCCCCTGCTCTTTAACCTACGCAGTCTCTTCAGAGTGCTCACTGAGATCTGGAAGCCTGGAGGAGAAAGCTTCGGAAAAGTCTCTCAGCTATACTGTAGCTCCCAGGTCCACTGGCTACTCTGGCCACACTTCACTCTGTCAACCCTGCCCTTAAAGTCAATTTTTCCCCCTTAGTCAGTACAGCCTGAGTCATTCAGAATTATTTTTTTTTCTTTTTGAGATAGGGTCTCACTATGTAGCCCAGGCTGACCTGAAATTTCTTTCTTCTCTCTCTTCCTTCCTTCCTTCCTCTTTTTTGGAGTGGTGCTGGGGTTTGGGACTTTCTGCTTGCTAGGAAGGTGCTGTACAGCTTGAGTCACTGCACCAGCTGTCCTGGAACTCTCAATCCTCCTACCTCAGTTTCCCAAGTGCTGGGATTACAGGGATGGCCACCATACATGGTGGAGACATTCATAATCAAGTCAGCATGGTACAAGGTACCCTACTGGTGGGCCCTCCCTTTCCCTTCCCTCTGCTGGCAGCAGCCAGGGTGAGGGGTTGCAGCGCTGTCTGCTGCTCCAGCTGCCCCGCCTTAAGGCACAACACTCCTGCTTCTCCCCCTTTGGATGACTGCTAGAAATGGTGCATCCACCCCCCTTCCAGGAGCCAGCAGGGAGAGGGCTGGATTAGACTCACTGGGCACCTTTTCCTGGGCAGGGCTGGAGGGAGGGGCGGGCCTGGCTGCTCAGTGCTGGCTGAGGACTGTGTGGGAGACAACTCTCCTCCTCCCCATTCTTGCTCGGCACAGCTCTTGTCCAGATACTTCAGCCAACGGCTCTCCGAGAGTCTGGGTCTTCCCTACAGCATTGGGACAGAGGTTGATTCTGAGTCTTTCGGAAAGTAGCCACTGTATCCAAATCCCAGCCCAACTCTTAGGTGGGAAAGCATCAAGACCCATGTTGCTCTCATCAGGAAGAGCACCTGGTCTGGGGGTGACGGGGCAGGGCTCCCCTGAGACACCAATGAAACAGTGCTCACAGGGCCAGGCCTTGCCAAGAACCTTCAAATGTCTGTGCTCCTTGACCCAGGTACTCTAGATGAAGAGCAAGGCACAAAGAAGCTGGCCACAGTGGTACAAATAATAGCAAGTTTTAGAACAGCACAAGTGGGGACCACCTCACTGCCAAAGGAGACAATGGTGTCTCCTTTTTGGCAGCACTGGAGTTTAAACTCAGAGCCTCACACCTGCTAGGCAGCTGCTCTTACCACTTGAGCCACGCTACCAGCCCTATAGATACTGTTCACAAATGAAAATCATTGAAAACCAAATAGCAACAAAGAATGAAAAAACTGAAAGCTTCAGGATGCAAAAAGGCACTTTTTTTTCTTCTTTTTTTGGTGCTAGGGATCAAATCCAGGGCAAGTGCTCTACCCCTGAGCTACATCCCCATCCCCCGTATTTCTTATAAGAATGATATAAAGCTTCCCAGCACTGGCCAGGCTGAGGTAGAGAATCTGGAGTTTGAAACCAACCTGGGCAAGACAGTGAGACTCCATTCCAAAACAAAACAACCACAGAGAAGGATGCCAAATTAACTCTGTAAAGGGACTGAATGGGAACCAGACACAGCTCCCAAGTACAGCCTGTTTATAATAAAAATATGAACACCAAATGGTGAGAAGAGGCAGTTAGGATGATCCCATGAACAGAGGCATGGTACTGCCCACAGGTGGACGGTTGTCCCCACTCCCTCTGGTCTGGGCAGGACGGTGCTCCATGTGCCCACAGTACCTTATCTGTACTGCTGGTGTCACCTACTCACAAAAGCTGTCACACACTGCCTACTGCTCTGCTGGCCTTCTCACCAGGCTCGGAGGACAGAGAACTGGATGTGATTCCTGCTCTTAAGGAGCTCCTGGCCTGAAGCAAAGGAACATAGGCCCCTGCATTTTATATCAGCATCCTTTCCCTATCAGAGGTAAGCCAGGAGCTCTGTGGGAAGAAAGCAGGAGCAACACAGGGAGGTGAAGTTCAAGCTCTCCAAGCAGACAGAAAGTCCTAGCTGCAGAATACTGTAATGATTTACACAGATAGCTATCTCCACCCTTACAAAGAGATAGACTTATTCATGTTTGTGTTCCTTGTAGCTTTCAGAAGCCAAGTGCCTGTCATTTGATCACATCAATAAGCATTTTGTTAATAGATGACTAATGAACACTGTTAAGTAAAAATTACAGGAAGGCATAATTTTGGACAAGCTGCTATGCTGGGCCCCAACAGACAAGACTAAAACAAAATGGAGTGCAAGGATGTGTGCTCAAGTTCCACATCACCAAGCTGGAACTAAGGAATCAGAAACCAGGGGAGAAACGGCAGCCTAATTCTCCAGATGGGCTAGTTTCAATGCACATGGCAATGAAGCTTCCTCGCTTTAATCCTTACCAAAAAACGTAACCTGAAGTAAACCAAGTAGTTATTTTTCTATTGCTCTTTATCCCTTACAAAGGAAGTAACTTTGAAATGAATCATTTACTCCTTTTCTTTCTTTTTTAGCCCTTCTTTGTCTATAAAACTAACCCCTTCTGCTTAGCTCTTTGGAACAAGTAACTGTATTTTATGGGATGAAGTGTTACCTGATTCTAGACCAGCAAATATGAGCAACTGATATCTTTAAATGTGTTGTCATTTTGTCCTCCGGCAATACATAAATGGATTCTTTCATGATACACAGCAGCCCAGGAGGCGGGGCTGGGACAGATGCCACCAGCTCACCTGCAGACTCCAGTTCTCAGCCTGTGGGTGGCCTGCATTTTCTTTTCCATTGGCACTTACGACTTCTTCCAGAGACCTGAGGAAGTGATCATAAATATGCCTTCGTAAAGTGAAAAGGAAGATAAAAAGGACACAGATGATGAAGACAGCAGGCTGCAAGGACCTGACAGTGGGTGTCAAAGATCGTTTAGGGGGATTTTGGGGACATTGCTGTTGTCCTGACATGATCCATTCATCCTCTAGCAGTTCAGGAGGCCTGGGCAGAGGGAGCATTTGCTTCTCGTGACTGAAGGGCAGGGCGACCAGGGAAGACATTTACAGTGTGAGCACTGGAGGATATGGCCAAGCTCACGTCCACCCAACTGACAAAGCTATTACAGGATTATTAGACTGGACTCTGCTGTATGTGGGCACTGCTACCTCAGTTACGTCATCTGTCAGAAGAAACCAATAATGTTCACAGGGCTATTATGAAGGCAGAATGAGATCATGCATGTGGAAACACCTGGCCCCAAGGTCGATTCTTGAATTCAGGTGAGCAGGGTCACCCCAGCTATTGGCGGGAACTCTGTTCACCTTCCTATAACCTTGAACCCAACACCAGGGCTGGGGCTGCAGCTCAGTGTTAGAGCACTTGCCTAACAGAGTTTGGTGCTGTGGATGGAATCTGGGGCCTCACATATGTTAAGGAACAGCTCTATCACTGAGCTACATCCCAGCTCCAGCATTGTTTTTTATTTGCTTTTTTAAGACAGGTTCTCACTAGATAGCCCTGGCTGACCTTGAACTTGTGCCTCTTCTGCCTCAGTCTCCTGAGTGCTGGGATTATAGGTGTATGTGCCATGCCTGGTTTATTAGCGTTGTTTTGAGATTTGCTCATGCTATCCTGTTGCTGAGCACTGTTCCGTTGTATGAATACATCCCAGTTGGCTTAGCTGTTTCCCTGCTGAAGTGTATAGATATCTAGTCATTCACCAGTTTCACAGCCCTAAGTATTAATAGTAAATCATGAAATCAGACTGAAGAAGTCCTCCAACTTTGTTCTTTATCAGAACTATTTTAGAAATTCTAATCCTTTGCATTTCTATGCAAATTTTTGGATTTCCTTCCTTCTTCCCCTCCTTCCTTCCTTCCTTTTCAGTACTGGAGTTTGAATTCAGGGCCTAAACTCTGAGTCATTCCACCAGCCCTTTTTTGTGATGGATTTTCTCGACATAGGGTCTCAAGAACTATTTCCCCAAGACTGGCTTAAAACCGTGATTCTCCTGATTTCTGCCTCCTGAGTACCTAGGATCACAGGCAAAAGCCACCAGTGCCTGGCCTTTTTTTTTTTTTTTTTTAAAAGCCTCATGGGGAAAAAAAATATCTTTTTTTTTTTTTAAGTATTGGTAAAACAGGGTTTAGGCAGGGAGTCAGGAAACTTGATGACTAAGAACAATGGCTTGGATGTTGATTAAAAAAAAAAAATCATACCCACTGACATCAACAAAATGACTACTGACATACAGCAGGGTCTTACTGACTCACAGCTCCTGCAGTCTTTGGGAAATGACATGCTAGGGTTCACCATTCAAGACTCAAAACTCCCCTGCCTGACATGTGAAGGAATTCATGATGCACACCCCAGTCTCCAGCAGTTGATACCTGGTTTCAGGAATGATGGTCCACATACTGCAGACCCCAAAGTTTGAAGTCTCAGGACTACTGGGGCAGCTGCTGCTCTTTCTTGAGCCTGCCCAAGGGTGTATTTTCGCTTTGCTTTGCATTAACGACCTGGCTTCTGCTACATCTCCTTCTCTTTCTCTGAGAAGACCAAGAACCTTCTGGCCCTGCCCCTGTGACCTGGCTCAGCAACACTGGGGATTATACCCAGGGCTTTGTGCATGGTAGGCAAGTGCTCTACCACTGAACTTCGTCCCCAGCTACAGAAGGGCTTACACCTTGAGCCACTCCGCCAGCCCGTTTTTTGTGGAGGGTTTTTTTCGAGATAGGGTCTCAAGGAACTATTTGCCTAGGCTGGCTTCAAACCATGATCCTCCTATTTCTGCCTCCTGAGTAGCAAGGATTACAGGTGTAAGCCATTGGTGCCCAGCAGAAGCCACATTTTTAAAGAACATTTTATGGCTGGCCAAGTAATGCTTAACTTGAATTACCTCTAATAAAGCAAACTATTCTTTTACCCAGTTTGTTAACTGGGGGAAATCAAGGATCTGATTGGTAGGTCACCCACCATGTTATTGTCAGGGCTAGGAGAGGAAACCAGGAGGTTCTTCTCTATAATGCTTAGCTTTCAAGAGAAGGAAAAACAGCCCAGAACCAGCATCTCAAGCCTACAATCGTAGTTGCTTGGGAGGCTGAGATCTAGAGGATCAAGGTTCAAGGCCAGCCTGTGCAAATAGTTTGTGAGACCCTATCTTCTAAGTAACCAGAGCAAAAAATGTACTGGAGGTGTGGCTCAAGCAGTAGAGTGCCTGCTTTGCAAGTGTGAAGCCCTGAGTTCAAACCCCAGTTCCACCAAAAAAAAAAAAAAAAAAAAAAAAAAACAAGAGAGAGAGAGAAGGAAAAACCGTATCCTGCTGTCTTTTGACAGTGCAGGACTGCGAAGATTTCTTCATCATTCAGCCCTTCCTGGGCCCAGAGTTTATTAATTCATTTTATTTTATTTAAAATGCTGCATCTTTGTGGTTTTTTTTTGTCTTCTCATAACAGTATGGGAAATAAATAGTGTGAAATATGAAGAAAAAGAGCCTGCTGGAATTCTGACTGGGATTGGGTTGACTCTGTAGATGAATTTAGAATGAAGGGACATTTTAACATTACTGAGTTTTCTAATCCAGGAACATGTGACAACTCTTCATTAATTCAAATCCTCTTTAGTATCTCAGTAATGTTTCACAACTTTTACAAAGAAGATAGTTCACATTTTTTGTTATATTTATCTAAGTATTTGGTTTTTTTTTGGGTGGTACTAGTGTTTGGAACTCAGGACCTAACGCTTGCTAGGTGGGCGCTTTTACCACTTGAGCCACTCTGCCAGCCCTGTTTTGTGTTGGGTATTTTTGAGATAGGGTCTTGAGAACTATTTGCCTGGGGCTGGCTTTGAACCTCGATCCTCCTGATTTCTGCCTCCTGAGTAGCTAAGACTACAAGCGTGAACCCCTGGCGTCTGGCATATATATACACACATATATATACATATATTTTTGGGTGGCACTGGGATTTGAACTCAGTGCCTCACGCTTGCTAGGCAGGTGCTCTTACCACTTCAGTCACTCTGCCAATCCCAGTATTTCATTTTTTTAATGCTCTTATAAATGGTATTTGGTTTTGTATAGAAATACAACTTAATTTTATATGTTGACCTTGATGCTATGATCTTGCTGAATTAACTAGTAGTTAATAGTTGTAGTAGTGTTGTAGCTTTATCAAGATTTCCTATATGCACATCATCCTGTTTATAAAAAAAATAATGGTTTTACATGGTTTGGGATTTATTGTATTTGCTGAATCAAGGATGATGTTAACTCTTTTGATTCTGGAAAATGCTCTGCTCTTATCTCTTTAAATATTACCTTTGTCCCATTCCCTTTAGTCTGACTTTTTTTTTGTGTGTGTGTTGCTAGTGATTGAAACCAGCAACATGCTAGACAAGTGCTTTGCCACTGACCTATGCCCTCAGTCCACTAATCTCTTTAGCTGCATTTGTTTCATGGTGTGATATTACTATTTTTTTTTTTTTTTTGGTTGGACTGGGGTTTGAACTCAGGCTTCCTGCTCTCCTGCCTTAGTCACACCTCCAGTCTATTTTGCTCTAGTTATATTTGGCGATGGGGTCTATTTGTCTGGGCTGTCACTGAATTGCAATCCTCCTGATCTCAGCCTCCCAAGTAGCTAGAGTTATAGGTATGAGCCACTGGCACTTGACTGTTGTGATATTATGATATATTTTGGTTTTTGACCACAGTTCCTGACTCATAAATCTTCCACAAGGCAGGTCATAGAACTAGAATTTTCCTTCTCCAAGGTAGGTCACAGAAACTCTAATCTTTCCCTGCCTTTCTGTTTTGGAGCTGGTCATAAATAAATTCTCTGACTTACCCTTGTCCAACAGCGGGTCATAAGACTCTCCTCATTTCAGAAGGGTCCTGCCCATACCCTGGAAGGAAGAATGCTGCACAGAGGCCAAGAATGCTGAAGCAGACATCATTTCAATGATTCCACTTTAAATTTCTACAAACTCTTTTTGGTTCTTTTTCAAATTATACTTGACTCTTTTAAAAAGTCTCTCAGATTACCAACTCCTTTTTTTTTTTTTTTGTGGTACTGAGGTTTGAACTCAGGGCCTACACCTTGAGCCACTCTCCACTAGCCCTTTTTGTGAAGGGTTTTTTTTGAGATAGGGTCTCATGAACTATTTGCCCAGGCTGGATTCAAACTGTGATACTCCTGATCTCTGCCTCCTGAGTAGCCAGGATTACAGGCTTGAATCATCAGTGCCTGGCTCCTCCTTTTTTTAAAATCAGGCATATTAAACATGTAATATTATGTTATGGAATATTTGTGTCTGACTTTTTTATTTGTGCTGCCTTTCTCCTAACCGCCCCCCCACTCAGGTTTCATATTTTCTTGCTGACTCTTAATCCATTTAAAATATTGTAGCTAGCATTTTTAGTTATTTTCAGTAGGACTGCTCAGGTGATTAATCTGCCATACTGCAAAACATGGAAATCTAAGGGATTTCCCCATTGTATACTTCCACCATCCAATAAAGATAAAAACAGAGAGGCTGGGTGCAGTGGCTCATACTTATAATTCCAGTTACTTGGGAGGTGGCAATTTCAAGGATTGAGGTTCAAAGCCAGCCCAGCTAATAAGTTAGTGACACCCTACCTCATTCAATAAGCCTGGCATGGTGGCGCACACCTTTGATTCCAGTTTTGAGGGAGGCCCTGGGGCAACAACTTGAGATCCTACCTGAAAAATAACTAAAGCCAAAAAAAAGTGCTGGGGGTGTGGCTCAAGTGGTAAAATGCCTACCTAGCAAGTGTGAGGCCCTAAGTATAAATCCCAGTACTGCAAAAAGAAGGAAGAAGACAGTGACAACAGGGTAAGATATCATGCCCCTTTCAAGAAACTGTACCTGAGTGACAGCTCTGAATCTTGTCCCTGCAGCAGATTTAGTTTTTGGACATGGCGTCTGCAGTCAGCACCAGAACCCTCACCATAAGCCTGGGAAGGAAAAAAATATATTGTTTAAAAAGTTGTCAGAATGCTGAGAAACTTCCATGAGATGTGCCTCGGAAAGACAGAGGCATGTTTGCAAGGCCCAGAGATGTTGGCAGCAGCAACAGGAATCCTAACAACTGGTTGTATTTCTAGAGTGACATACAAATGACTGGGCTCTGGAGCCACAATTCAGGTCTACCTGGACATGAACAGCTGGTGCTACACAAAATGGGTAATGAACGTGAATAAAAAGCTTCACAAATGGCCAAACATATGAGAACTGATTCTTACCCTAATAATTAAAAGAATACACAATAAAATGAGATACTTTTTCCCACTTAGCAGTCACTCATTTGTTCAGTTAATGTTTACTGAGCACCTACTGTGTAAGTGTGGACACCATACAGCAGTGGCTGTCAACCACTGTCACCATGGAGCTCACCTTCTAGTGAGAGGAGACAGGCGATAAACAAGTTAAGTACCACATGTGGCCTACAGACGATGACAAGGCTCCTGAGGAAAGTAGGCAATGAAAGGTCGTAGGGTTGCATGGGGGACCATGTACACCATTTTACATAGGGTGTTCAGAATGGCCAAGATGACACTTGAATGCAGAGGATACAGGGAGCAAGCTATGCAGATGTGTAGAACATTCCAGCAGATACGATGAATAGAACGAGAGCAGAGAACCCAGGCCAGCATTTGGAGAAATGGCGAGGGAGCCAGTGGGGCTGCAGCTGAAACATGAGGGGAGGATGAGAGGAGATGAAATTTGAGTGGGGCTTGTCAGCTTCTTGGGCCTGAGCCTTGCTCCTTTGTGCAGGATTCAAATTTCTTCCAGATGACAACTGTTGCTCAGGCTGGCCTCCTACTCCTGGGTTCAAATGATTCTTGTGTGTGTGTGTGTGTGTGTGTAAAGCTGGAGTTTATTGGGACAGAAAAGTCGCAAAGAGTAAAGCTCACAGGGCTGGGAGGGGTCCCAAGAGATGGTGCCCTTAGGTGATTCTTTTAATTTTTAACTTTTTTGGTGGGCCTGGGGTTTGAACTCAGGGCTATACTCTTGCAAAGCAGGCGCTCACAATGCAGGCATTCTACTGCTCGAGCCACACCTTTAGTCTTTTTTGCTCTGGTCATTTTGGAGAACATTTGCCAGGGTGGCCTGGAACCACAATCCTCCCGACCTCAGCCTCCCAAGGAGCTAGGATTATGGGTGTGAGTCACTGGCAGCCAGGTTCAAGTGATCCTTCTGCCTTAGCCTTCCAAGTAGTGTATGCTGCCATCCAGGCTCTTTTTTTTTTTTTTAGTACTGGGTTTGAATTCGTCTTACACTCGATAAGCAGGCACTCTTCCACTTGAGTCATGCCTCCAGTCCTCGCTTTGTACTTCTTAATAAAGACAGTCCTTTGTATTGTGCATCAAGGATTCTAACAACTGTAGATGGAAAACACTCAAGAAAAAAAAACTATCTGTGCTGAACACTTGCAGGCCTTTTCTTGTTATTCCTTACATACAGCACACTATAATACACTATTTACATAACATACACATTGCACTCAGTATTGTAAGTCATTTAAGATGACTTAAAGCATACAGGTGGTACACCTGTAGTCCCAGCCTGGGCAACATAGAGGCCCACTCCCACCCCTGGAAAAGTACACTGGAGGATGTGCACAGGTTAGATGACATTTTACAGAAGAGACGTAAGCACCTGAAGATGTGTGGAACTAATCCACACAGACGCTAAGGAATGACTAGAACTTGAGCTTCGAGCTTGTGTTTTGCAAGTGAGGTCCAATGGAAAAGGGGCGTATCTGTGAGCAGAGGACGCGTCACCTACACCCACCAACCCCTGCCACCCTATCGCAGACAGCACTCTCAGTGCGTCTCGGGCCCGGAATTCCTGTGTACCCCAGAGTGTGGCGTCCTCTGTGACCCCGAGTGTACTCTGAGTGAGTGATGCCTACAATGGGGGGCAGGGGTGAGGGGCCCTGTGGCCTGAGAACCAGGACTTGTGAATGAGGCACTGGTACTCTGGAAACATAAACTAAGAAAACCTGTTTGCATCATTTCTTACTTTGGTTACGTCCCTGTGTCAGTCAGCACTTACGATGAAAATGACAACCTGGAAGGCAACTCACAGTGCCTCTTCCTTTCAGTCCTTCCTTAGCCACCACTGAGCCAAGGATGGATAGGTTGAGAGGGGAATGTCTGTGTACACCAAGAAGAGGAGGAAGGGCTGGGGGTGTGGCTCAGTGGTAGAGTGCTTGCCTAGTATGCTTGAGGCCCTGGATTCCATCCCCAGAACCACAAGAACAGACAGACAGACAGGCACGCACGCGCGCACACGCACGCACGCACGCACGCACGCACACACACACACGGAGGCATCTGAAATAAAAACAACTGAATTCAAATTGTGCAGCCTTTCCACTGTTCTGGTCAGAACAAACTATGTAAGGCACAGATGAGTTGTGAAATATGAACTGTGTAATTTTGGTGATTCTGCATGTGTACTAAATACTTGTATTTGTATTTAAAACTAACATTGCATCGAGTGCTGGAAGCTCATGCTTATAATCCTAGTTACTGAGGAGGCCCAAAGTTCAAAGCCAGCCCCTGCAAATAGTTCACAAAACACTATCTGGAAAATACCCAACACAAAACAGGGCTGGAGGAGTGGTTCAAGTGGTAAAGCGCCTGCCTAGCAAGCGTGAGGCTCTGAGTTCAAACCCCAGTGCTGCCAAAAACCACACACATAAATAAAGTAAAACTGGCATTGCGCAATACAAAGATGAACAATAAGACTAATGCCAATCATTTACGTGCTGGATTTCCTTAGGAAGATATCAAATTTAAGACATTGGCTGCTGGTGCTTACTACAAGCAGTGTTCTTACACTGACCGTATAGAAAAAGGAGGGAAAGTAAACCTACCTAATCTATACCTCAGCCCAGGCCCTGTCTTTATTGTAAATGGGAAGACATTGGGTAGGAAAAAAAAAAAGACACCCTGAGGCCAGGTGTGGTGGGAACACACAGGTAACAACAGTAATCCCAGCGCTCAGGAGGTGGAGGCAGGAGAATCTTGAGTTTGTGACCAGCCTTGGTTACACAGCAAGATCCTGTCTCAATGAACAACACAATGTGTGTGGTGGTCCACGCCTGTAATTCTAGCTACTTGGGAGGCAGAGATCAGGAGGATCAAGGTTTGAGGCCAGACAGGTGAAAAAGTTTATCCTGATCAATAAAAGCTGGGTGTTCAAGATGTACTGTGGGGGAATCTGGGCATTTTAACCTGACCAGGAATTGTCAGAGCTGCAAACTGGAAGAGAAGACTCCAATTTTTTTTTTTAATTGATTATTGACATTAATTTGTTGGTGGTACTGGGGTTTGAACTCAGGGGCTTGTGCTTGCTAGGCAAGCACCCTACCACTTGAGCCATGCACCCAGTCCAAGATTCCAGTTTTGGTTTTGGACCCTCTGTGTAACAGCAAATGTAAATTCCTTACAGATGGGCTCAAACAGCAGCCTGGCACACTCCGTGGGAGACTGTTTGTCCTCTATTCAGATAATCCCACTGTCCCCTCTGAACAAGAGCCAGGAGAGTCCATGTCACTCCCAAAGAGCATCCAAGTGGTTATGACTCACTACAGCCTCCTTTGAAATGTCTCTTGCTAGAGAGGGAGATCAATTGCATTAGTTAAAAGTCTAAAAAAATTCTGTTGGCTCAAACTTCCTGTGAGGCTTGGGAACCCTGTGGTTTATAGAATGCAGCTCCGTCTTTATACTTTTCCATTGTTTTGTGACTATAACAGGACTGCTCACGAACTTGTTTTAATTAAGACTTATTTTTTTTCCCCACCCCATGTCTCCCTCTTCACAATACAGACCAGGAACAGGGCCTGGGCTGATGTGTATATGGGGGAGGTTTACTTTGCCTCCTCTTTCTATACAGTCAGTGTAAGAACACGGCCTGTGGTAAGCACCAGGAGGCCAAGACTTATTTTTACATTATTAAAAAAAAAAAAAAAAAAAAAAAAAAAGCTGAGCATGGTGGTATGTACCTGCTATCCCAGCTATGTAGGAAACATAAATAGGAGGACAGTGGTCCAGGACAGCCTGGGCATAAAAAAAAAAAAAAAAGAAAGAAAGAAAGCAAAAACAGCTGGTATTCATGTAACAGAGCACCTGCCTGGCAAGCATAAGGCCCTGAGTTCAAATCCCAGTACTGCTACCCCCCCACCCCAAAACAATGACATAGGCTGGGGGTGTAGCTCAGTAGTAGAGTGTATGCTTAGCATGTGCAAGGGCCTGGGTTAAATCCCCAGCACTCCTCTTCTCCTAGTAAAATCATGGAAAGTCAAGAAAGACTGGGAAAAATACTTTATATTTTACTTTACTTATTTGGTGCTAAGCACTGAACACAAGGCCTTGTACAAGCTAAGCCAATTATTTACCAATGAATCACACCTGCAGCCCATTTTTAGTGTGTTTAACAGCTCTTTTTTCTGTGCTTTGAACAAGGAGGCGCTATGATTTGAACATGAAATGTCCTTCACAGGCTCATGTATGGGGACATGCTGCTGACGGGCTTTTGGGCTCTGCTGTCATGAATAGATGAATGCACTGATGAACTCAAAATCTGAATAAACTACTGGGAGGTGGTGGAACTGTGGAAGAAGGATCCTGCTGGGAGGAGGGAGGTCACTGAGGTCGTGCCCTTAGGGGCCGTATCGTGCCCTGGTCCCTTCCCGTATTTCATAACTTTGTTTCCTGATCACCATGATGTGAACTGCTCCGCCATGCCCTTTCCACCATGATGTACTGACATCTCTCAAACTATGAGGTAGAATAAATCCTTTCTCCTTTACATTATGTCAGTTATTTTATCACAACGATGAGAACGGTAACTAACTCAGCACCTCACATTTTCAGTTTGTACTGGTTCCCACCAAAAAAATATAACCTGGAGCGTTCTGGGTAGTGGAGCACCATGAGCTACCATGGTGGATCCACAGCTTTGGCTGTGGTGTTGGGAATAGATTCTATGGTAGAATCCCGCAGATGAGTTACGAAGTTGCTGTAAAGAGTAAGGTGAGAAACAAGTGTGATTGGATCTAATTTGGAGGCAGAGCTGACAAAATTTGCAGATGAGACTGGATGAAGAATGTAAAAAACAAAGGAGCCAAGGATGACTCTAAGGTTTTTATATCAAACAACCTCAAAAGAGGGACTTGGCACTGAAGAGATGCATGGGCGCATTCAGCACCAATCAAGCTTGAGATGCCTATTAGATATCCAGCAGGGAGCTGAGTGGGGCAGCGTGCATGAGCTTAGGCGCAGGCTTGGCATCTGAGAATACCTTTGAGAGTTGTCAGATGGAACCCAGGGCCTCATGCATGCTAGGCAAGTGCTATACCACTGAGCTACCTTCCCAGTTTTTGTCAGCTGATCTTATCTCAGACCAATGAGGGAATGAGTACGTTCTAAAGTATTCCAATGTTCAGAAGTTGGGGAAATTAGCAAAGAGGACAGAAACAATAGCCAGGAAGGTAGGAAGGAAACCAGGAGAAAGGATCTGGAAGTCCAAGTGAAGAAAATGGTTCAAGGAGGCAGAATTGACAACCTGTGACAAATGCTGTCAGTAAGTCCAGTCATGTGAGGACTGCAGACCTGTCTGCAGCACATTCAGTGAGGATGGCTGGAGAGGCTGGGAAGGGGAACAGCAGAGCTGCAGAGACTGATAAGCTGCATCTGGCCTAACCGGCAGGGGACCTCTCTAATGAATACTGAACAGTATCCTCCCCTACACGGACTACATTCTCCAGCCTGCCCTGGGTTAGGGTTGGCCATGAGCCTACCTCATTTCATTCAAATGTTTGCTCCCAGAAGTCCCCTAACTCCCACCCCAACCATGCTGTTGCCCCTTCTAGTGGCTGGAGGCAACCATAGGCAGGCCTTGGAAAATAAAAGCAGCTCAAGATGACAGAAGCCTCGGTTCCCTGAGTGACCACATCAAGGACAGCTGTCCACTGGTCTCAACATCTCTCCAAGAGCAAGAGAAACAAGTTCCCTTGTGTTCAGCCACTCCAATTTTAGTGTGTATTCCTGTGGCCTGGACCACCATAAGCACACACCATTACATAGGAGGAAGGTGAAGCCTTCCCTTCCTTGAGAATTTAGGGGTGCATAATGACCTATCAAATAAGCAGCAGTCACTATGTGGCATGTCTGCCCAGCTAAGGAGGCAGCCCTTTGTCTTCTGAAAGCCAAGTCCACTTGACTGGGCCAAAGATGGACATCTGAGTCCACTGAGGCCAATCAGATGGCTTCTTGCAGGACTTTGTAATTGGAATGTGGCTATTTCACCTGGTTTAGGACAAGTTTCTGTGGACTCAGCGCACAGTATGTTATTGTCTGGGGAGAAACAGGAAAGGAAGGAGAGGAGAAAGAAGAGAAAAGGTGTTGGAAGAAACTGGCGGAGGGACAGGAGACAGAATGATGCTTGGCTTACTGGAAGGTTTTATTTTTTTTCCTTTTGAGACAGGGTCTCACTAGGTCTCACTATGTAACCCAGGGAGGACTTGAACTCATGCCCCTCCTACCTTAGCTTCCTGAGTGCTGGTATTATACTTGTGCCATTATACCTGGCTAGTTTTTCAGTTTGTTTTGTTTTGTTTTGTCTCACTATGTGGGCCTAGAACTCCATTCTGCTTCCTCAGCCTCCTGAGGCCTTTCAGTTCCTAAAGCAGATTCTTCAAGGGGTAGGTAAGAGGTTCTGCCCTTGGATTCCTCTGTTACCCATTACCTTGCCAGCCCATTGGTTTTTACTTCACTGAAGCCACTCTGAAGTATTTTAATGTATCATTTATAACTAAAATACCTTGATGGGAAGATAGCATCTAAAACAGCAATTTCACTTCTAGGACTTTGTCCTAAGTAAATAGTAAATAGTTGCTCAAGTGAACAAAGAGGTAGTTATAAAATGTTTCACTGCTGGTGCTAAGGGTGTAGCTCAGTGGTAAAGTGCTTGCCTAACATGCTTGAGGGCCTGAGTTCAAACATCAGCACCACAAAACAAATAAAATAATCTAAGTGTCCATCAATATGGGGCTGGTCACCTACTCATTCGACAGAGACCTATTACTGAGCATCTACATACGGGGCATTGTGCTAGGGACTGAGCCTCTGCTCCTGAAAACTCCCAGTGTGGGAGGGACAGCACTCACAGACGTATTAATACATAACTTCTAATCAGGATAATGAGAAAGGGAAGCCCCAAACAGTGAGCACAAGGACCCTAGGAGGTCAGAAAGAAAGCCACTCTGGCCAGGTGCGGTGGCCTGTAATCCTAGCTACTCAGGAGGATCATGGTTTAAAGCCAGCCCAGGCAAATAGTTCTTGAGACCCTATCTCCAAAACACCCATCACAAAAATAGAGCTGGTGGAGTGGCTCAAGGTGAAGGCCCTGAGTTCAAGCCCCAGTACCAATTAAAAAAAAAAGGAGGAGGGGAGGAGAAAGAGGAAGAGGAGGAAGAGGAGAAAGAAGAGGAAGAGGAAGAAGAAAGAAGAGGGAGAAAAGAAACAGGGGCAAGGAAGAAGGGGAAGGAAGAAGAAAGCAAGCCATTCTGGCTGCAGAAAGAGAGAGGTAGCATCAGGGCTGGAGCCGGCAAGTGAGGGGCCCTTAGGATGGGACAAGGGGCAAGAGTTAGGCAGGTCAGTGCATATGGACTTGAAAAGATGTGCATGATGTCACATAAAGAAAAGTAGACTAACTGGGGCATTTAAAATGTGTGCCTGCAAGCCACCGGCTTCCCAAATGCCCTACTTCCTGAACCTGCTCTCTGCCCCATTCTCCTTAGCTCTGACTTCCTGTTACATTCTTACATGCCCTGCACTTTCCTCTCATGGAGCTCAGTCTAGTTTTAAATTAGGTATACGGTGCCACATGTGGCATATGTGTGCGGACATACATACGTGAGCATATGTATTCATTTCTCTTCCCCGTCCCAAAAGTGCATCTGTGAGAGCAACATACAGCTCCAACCATCTCAGTTCCTGAAGGATGAGCAGGAGCTCTGTATCTGGGGAACTTCTTGGGAGAGAAAAGGACCCTAGCTATGGAAGGCTGCGGCTCCTTGAGAAATACCCGCCGAGGACTGGGGCCACTGCTTTGTCTCTCAGGACTCACCCGCAAAAAGGACTGCTTCTCTCCACATGCCTTGCATGTCCATTTGAGACTCTTTTTCACCTGCAATGAAATTTCAGAAATGCAGCTTAATTACATAAAACAAGATGAGACTGGATTACAAATAATTTAGCTACACTCCCAGCCGTGAATGTGGCATTTTAAAGTGAGTAAAGAATATACTATTTAACAAGTGATGCTGGAAAAAACTGGCCATCCATAAGAGACAAAACCAAGTTAGATTTCTGCCATCTGTGGTCCTCAAAAAAGAAAAAGCCGGGTGCCAATGGCTCACATTTGTGATCCTAGCTACTCAGGGAGCAGAGATCAGGAGGATCGTGGTTCAAAGCCAGCCCAGGCAAATAGTTCACAAGATCCTATTTTGAAAAAAACCCATCATAAAAAAAGGGCCAGTGGAGTGGCTCAAGGTATAGACCCCAAGTTCAAACCCTAGTACCACACACACACACAAAAATAAACAAAAAACCCAAAAACCCTGTGTGAGTGGCAACTAGCATGCGCAAGACCTTGGGTTGGGAACCCAGCACTAAAAAGAATTATGTAACATTGAATTTCCATTCTCTCTCTCTCTTTTTGGTGATACTGGTGTTTGAACTCAGGGCTTTGAGCTTGCTAAGCACCTTTTTCACTTTAGTTATTTTTCAGGTAGAGTCTCTTAGTTTTGCCTGGGGCTGGCCTCAGACCCTGAGTAGTTGGTGTCATAGGCATATAGTGCCACACCTGGCTTAAAGATTGAGATGGGTATTGCTAACTTTTTGCCTGGACAGGCCTTCAACCACTATGGAGTAACTGAGATTACAGTTATGAGCCACCATGCCCAGCTTGTTTCCATTCTTGGTAAATGACTAGATGGGCTCTCTTAGCATGATAAAATGCCTTAAACCCAGCTCTAATGGTGGACAATCACTACCAGCATTTGTTGGATCCTCACTATTTTCTTTTTGTTTGTTTTTTTGGTTTTTTCAAGGCAGAGTCTTACGATATGGCACAAGCTGGTCTGGAGCTCTCGATCTTCCTGCCTCAGCCTGGGCATCAAAGGCACATGCCACCATGTAAAATCCTCATTACTATTTATCATTTTTCCTGGATCTACTAGCAAATGAAAATAGAAAAAAAAAAGTAGTAAGAGATATATAAATTTGAAAGTAGAGGAAATAACCCTATTACTTATTTATAGATCGCATTTAAATGTATCATTATTTATGCTTTTTTTTTCTCCTGTGGTGCTAGGGATCAAACCCAGGGCCCCTTGTATGCTAGGCCTAAGCTCTACCACTAAGCAACACACACTCTGTCTTAAACATATTACTATTCACAGATTTTTTTAAACCTGAAAACAAGAGAATCAAGTGGAAAACTACTAAAAATGGTAAAACAAACTAATCTAGCAGCTAGGAACACAACTCATGTCTTTTCAAACACTGATACTTTTTTTTTTTTTTTTGCAGTACTAGGTTTGCACTCAAGGCCTAGCACTTGCTATGTAGGTGCTCTACTACTTGAGCCACATCCCCAACCCATTTTGCTTTGGTTATGTATGAGATGGGGTCTCCAGTTTATGCCTAGGCTGGCCTGGAACCATATCCTCCATCTCTTCACTTCCCAAAGAAGATAGGATTACAGGCTTGAAGAAATTGTGCCTGACCCTAATACAGTTTTTTATAAAAGCAAACATCCAGACAGAAGAGGTAATGGAAAAAAAAAAAAAAGTGTCCACTGAGAATAGCAACAAAGGAGTCTGGGGATGTAGCTCAGTGGGCCAGCATGTGCAAGACCTTGGGTTCCATCCCCAGCACCACAAGAATAAATGAAAAGCAAGCAAAGAGCCTGGCTCAGTGCCTCATACCTGTAATCCTAGCTACTTGGGCGTCAGAGATCAGGAGGATTAAGGTGAGAGGCCAGGCCAAGCAAATAGTTTGTGAGACCCTATCTCCAAAGTACTCAACACACAAGGAAAAAGAAAAAGAAAGTACTCAACACAAAAAAGGGCAGGCAGAGTGGCTCAAGTGGTAGAGCACCTGCCTAGCAAGCATAAAGCCCTGAGTTCAAACCCTAGTACTGCAAAATAAATAAAAAGCTAGAAAATGCTACCAAGGATCACCAAAGTTGCTTGAAGAATTGTTATAAAATTATTATACTTAACATCCCAATGATGTCTAGGCTGAGGCACGAGCATCTTGAGTTCCGGACCAGCTTGGCCTACATATTTAGATCCTGTCTCAAAACAAAACCACTACTACCACCGCCAAATTAACTATGATATGGGCTGGGGATGTAGCTCAGCGGCAGAGCACTTGCCTAGCGTGCACAAGGTAAGTGCATGCACCCCCGCACTGCAAAACAAAAAAATTCTATGATTAATATGATCTTATTTTGGAAATACCCAAAAGGATTCTCTAAGGACAAACGGGGCAGAAGCACAAAGTGACACCAGAGGGCGCCCAGGCGTAGACCAGGGACGCGTCAAGCGACTTCCACAATGCTTTTCTAGTCTTAGCTTTTAAAACTGTCCTCTCCCTTGCATTTAAGTGAAGAGCCACTCTGGGGGCTAGACTCTGCATAAAGGACGCTATCCTCAACGTGGGTTCCCCAACTTCCTGTGAGAACTCACCACAGGCCGCCTGGTTTCTATCAAACCACCATTACCTCCGGTTTCTCTAACAACCAAGCAAAACGCAAAGGAACAAGGGGCTGCGGTGTGTAGCTCAGTGGGAGAGCACGCCCGAAGCCCTGGTTCAATTTCCCGTACGAAAACACCCAGAACTACGTTATGGAGAGGGGCAGTCCTCAAGCACAGTCACTTCTTCGGGCCCCAGGGACATCTCACAGCCGCGCGAGACGGCGCCGGCCGCCAGCCACACCTGGTGAGCCTGGAACAGAAGGCAGCTGCAGCACCGCAGGACCCGGGACTGCTGAGTCGGCGCCATTCAGGCCTCGCTGGCCTCCCGCTGTGCGCCTGCGCCCCGCGCCCCGCGCTCCTGACTAGGCTCAGCCTCCCCGTACGGGCCCGAGCCCTTCTAGAATCCGGCTCCCACTCGCATGCACTCGTGTCCCGCGCTTCGTCCCGCCCAGGTTCCGCCCCCTGTAGGGCTCTGCCCAACCAGGCTCCGACTCCGCCCCCCACGCACGTGAGCGGCACTCAGGTCCCCAGGCCGGCACTGGCCTCGCTTCCTGCGCGCGCTCGGCCCCTCTACCCGCAGCGAGTCTCGGTGGTCACATTGGTCAGACAAGCTGAAAGGCACAGGTTTCCCCGGTGTTGGTCTGAGTCCGGCCTTACTCAGCCCCGTGGGTTTGAGTTCGCCAGGCCATCGGCTCCTCATCCGATCCCAGGTCACTTCCCGGCTGTTTCTAAGCCAGCCTTTCTTCCTGTGCTGAGAAAATTGAAGTTGCAGAGGCTGGGACTTCACTTGCCATTTGGCCTTTGCCTGCACCGTTCCCTCTGCTCCTAAAATTAGTCGGTCCCACTTTTCTGTCTCAGCCCTACCAGGACATTAACGCCAACGGGCCTGACAATGTGTACCTGACAACCATCTTAAAAAAAATTATATCCAGTCCTGACAAGGATGTAGTGAAGGAAGTACCCTCCCTATAGGATGCATAAAATAAACAACCCCCTACAAACAAAAAACAGACAAACGATATGGCAGTAGCCTAAGATAAACCCATACCACTCAGATTATTTATGCACTAGTATTCACTGAATTGTGGTTGGGAAAAAATGGAAACAAGATGTTCTAAAGAATGATTGCTTTGTTATCTCTTAAGAGGTATTTCATTTTCTTGATTATTTGAAAATCACATGAACTTGAATACATGGAAAGGCTGTTTAATATCTGTTCAAAAAAAATGGTTGCTTTCAATAAATCAGCATGAACCACTGTACAGGTTCTTCTAGACCCTCTTTGCACGTCCTTGTAAAATCAGTTTAAGTGAAAAGCCCTGCTAAGTTAGTGCAGCGAGAACAGCCCCCTTCCCATTCAATATCTCAGTCCCCAGGTGAAGTCTGATATCACCCTTACTCCTGATGTTTCTCTTAGTAATTTCCCATTCACTGACCCCCACCCTGCTCCTTGGCTGTAAATTCCTATTTACCCATGCTGTGTTCAGAGTTGAACCCGATCTCTATCCCACTGCCTCGTTTCAGTGGTCCCAGTACCTATTTTACTATTTTTTTTGGAGATAGAGTCTATGTAGCCCTGGCTGGCCTCAAATTTGCAATCTTCCCACTTCATCCTCCTGAGTGCTGGGGTTATAGGTGTGCACCACCACACCTAATTCCATGGTCAGGAATAAAATAACAGCTGTTACTGAATAATTCTCTTTTACAAAGTACATAATTTCACTTGTGTAAAACTGGGCACTATTCCCAGGTATGTGGTGTGGAGTTAGAATTAAAAGTGATTTTTTTTTTGGCGGAACTGGGGTTTGCATTCAGGGCTTTGCATTTGCAAAGCAAGCTCTCTACTGCTTAAGCCAGTTCATTTTGCTCTGGTTATTTTGGAGTTGGGGGGGCGTCTTTTGAACTATTTGCCCAGGCTGGCCTAGAACCATGATCCTCCTGACCTTAGCCTCCCAAGAAGCTAGGATTACAGGCGTGAGCCACCAGGACCTTAGGATCCAAGTTTAGCACAATAAGCATATATTATTTTATTTTTTTTGTTTTTGGTGTTACTGATTCTGGTTTCTGATCCTGAGTTTGTGTCCTGGTGACATTGATGATTGAAGATACCAGACCAGGAGTTAAGAGTAAACCAGTGCAAAGGTTGTTGAAAAGACAGCAAAAGTTCACAGGGTGGGAGGGGTTAGGAAAGCTAAAGGTACTGATATATGCCCTAAAACAAGCAAATTTTATGGTATGTAAATTATACCTTAAAGTTCTCGCATCTAAAAACAACAACTATAGAGATATTTTTTAGTTGGCTTAAGAGCTACCTTGTGTGTGGGGCAAACTCCACAACCACGATCAGCTTTAGCTCCTGTGGCACAGTGAGACATCCTTCTTGTTCAGCCCTGCTCTGGCTCACCTCGGGAGGTGCCCACTGGTCACTTGTGGCTCCACAGTCTGCTTCTTGAACTTAAGGGCTGATGACTTGATACAGCCCAGGCCTGAGGGCACATTTCTTCCACCCCACATGCCCCTAGACCCTGACACCTGTGGAGCTTGGGGTTTCTCCTGCTGCAGGGTCAGTACTTTCCATGACCTGAGTTTCCTGGAAGGCCTTGTAACGCCCCAACCCCTGTGAGTAGCCAAGTGTCCTGAGCTTCCCTGATGCATGCAGGCCCTTGCCTGGACAGGGGAGAAGCCAGTAGGCCTACGCAGTGGTGCATGGCCACATTAAGGCACTGTACACAGTGTGCTTTTTATTTCTTTCAGGGATTTATTAAGGCATTGAGCACAGTGTGAATTTTAGCCAACTGAAATGAATACAAGGAATAGATTGGGACCTGAGGGATGTGCCTTCAAAGTTAACTATGAGGACAAGGAGCAGAAAGAGCTCATAAAGTAACTCAGGTGTGCAGTGCACCCCTGTGCAACAGACATTTGCCATCCAAGTTCCTTTAGCTGTCAGGAGGTTCAGGCTCAAGGGCTCCGCACAGCACGTGGAGTCTAACAAGCACACGACTTCACCACCTAATGCCAAGTGGCAGGAGCTGCTATCTGGACCAGCAGCTGTAGGAGACAGTCCTGTGGATGGAGGGGCCCCATGTGGCCTGGGCACAGCACAGAGTGCAGGGGATGAGGCAAGCAGGGAAGATCTGAGAGCCTCTAACACTATGTGAAGGGCACCCAGGCTCAGGGGAGGTTCCCAGCAGGCAGACAGGAAGATGGAGCCTTGTCTTCCTGGGCCCAGATGTAGGCCCAGGGAATCCTTCTAAGGCAATTGGTTTTGCGTCAGCTTTCTTTGCTTTCATGACCCCCTGCTTCTTACAGAACAGGATGGTGAGAATTTAAGGAGAAAAAAGAAAGGGAAGGAGGACAGATGAGGCCCACACTTCCAGGACTGAGGTCTGGCGGAGCATCTGCAGAGCTCAGCCTGAAAGCCCAGCCTGCTCGTGGTCACTGGAGGTGCTGAACTGCCTCTCCACCTTCTTTTGGTCCTTGATCTTGAGTCCAATGTCCACTCTCTTCTCAAAGAAGTTCACTAGCACAGACTCTGTCAGGATGGAGGCCAGGATCTGCTCAAAGGAGATGCACCAGTCCGCATCCACGGTGCCCCCAATGCGTGAGGCGGCCGTGGGGCTAAGGGCCTCCCCACCCACCAGCACTGTGTCATCTGTGAGGTCCTCACACTGCAGGGAGCCCGTGCTGACCACCGAGTAGGAAGACATGGACATGTCGTCTTTGGTCTCATCATCAGACAGAAGCTGAGAAGGTGAGCCCTGCCCTTCGCCACTGCCCCCCTCCACCACCACCTGGCTTTCCTGCTGTGCTTTCCCCAGGTGGGTGTCTCCACCAGCTTTGGCCTGGGGGTCCTCTGCAGCTGGTGGCTGAAGCTCTTGTGTTTGGTCCTGATGGGATTCAGGTGCTGGTGGCTCCTCGTCCTCAGTGGTACTGTTGTGGTCCCCACTGTGGGCACCATCCCTGGGCTTCCTGCCTGTCTGCACTGAGAATTTCTTCCCCACCTCACCTATGCGGAGGAGGAGACTGGCTACTGTGGCTATGGCGTGGTACAAGTCCTGCTCCATGGGGTCTTCGCTGAACATGTTGTAAAGTGTCTTGCACAGCTCAATGAATTGTTCCTTAGGGAGAAGAACAGGAAAAATACAGAGAGGTGGTTATGAATGGGCCAGAGTACACTCTTAATAGCAGGACTGAGGATGTGGGCCAAGCAAACTGGTGTTGGGCTATCATCTCCACAAACTTGTGCCCATTCCACAGATTAGGACTCAGAGGGGGAAGGCGATTTGACCAACGTCACACAGCCTTCCATGTGCATTCTGTTAGAGGAAGACCAACTTATAACAGGACTTTTTTCTTTTTTCAGTGCTGGGGATGGAACCCAAGGTCTCCCATATGCTAGGCAAGTGCTCTACCACTGAGCTATATCCTCAGTCCCTTTATTAAGACGTTGTCAGTTCGTCACTACAAGGACTTCTTCATTGTGTTTTGGAATCATCTTTGGCTTTTTATATTTTTATCATAAGCAATTTGGACTCTGTTCTGAAGCTCTAGTGGGTGAAGATGAGGTAAGTTTACTCTGGGTCAGCTGAGGAGGGGATGGGCAAAGCCATGTTTTAGGTCCCTAGGCCACATATTAGGACTCCTGGCCTAGAGGGGATGGAGCCTCATTCCATGCCTCCCAGTCTCAAGTTCTGTGGGTGGGTAGTACTGAAAATGCAGGGTCCCGCTCTGGGCACAGCCATGATACTATCCAGACCCACTGGCTGTAGTGTGGCTGTAGCTCCAGAACTGCTTATGGTCAGACATCTGTAGTCTGAATCCAGGGTCTACCGCTCCTGGCTGTGAGACGCCAAGCTCCTGACTTGAGATACCAGCAAATGAAGAACCTACTACCACGGAAAGGATGACGCATGAGCCTATTTGTGCAAGCTGCCCAGGCAAGGTCTGGAAGGGAGCTGAGCGCCATGAATGCTTTCTTGTCAAAGGTGGTATACAAGTTTCTGGCTATTGTAGACTAACCTTCCCCACTGCTTCTCTGGTTCATGAATATTGCTTTAACCTAAGCAAACTACCACAGAAACACCACTCTATACAGGCCCTGGAGCACAAGACTGATGTCTTTCTGGAATCATTCACTAACTGCCATCCAGGACTAATGGGGTCTACAGGGAGGAAAGAGAGTTCCCTCCCCAGAGGAGACTGCTGGATTATAGGTGGTGAGGCTGCAACATTAGACACCAGTCCTGGCCAGAATTCTCTGGATATGTCTGTTGAGGGCTTCAACTGAGCCTACCTGGTTCATCTTGGGAAGGTCCTTAATTGTCTCCTTCTGAGCTTCTTTCTCCTTGGCCCACATTCGAAGGTAGTGTCGGTAGTCAGGAGGGCTGGTGTCCTTCTCCTCTACGAGTTGGGAGAAAAAGAGATTAATCCCCATCTGCCAAGTGAGAGAAAAAAGGCTGCAGGCTGGTCATAAGGAGAAGTGGGGTTGGATTTTCTCTGGCTTGGAGTTACCTGTGCCCTATTACAAAATGCCGCAGCATTAGGGGAGGAAATGATGGAAAACACCCCAGAAGACCCATGGGGCTCCTCTAAATTAGCTCAGGTAGGTTGGACCTAAGCTGATGAAGATGGGCCCAAGGCCGTCTTCTCACATAGAGGCTTGAGAGAGGCTCTCATGAGGGGAACGGCTGGCCGCATACCTACAAGGCAACAGACCTGGAGTCTCAGGTATTGCCCCTTTGTGAGGACACACATTTGCAAACTTCCCTCCCCACAGTGACTGGGGAGGGATGCAGCAAGCAAAGGGCACCCAGACCCACCAACCCTGGGATCTCTAACACAGGAGAAGGGCCTGTACCTCCTCTTTTTTCTTGGACATCCTCATTTCCACTTCCTTCTTGCTCTTCCTGTGGTAGTGCTTCTGGACAACCAGAAAAATAAAAAGAACATGGAGGAAATTCTTCCTCTGACTACAAACCATGGGAGTCTTTAAGGTCTAGTCTGTGGTTCTAAAGAACCAGGCCTAGACGGGTCCCTCACTGCCCTCCTGCTTGGCCAGGCCCTGTCCCCTGCCCTACAGCCCACTGCAAGAGAGAGGCTGGTCATTTCTTATTGGTTACATTGAAGAAAGGCCAATTGCTGGGGGTGTACCTCAGTGTGAGTACATGCTTAGCATGCTCAAAGCCCTGAGCCACCCACCTCCCATGCCCCTGCACCGCAAAACAAAACGGTCAGTGAATTCTCACTTCCTATTTCAAAAGAATATACATATCACCACATTGGTTTAAAGTAAATAATGATGTGCATTATGGACGGTTCTGAGAACTAATGAAGAGAACTAGATTCTGCTAAAAAAAAGAAAAAAAAAAAAGGTCGCACTCTGAGGAGGTGATTTTGTGTACAGGAATCCTGTGCTCAGCATGGTATTTCGTAAGGTGTCACATTTGCTGGACTTGGCACACACCACACTGTCTACCTGTGAATAAGAACTTGGGGAGAAGCAGGATAACTGTTCTCTGAGGCAGTGGCTGGTGTTGGGGTTGGAATTTCAGGTGGGGATGACAGATACCAGCTCTGAACAGTCCTCACAGGCTGTGTTGGGGGTAGTGACAGGCATGCCTCTCTGGGCTCAGGCGTCTCACTGTGGAAGGAGACACTGTTGTCTGGGGCTATTTGGAGCTGAGGACAGGTTTGTGTATCACAAGGCCTTTCAAAGGAGCATGCAGGACAAGCTTAGAGCATCTTGAGTTTGCCCAGGCTTTGGCATAACAGAAGGTACCAGGACTTTTTAGTTTGTATTCTTGAAATCAAGGTCATGTTCAAATTCAAGTAAGAACACTGTCCACAGGACTGCCATGGGCATCTTGGTACACGTTATTTTTCATTTTTCCCTTTAGGGTCAGTTCCTTCACATTATCACCCTCCATGTGAAATTACAGGGCAGTTATGGTCAGTGTTTTTTTTTTTTTGAGACAGGGTCTTACAGCCCAGGCTGGACTTGAACTCTTTATCCTTTTGCCCCAGTCTCTCAAGTACTGGAATTACAGGCATATGCCTGGCTAGTTTTTTGTTTGTAATTCTAGAGCTCAAAGCCAGGGTCCCATGCATGCTAGATAACCCTCAACCACTGAGCAATAACCCCCAGCCCTATGGTCATGTTTGTAAGTGTGTTAAACATGACCAGCTCAATTGCCAAATCTCAGGGCTCAGAATGACCCCTTAGCCTGCTCAGATGTTCCCAGTGAACTTTATTTTTATTTTTTTGCGGTACTGAGGCTTGAACTCAGGGCCTACACCTTGATCCACTCCACCAGCCCTATTTTTGTGATGGGTTTTTTCCAGATAGGGTCTTGTGAACTATTTGCCCAGGCTGGCTACAAACCGAGATCCTCCTGATCTTTACCTCCTGAGTAGCTAGGATTATAGGTGTGAGCCACGGGCACTCAGCTTTTTTTTTTTTTTTTTCCCTGTTTTTTTTTCAGCAGCCATCAGTCAAGGGTGATAGACCCATTGTGGCACAGGGGTAAATTCTAACAGTCACTCAACATACATAATTTGGTGCAAAGAGAAAATACTGTGGAATGTGATGTTTTCCGAGACAGCATCTATTATTTCCTTTGACCTCTATTTGCCCATGCTGTGTCTGTTTCACACACTGGCAAAGATAGCACTCTGCATTCCTTTCCTATGAACACAATGATACTTTTTGCATGTAGCTGCAGAGGTGAGGCCCTCGGTCTGCTCCATGTCTAATGTGCTGTGTGTTACTTACTAACCACCCACAATAGACATGAGGCTGTCCTCTCTCTTTCGGAAGGAGCAGCTTGGTTTTAGGTTCTTCCTAGGACTTATCCCCACAAGATGAATCCTAGAAGGGTCCTTGGGGACAGAGCTTCCAAGCTTCCAGGTGTCAGGAAGATGAAGCCCAGAGGAGAAGAGGGTACCCCTGCCCACCAGGGACTGACCTTGAGCCTCCCAGGGCAGGAAAAGATCCAGATCTGAGGCCAGAGGAGATGCTGGAAGGGACAGCAGAGGAGGCACGGAGGGCAGAGGGAGAAGCCAACGTCCAGGGAGACAGAGACGCAAGAGAAACAGGAGGTGAAAATATCTGCAAGGATCAACTGGACCCAGGAATTGTAGGAAGGACCCTCTGAGGGAGCACCCCAGCACAGGATGCTCTCTAAGCCTATGGTGGGGCTGCTGGCCACCTGACTGGATTTCATGGGGAGGCTGGTGGCTGCAGGGCAGTGGCTGCTTGCATTAGGTGTCCCAGGGGTGGCTCACCTTCTGAGGAGCTGTCCTCAGTGAAATAATGGGTGGCCTCCAGGGCTGACTCTGCTGCTTCTGGGTTCAGTGCTATGTTTGAAGAGAAGGAAAAAGTGAGGTCAGGAGAAGACAATGGGATTCTCAAAGCAACCTAGAGTCCTCGACAAAAGCCTCAGTCTCTCCCCTCCTGTCTCAGCCGCTCACAGCCCCACTGATTATAATGCCAGGTTAATAGCTTTTTTTTTCCCTCAGACAGGGTCTTTTTGTGTAGCCTACGCTGGTCAGCACACTATGTAGCCCAGGCTGGCCTTGAACTTGTGATTCTCCTGCCTCAGTCTCTGAGTGCTGGGATTATTGATATGTACCACCACACCTGACAATAGCTTTAATAGTTATTACTTTGACAGTTTTTTTTTTTCTCTTTTTGAGGTGAATGCTAGGGCATCATGCCCTGATGTGTTTGAAAATACAGTGCCTATGCCAGGTAGCGTAGTTGGGAGCCTGGTGAATAATAAGCCAAGCCCCCACTGCATGTCCACCTGGTTCAGCAGATCCTTTTGGGGTGTTTTCTGTGCTTATAGGCACATATGCAGATGCCGGCTGTGCACAAGTGACCCACTGTTTTCACCCTATTCACCTTGGAGATCGTTCCACATGACTATATCCTGGCCTGCGCCATTCTTTGCATTTTCTGCAAAGTTGTGATTAAGCAACCCCTTAGATGTGGTCACAGACCCACATGGTTCTGTGTATGGGGGCCTTATTCTCCCTGTTGTATGGGAGGTAGCAAGGCATGGGCTGTAGTCCACGAGAGTGCAAGTGTCCTATGCCCTGGATAGATGGGACAAAATGACTCCTTTTGGGGAGGGGATGGCCCCGTGTGCCCTCACCCATGGGATCCAGGCCCCACAAGGCCTGTCGAGCCCAGGCCTCTCCACTGGTGGTACCAACCACAAGCTAGGGAAGATCTCTACCTCAACAGCCCTTTCAGCTATGGTGACAGCAGGCACCTTGGGGAGCTTTCCAAAATATGGGTTTGGGGCCTAGCTCAGGAAAGTGAGAGGCTTGGGGGTAAAGCCCAGCCTAGTATTTGAAACACACTTAGGGCCAATTCCATTCCAGGGAACTGGGTGTGGCCTATTTTAGGGCAGTCATGAACAACAGTACCGGGGACCTGGGGTAGATCCACCCCCATAGCAGGGCGCCTGGGGCTGTCATTTTGCCTGCTTGGATCTGTTTCCTTCTAAGATAAGGGACAAAACCCTCCCCCTTAGAGTGCTCTCCAAGGGCTACCCTGGCCAAGAAGGCTGAACTCTTGCCACACATAGCATGACCCAGAGGCTGGGGCTCTGGCCTGGCTTCTGTGGACCTCTCCCATTGGCGTAGACCAGCAGCCTACAGGAAATGTTCTACCTCCTCATGGCCCTGTTAGACTCCAGCATCTCTGAGAGAGGCCAGAGGGAAGAGGCCTCTGCCACAGGGCTCCTTCTCCTTCACATTGGGACCAGGGAGCTGCCACTCTGCTGAGCCTAACCATCTCACTGGAGGAGGGCACCCCCATCTGCAACTGAGTGGCTTCTGCAGCCTGAGGCTCTCACCTGGGGGCAGGTGCAGCTTGTAGAGTGCCTTGAGCTTCTCCGTGAGGTCCCCATGGTACATCCCGCCTGCAGAGCAAGGCCAGGGAGGAGGGCATGCTGGCAAGAGGATCCAAAACCATACTGCAGGTCCTCAGTCCAGCAACTCCCCTTCCTGTAGGTTCTAGTGACTGCTTCATAGCCTGGGCAATCTTGGCACCTTCTAGCCAGGTCACTGAGTAAGTCCCAGGCCTCCTGTTTTCCCTGGAGCCTTGCCTTCTCTAAGGCCAGCAGCCCTGGATTAAGGGAGGGAGGGCAGGTCTCCCAATCTCCAGGGGGTAAACTGCTCTTCCCTTATCACAGGCCAAGGGCTCACAGCCACCCTCTGCTTGCTACACTGGGGCAGACCCTCTGGTCGGCATTTGGAGCGCTTCCCTGGGAAAGGTGGGCAGGGCCTGGACTGGCAGGCCCTGGAGGCACTCACTCATCCCTGTCACGAATTCCTTGAAGTTGATCAGTGAGTCCTTGTTTTGGTCCAGGAGCCGGAACATGCGACCCGCCAGCACAGGCGTGTGTGAGCCACAGGCCCAGGGTGTAAGGCTGGCAAAGAGTTCCCGGAACTGGCCGGCATCGATCCGGTACTGCTCCAGGTAGGGCAGGCTGGGGTCCCGGCGGATGGCTGTAGTACGGCTACTGCCCCAGTACTGACTCGTTAGGTGCTTGGCCTGTGGGGGACAGTCTGATGAGATGGCCTCTCCAGCCCTAAGCTGGTCAGTGCAGAGTGCTGGGGAAGTGAGTGTGGGCCAGACACTTCAGCTCTCACAGAATCCTCAATGCTGGTACACATGGAGGAGTTGAGGGACAGAGCACCTGGACAGCCTGTGAGGGACAGATCTAGCTCCACAGTTTTGACACTAAGGCCACAGTGTGGTGGCTACCTTGGGAACTAGACCTGAAGTAACTGAGGGGTGGTGGAAACTGGTAACAAGAAGAGAAAGGCAGGTGGTGTGTGACTGCAATCCTAGCACTCAGGATGTTGAAGAGGAGGATCACGAGCTCAGGAGTTTGAGACCAGCCTGGACAATGTAGTGAGATTAAAAAAAAAAAGCTGGGTGCCAGTGGCTCAGGCCTGTAATCTTAGTTATTTGGGAGGTTGAGATCAGGAGGATCAAGATTTGAGGCTAGCCCAGGTGACTAGCTTGTGAGATTCCATTTCCAGAATAACCAGAGCAAAATGGACTGGAGGTATGGTTCAAGTGGTAGAGTGCCTGGTTTGCATTTGCATGAAGCCCTGAGTTCAAACCCCAGTCACACCAACAAAAAAGCAAAAAGGTAGTTTGGACTCTTTGCCACCTTCCTTCTTTTGTTAACAACACCTGAAATTTTCAACGGAGAACCCCTCCTGACCAGGCCATGGGATTAAAAGGGTGGTGACCAGTCCTGTCTTCGGGGATGGGTAGGGCAGGCTGGTGACTCACATTTTGGCCTAGCAGCTAATACTATTCTGTAGCCACTGAACCTAACTTGAGTCACTCTACCAATCAATTCTGGTCTTTTGCTGAAACCACTTGGAAAGAAAAATTCTCTTTCCACTGGAGCTGACAGGATGACTAGCAGCCACTCATGACAGTCCTGCCAGAGGAACAGTCCAGAGGACATCAGAGGTGGGGGAATTGACAGCATGTTTGAGCATATGAATCCAGTCACACCTGAAGCTGTGTATCCTTAGACTTTTTAGTAAATGAGCCAATACATTTCCACTTCTGTGTAAGTTGACTTGAATTTTCTGATATTCAAAAGAGTTCTGTCTAAATTGTAAGGATTGAATTCTACCACATGTGGCCCACAGCAATTGAATTTGAGGATGCTTAACTATTTCTCTTCTTGCAAGAAGTTTCTGTACTGAGGATGCACTAGAGGACTAGGATGGGGTACTACCCTGTCTTTGTTCTTGACTGTCACCTTAAACACCATGTAAAGGTCCTCCAGCTCTTCAATTGAGAAACCAATATCCCCTGGTATGGCTCGGACCTGGAAGAAAAGAGGGACAGGCTGTACTGGTGGTTCCTCAAGATCCTGCTACAGAGAAACAGGTACTGGCTCTGGGAGATTCTTATGTGGCTAGGGGCAAAAGCATGAACTAGGCTCTTGGTATCCCAGCAACCAAGCCCCAGAAGTGGTCCACACAAGAGAGAGGGTGCAGCCCATGTGCTCATCCCTTGCCTTCACCTGCCAGTCAGCTCCTACTCCCCAAGGCTCTTCTTGGAGTTACTGGGGGTGTCTCTCTCCTGAAAGTCTGGTCAGGGATGCAGGGAGCCTGCCAGCTGGATCCCTGTAAGACCTGGTACTGGCTCTTTGAAAGGGGTCTCTCTTTAATTCGGTTAGCCAGAGTCCTTCTGTTGCTTGTAAACATAGTGCACTCAGTGTCCTATGGGCCTGAAGAGGGGTCTGGGAATACAGAGGCAAAGTAAGAAGACTGTGTGGGGCAAACATCATGAGCAGTTCCCACAGTATGGGGTGTCAGAAATGGCCTGACCCTGAAGAGATGAGGACAAAGGCTTCTAGCAGAGGTGTGCAGTGTGGGGGTATTAGAACATCACTGAGTGTCACTACCCAAGACAGGTGCAGGGAACATATAGCAAAGCCAGGCTGGGAGGACATGACCCAGAAGGTGTTTGGTCTATAGGGTGTGGGGTTAGAGAGCTGCTCATGGGCTGACCAGCCATGAGCAGAAAAAGTAGCTGGGACCTCTCTCCACTTCCCTAAATTCATACCTACACCTCTGGATTTCAGACCCATGTAGCATCCTAGCCATGACACAGGTACAAATGAAGTGCAAAGAACAGGGCACAAGTGGTGCTCTCCACCTGCGGGGGAGTGGGCTGGAGAAAGCCCTGGCACAGCAGCCCACCTGGACCAGCCCTGAGCCCATGCCACCTGGGGGTACCACTTCACCCTGCCAGTGACCATACCACGCTCCTCTTTGCTGTGTCTTCCAAAGACTGGATCACTTTCAGCCTCTGCTTAAACCGCATCTGTTCAATGTCATTGGCCCTCAGGCTGCTGAACTTCTACAGGTCAAAGATGAACTGGTGAGATTAAGGGTACAGGACAGAGAACCCTCCACCCCTCACACACCTGTGGCCACTTGAAACCAAAAGGCTAGATGCAGTGGTCTGGGCAAACGAATACTGTTGGGTACCAACCTCATAGGATACTTTTAGGAGGTCAAAGATGTCCACTTCAGCAGGAGGCTCATCTCCACTGGTCAGCAGGGCATGGAGGTGTGGAATAGGAGGAGAAACACTCTGCTTATTCACTACATTATCCAGATATCTATGAAGAGTAAGGGACAGAAGTCTAGGTCATCCACCGTCCCCATGAATGTCTCACCCATAGCTAAGTGATATGTGTGTTGAGGCCCGGGAACCCTCCGGAAGGGCAGTGGTGTACTCAGCAGGTCCCTTGGCAAGTTGGGGAGCTCCCTTCAAGGCAACGTAGAAAAGGCCTTGCCCTCCTCCACCCCATTGGAGACCTGAGCACTGGCTTGAGGATGCAAGATTGTCTCTGGGGGAACTCATGAACAGGGACCCTTGTTAACAGCACTAGTTGAATAACATGCTTTTTTCCCTCCTGGAAGTTACTGGGGACAAGAGGACTCCTACCCTGGCCAGGAAGAATCAGAGACCAAAGGATTAAGTGCCAGGAGGAAGTTGGGGAAAAGGCTCGTGCTATGGCAGTATCTGCAGTGGCCCAGGGCTTCTTCAGGAACAGTCTTGGGAACAAAGTCCTACTTTGGCTGGGTGGCTGAGCTCAGAGGGCTCCATACCATCCCAAATTCTCCAGGCTGAGCCTGACACTAACTGGAGAGAACACTGCCCTCCCTCCCCATGCTAGCAATCCCTAGTCCCACTCCTCCTCCTGAGGAGGGGCCCTGCTCACCTGCCGTAGGATGCACACATGGAAACCAGTCATAGACTCTGGTCACAGCTAAGGGTCTTGACATCAGGGAACCAAAAACTATGGCAGCCCAGAGTAGTGGAGTAATAACCCTGCTAGGCATGCAGGGCCCCGTCAGCGCCTGGGTTGGCTAAGCAGGCAGGTGGCAGTGTCCCATTCTGATCCTGGAAGCTGGGAGTGCTCCAGGCTAGGCAAATATGCCCATGCAGGCCATCAGGGCCATACAGAATTCAGAGAATGGGCCAGAGGGAGTTTGGGAAGGAGCCAGGCCTGGCTGGAGTGAGCCTGAAGGTCAGGCTGGGGGACTCAGCCAGCATCTTTGTACAGATGACTAACCTTGACCTGGGCCTATCCCCAGGTCCTGGGGAGGGAAAGGTCAGATCTGACGAGAATCATGTGGGATGCTGGTAGGTGAGAAACTGGGACAGAATAGCATGACGAAGCAGGTGCAGGCCCATGGCAGGGGCATCTGGGCTCTGCTGAGGCAGTGGAGGTGGCGGGAAAGGGCCAGATCCCAGAGAGAATCTGTAAGGGATGGGATGTGAGGACTGTGGGAAGAGGAGGAAGCCAAGGTGAGCCTAATCATTAACAGTGAGTGGTTGGGTATGGGCTCATTCTGCTGCTCTGGAAAGCCCAGAGTGGATCTGCTCTATCCAGGGGATGGGGAGGTAGCAGTCCTGATGAGCTTGGGAGAGTACAACCAGGACAGTCTCATACAAATAAGAGACATCCAGCTCTTGCTAGCTAGAGCTGACGTGACAGCTGTCTCCAGACCATCAAGAATGTCATCAAGTAGATCTTGGCTCTGGGTCACTCCCCAAGAGAGCAACCCTGACCACACACCTGAGTGGTGGCCTCCAGCTCAGGGTGCTCTTTTTACTTCCTCATAGCACTTGGCACTTCCTCTCCGAGCACAGTTTGGGTTCCCACAAGGAATGCTGCTCTCTCCTGCCCTGGAGTATCCCTGGTCGTAGTTGCAGCCTGGCACTTTGTGGGTTCAGTCACTGAATGTTGACTAGGTCACACTCGGGGCTGGTGAAGGGTGGGGTTCTCTCATTAGCTCCCTGCCAGCAGAAGGAACCCAGCATGGTCACCTGCCCAGCACAGTCATGGCCTCGCCCTCATCGCTACAGCCCAGCAGTTGCTCCATGTTTGCGTCCAGCACAGCCAAGGCCACCTGCAGGATCACTTTGATGCCCTCATAGAAGAAGCAGTCAACAATGACCACAGCACTCTCAAAGGGCATGACGCTGAGGAAGAGGGTCAGGAACCATGAGAGTGAGATACTGGAGATCACCCCCAGGTCCTGCATCTTCTCTGAGAGTCGGGGCAAGATGTCTCTTGTGAGCTCTTCAAAGATGCCTTGGTCTACCAGGGCTCCTATGGAGGAGACAGGAGGCCAAACGTGAGCCAGTCCTGGGGCCTTAAGCAAGGGATCCCCATCTAGACCCTGTCCACCCCAGTTCCAGTTACAGGGAGGGCTGGAAGGAGCTTCCAAACCACTGTGAAAAGGACTGTTTGTTCTGCTATACAGAGGTCTCTTGGTATCTGTGGGGAATGGCTCCAAAATCCTTGAATGCTCAAGTCTCTTATATAAGATGGTGCAGCATTTTCATAAAACCTATGCATACCCTACCATACACTTTAAGTCATCATCTCTAAACTACTCATGTTACCTAGTACGATGTACACACTATGTAAATAGCTGTTATTTTGCACTGTTTAGGGAAGAATGACAAGGAAAACGTCTGTACATGTTCGGTATAGATGTAATGTTTTTTGATCAGTGATTGGTTGAATCCACAGATGTAAAAACCTATGGATACAGAGGGTTGACTACATGTGGATTTTCTTTTGGGATAATATTAATTTCTTCCCTAAAAGCATCAAAAGTAAGCAGTGGTCTTGGTGGCTTCTGTGCCCTGTCCTGATGCTTATGAACAGATCCAAATCTAAATCTAAAGGACCCCAAGAGTGTGGCTCAAGCAGTAGTGTGTCCTGAGTTCAAACTTCAGTACCACACATATGGAAAAAAAAAAAAAAAGAGCAGTGACTCCAAAAAGCAAATGGGAGAGGAAGACATCAGAATAAAAGACTTCAATATCTACGCAATGAAATATATTTGCAGGTCTACTTCCATCACTTCCATTTAATGATACAGATTTTATTGGATGTGAATTCGTAGTAGCTGAAATTAGGCAATAGGTCCATGGGGGTAAAGTATACTTTATCATTTTGATGTTCAAAATTTTCTATAATAGAGAAGTTTAGGAAAAGTTAGATGGAGGCTGGGAGTAGTGGCTCATGCCTATAATCTCTGCTATCTAGGAGGTAGAATTTAGGAGGATTACATTTTGAGGCCAGCTTGGGCAAAAAGTTAATAAGACTCCATCTCAACCAACAAGCTATGCATGGTGGTTTATACCTATAATCCTGGCTATGTGGGAGATGTTAAGTAAGTGAATAGTGGTCAAGGCTGGTCCAAGGCAAAAAAGTGAGACCTTATCTGGAAAAATAACTAAAGACAAAAAAAAAAAAAAAAAGGGTCGGGGGGTGGCTCAAGTGACAGAGCACCTGCCTAGCAAGCACAAGACCCTGAGTTCAGACGAGATGAAACTGGGCGCATTCAGGGTGGTATGGCCGTAGACAGCCCTGAGTTCAAATTGCAGTACTGTCAAAAAAAAATCAGATGGATGGGTGTTTGGGCTCTAGGTAGCAGGTGAACCTTTAAAATCCACTGAATGTGTGAAGTTCTCTCACTCTTATTCCAGGTATCCCAGGAAACCCACACAAAGTCTGTGGGGGAGAAGACTGGGTCCTTGGGGGGTGCTGTGTTTGGCTTTCTACTTTCCAGCTGTGTGACTGTTTCTCAGCTGCCTAGTCTGTAGGTGGGAACCAGGACAACCCAGGATGGCTGGGAGGTCTAAGGGGCCTCACGGGTGGGAGCAGAACGGGTGGGAGCCCGGCCAGAGGAAGGACGGCCACTCCACAGGGAGCTGCGGGCAGGTAGATGCTCGGGCAAGGGAGCACCTGGGGACACTCACCCACCACCCTGGTGTTGTAGTAGTCAGGCAGCATGCGCTCGCAGAGGGCCACCAGCAGCCAGAAGGCCTCTTCCTCACTGCCATAGAGCAGGAGCACTGAGGTCACGATGTTCATCGCCTGTGGGACCAGAGACAGTGAGAACGGGAGGGGGTTGAGGGCTTGCACTGCTAGCCACCAAGTGAAACTATCTCCTCCCTACACCAGCCTCTCTGGCAGTGTTTGCCCTTTTTGGAGAGTCCAGTGTCTGTCAATGGGAAATTGTCCCTGTCCAGCTCTGCAGGAAATCAGAGACCATCAGTCAGCTCCTTCAAAACAGGTCAGGAAGCACTGGGAAAACAGAAGGTGGACACTAGCAAATAATGCTTCCGTGGAGTGGTGTCTGGGGTTGAGGAGTGACACTTTTAAGTTGATGTATGAGTAAGTTATATGGCCAGGGCACTGCATTGAGGCTGCAGTGACACTGAGAACACACATGACCTTAGCTGGTGCCAAAAACCACTGCAAAGCTGGCAAATCATTTAAAAAATCTATTTCAAGCTGGCACACTGGCTTCCCATGAACTGGTAACACACCATGCAGATCACTGGTCCTACAGAAAGTGAACTGGGGAAGTGGTTTCATTGAAATCCAGACACAAATTAAAGGAAAGAGAAAGCTATTTGACCTGTCCAGGAAAATGCCTACTAGTCTCCAGAAATGCAAATCAAAACCAGTGAGTTACCCTGTCACATTATGACGGCAAAAAACAATTTAGACATGTGGGTGAGGACATGGAGGAGCTGGAACCCTTGTAACTTGCTGGTGGAAATATAAAATGGTACAGCTGTTGTGGAAGTATGGAGGTTCCTCAAAAGGTTAAATATAGAACTACCAGGCGATCCAGCAATCTCACTTCTGATCACTTCTGAGTGCATACCCAAAACAACTGAAAGTAGAGACTTGAACAGATATCGGTATACAAGTCCACACAGCAGCAGTATTCATAATAGCCAAAAGGTGGAAAGCAAACCAAATGGATGGATAAACATAATATGGCCTATCCTTACAATGGAATATTATTCAGCCTTATAAAGGAAGGAGTCTGACACATTCTACAAGATGGGTTAATTTTAAGGACATTATGTTAAGTGAAGAGCCAGACAAAAAAGAACAGACACTCTATGATTCCACTTATATGAGGTACCTAGAGGAATCAATTCACGAGATATAAGTCAGATGGTGGTTGGCAGGGGCTGGTGAGGAGGGGGAATGGGGAGTCAGTGTTTAATGGATACAGAGCCTCAGCGTGGGAAGATGAAAAAGCCCTGTGGATGGATATGATGATGGCTGCCTGACCATGTGAATGTAGTTAAAAGCCACTGAACTATATACTTAATGATTAAAATGATAAATTTTATGTTACGGATATTTTACCATACACACAAACATCAAATGCTGCCAAGATGCAGACCAAAAGCACATAGAAAACAACTTAATATACAGCATGGGGATAACATGAGCAATTAATACTGTTTTTAATGGCATCTTTTCTGTGGATCAGACTTCTTCCTGGGAACAGGGGGCAGGCCACAGGTGGGTGAGGCCACCACATAGTCCAGGCCCGGGGCCCCACTCCTGGGAGTCTGTGATGGGAAACTGCTGTCTCTGGGCCTCTGTTGAACCCTTTACCTGACAATAGCCGATGGTGGGGTTTCGGAAAGCATAGGCGGTCAGGACCCGCCGGAGTGCGGCAATTCCCAGCTCATTCTGGAAGGCAGGGTGCTCAGGCATAGAGCGGTGGAGGTCACGCTCAATCTCCTCAGTGGCCAGGCTGTACTTCCCCATGGACTTCTCCACCAGCTCAGTGTAGTAGCCGGGGTGGGTCACCATCTCGTTCCAGGCCCCTGGGGAGACATGGGTGGCAGTTGTCTCTCTTCTTCCTCCCAGTACTTGGGAGGAAATAACAGGGCAGATTGGAGGCATGGATGCCCCACAGAGGAGAGGTGAACTCTGGAGTCAGTTACAAGGTGTGAGGCCAAGTTTCCCTGGTGACTGCTTCTGGGAAGGGGTCACTCTACTCAAGAAGTTCAAATGGTCGACTTGTCCTTCTCCTGAGATGCTCCAAAGTGGCCAAAGTTGTGAATGCTGTCAGAGCCTGTCCCAAGGAAAGGAAGCTTTAAGGGGGTCTTCTCACCTCCCATCGACACAGTGCCCTGCCCTCACATCTTCTTCTTTAGCATTGGGCTTCTTCTGTACACAGCTGAAATTCCCATTTCCTGTTCTGTAAAAGGGCTGGTCACACTTCCCTTGCCTGTCTGACCTTAGGAGGTGGCCCAGGGACCAGGTAAGCTCTCATGAGAATTTTTTTGGTGCTGGGGAATGGAACCCAGGGCTTCATGTATGCTAAACACACACTCTACCATCAAAAATGCACCTCCAGCCTATTACCCAGAGAGCTTTGGGGGCTGAGACTGACTCACCAGAGAAGAGAAGCCAAAGCTCTCCTCGGAGACTCTCGGGGATGCCCTTCAGAACCAGCTCCCGTGTTCTGGCTGTGCGGTACATGCACATGCCACGCCCATACTCAAAGAAGTGGATGTTCCATGACTCCTCTTTCATCTTCTCCTTGGCCTAAGGGAAGAGGAAACCAGGGGCTTTGGGGCTGAAGAGCATGCTGAGGCCTAGGTGCTCACCCTCCAGTTCTCCTCTGACCCAGGTTAGAAGCCCACTATGTAAAGAATCTAAAGGTGCTGCCAGCAAGCTCAGATTTCAAGCAATTACAGGTAAAGACACAGGCAAAGCTCAGTGGGGCTGGACCATACCACCACCCCATGGCCTAAGAAGACAGCTCTGTAGCAGCAGTGGGTCCTTTTCTTCAGAGGCTGCAGGCTGTGATTGAACAACACTGCCACATGGGTCAGGCAGGGTTGCTGTCCCCAAAGACCATCTGGTCCACTTCACACTGCAAGGGCCTCCTGAGAGGGCACTGCTTATCCTGGATGGCCCCGAGGGACAGAGCTGACTGTGAAGGCTCCAGTCTTCCTCTTGAGGGTTCAGCTTTGCAGCCGAAGCATCTGCACCCAAGGCTTACCCCCTTGGCTCCGAGATCCTCCATGGGAGAGTTTCTCTGGAAGACTTTCAGCAGGCCCTGGGAAGCAGTTGGCACCTCTTGTGCACTGAAACGTGGGTGACTGCTGAGGGGAGAGGACGGACTGGTGGGCAGTTTTGGCACCTCCTGAGGAGCTGGGAGAGACTAGAAAATAAAACAGGGAAAGCACCTAATAACTGAGGCCTCTGATGTGCAGGTTCATCCACAGAACTGGACAAAGACCTTGCTGAGGAGGGGTCACAGGGATGCCTGGTGCATGAAGAAGGAAGAACCTGGCTTGGCTGTGTAGGAGGCTAGGGTTGTGGCCCAGCTTGTGTTTCTCCTCTAACTGGCTGGATACCTATGCTTGTCTTTCCTGAATCTAAAGCCACCCACACTGGCCAGTCACAGAGCCTCTGCCAGAGGAATCAGGTCCTTCCCTCATTGCGGTCAGGGCAAAGGAGAGAAGAGACCCCCTGAGGAAACCACTCCTGGCACTGTCTGGCCTTTCCTGAATTCATGTGTTCTGTTATACAAATACATGGGAGCCAGGTATAATGGTGCACACCTATAATGCCAGCACTTCAGAGGCTAAGGCAGGAGGATGGCAAGTTCCATGTCAGCCTAGGCAACATAGTGAGACTGTATCTCAAACAACAACAACAACAAAAATCCCCCCAACCCCAAACCATAAAAAAAGCATTAAATATGCAGGAAGCCATCAATCTGACACTGTCTCACATGGAGCTCCTAAGTAACAAACTCAACCTAATTTAGTAAATTAAGAAACCAAACCTGACCTAAATCAAAAATTTCAGGGCCAGGAAAGGATACAGACTCTGGGACATGTCCCTTGTGATAGACATGTACCCCACTGTGCCAAGCTCATGGGCCTGGATGCTTTCTGCTGAGGCCCAGGTGGACTCTCACCTCATATTCAGACTTGCTGGCCTCAGGTGAGCATGCAGTGCTGCCTGGGATACTATTTCATCCTACTCCAGTCCCTTCCCCTTCCTCTAGGTGACCATCTCCCATGTTTATCCAGCACAAACCTCTAAAACCACCTCCCCAGCCTCACTTCCTGCTTCCTATTTCGTGAGCAAGCAGAGAAGCAGAAGCAACCCAAGGGGCCTTCCATGGCCCCCTCATTCCTGTCCACCTGCCTGTATCTGTGCCCAGGTCCAGGCATGGCCCTCCCTCTCCTCCTTTCTGGATGGCATCCCCTGTCACCTGTAGGCTGTTTCTCTAGCAACTGTCCCCACTCCTCAGCACCATTTCCTCTCTCTGTACTGATCCCTTACTATCAGAAACAATCTTGCTGTTACAGCTCCTAGAATCCCTCCCCTTTCTTTAACTGGGTGTTGTTCACACTATGTTCACTTTGTGAAAATCCATCAAGCTGTACACTATGATCTGTGTACTCAGATATCAAACTGGAGATGTGTAGGTCCCTTATATAAAATGGCACAGCAGCATTTGCATTTAACCCATGCACATTCTCCATATACTTTAAATCATCTCTGGATGACTTGGAATATCTAATACAATGTAATGCCATGTAAATAGCTGTTATACTATAACGTTTAGGGAATAACAAGAAAATAAGTCTGTAATATTCAGTACAGATGCAATTAAAAATTTTTTTTATCTGTGGTTGGCTGAACCTGCAGGTGCAGGACCTAAGACTATGGAGGGTTGACTGTACATGCTATACTTTGATTAAAAAGTTAACCCTTCTGCTATGGTTTTTATAATTGTCTCTCAAAGGCCCATGTATTAAAGGCTTGGTTACCAGCCCATGGTGCTGTTGGGGTACAGTTGGAACCTGTAAGAGGTGGGGCCTAGAGGAAGGAAGCTAGGTCACTGGGGATGTGTCTAGGAAGGAGATATTGGGTCTCTGGCCCCTTTCTGGCTTTCTCTTTGTTTCCTGGCTGCCATGAGATGAGCAGGTCTCCTCCACCATGTGCTCCTGTCATGATATACTGTGTTACCACAGACCCAGAGTGACAGGTCAAGTGACCATGGACTGAAACTTTCAAAATTGTGAGCCAAAATAAAACTTTACTCCTTATAAGTTGATTTTTTTTAGGTATTTTGTCACAATGATGGAAAGCTGACTGACACATGCCCTTGAAATATGATCCCTGCTATTCTATGCCAACCGTTACATAAAATTCCTTGAAAGTTACTGAAACTCACTATATCCTTCTCTCCTCTCTCAAGTCTTTTTCCTGTCTTTCAGAAAGTATAAATTTATGTTCTAATAGTTAGGTTTTTGCTAATATCTTTATATAAATCCTGTGGACCCCTCTTTTTAAGATGTCAATTCTTTACTATGAACGACATTGAATTAGCTAGTAATCTTTCTTTCCCATTCCCTCCTGCTTCTTGCTGATACCTAACTTGAAGGATACATGCTAGTCTTAGTTAATGAGGCAGTCAACAGGCCTATTCAACTAGCCATGCGCCTTCTCATGTCAGGCTCATGGCATTGCATCGTCAGAGCCTGTACAACTTACGCACTGTAACCTTTACCCCACAATCTAGCCTTATTTCTACACTTGAATATTTTCAATGCTAAAGGTTCTTTACTCACTTCTTGGGCTGGGTGTGGTTGTACACAGCTATAATCCCAGCATTTGGGAGGCTGAGGTGGGAAGATTACAAATTCAAGGCCAGCAAAGGCCATGTCAAAAAATTTTTTTTGGTTGTCTAGAGTTTATTCTTTGATAAATTCCGTAGACAATGGGACAATACCATCTTTGGCCTCTCTCTTTCTCTCATACCCTATGTCTAACCTCTCGGATCTACCTTCAAACTATATTCTACACCCTACAATGAACAATCCAAAATAGAAATTAGGAAAACAACTGCATTTACAGTAGTATCAAAAAATAAAAACTAAAATACTTAGGCATACACTTAACGATGGAAGACAGAGACTTACATACTGAAAACTACAAGATGTTGCTCAGAGAGATTAAAGAAGTTGCAAATAAATGGAAAGAGATCCCATGTTCAGGGATCAGAAGACTCAATATGGTTAAGATATCAATGCTACCTAGAGTGATCTACAGACTCAGTGCATCCTTACCAAAATCTCAATTACTTTTTTTTTTTTACAGAAATGGAAAAATAAATCCTCAAATTATTATGGAAATTCAAGGGATCTTACTTTATTTTTATCCATAGGCCTAAAATATAATTTTTAAGAGAGCATGAGTTTTGTCTAGTTTACTCACTACTGTATTCCTTGTGCTTAGAGGAGCAGCTGTCACCTAATGCAATAAAAACATGTCAGATAAACCAATGGTGAGTGCTTGGAAAAGGCTATTGTCCATGCTTACTCTGAGCTGTGAGGCCCTCTCATTCTCAGGGTTGAGTATTGTGAAGGGGGGGCAGCTCCACCTTTCTGGTCATGTCCCCTTTCATGTAATCCATCTCTTCACTCTTTCTTGAAATCCCAGATTAAGCCCAACCTCCTCTAATTATTTCATATTTATAATGACTACTATTTCCACTATATGTATACATACATATACATCAGCAGCAGCACGCCCATTTGTTATGCCAAGAAGCAAGGAAGCCATCAAGGATGACCAGGGTTGTGTCAAAAGGACTCAGGACTCAACTTGAATAAGCCCTCTCTGGTAAGAATAATAAATGTCTGCAACAGATGGGCACAAATCAAATTGTTTAAAACATAAAATCATAATTACAATAAAAAATAAGCATGAAAAACTAATTGGTAGCCAGACAGGGAGGTGCACACCATCTGCAATACCAGCACTTGGGAGACTGAGAAAGAAGGATCATAAGTTTGATGTTGGCCTGAGCTACATAGCAAGTTCCAGGTCAGCCTAGGTTACATAGTGAGGCACTATCTCAAAAAAAAAACAAAATAAAGCAAAACAGAACAAAATTAAAAAAACACAACCAACTGGTCATACTTAGAGATCATTATTTTGATAACTGGTAAATTAAAGGAAATAGTAAAAGATTTATTCTTTCTTTCCTGTGTGAACTGAGTCTTGGAGTAAGCAAGTAGCTAATGAGGGGGAAGATTCTCTTCATTGAAGTATGCTAGCTATTAAACAGAAGGAATGACAGAATTAGGATGCCACCATTATGTAATCCCAATGAATGGTTGGACCTGGGTAATGCTTGTCAAGGACTGATATTAGTATATTAAAGGGGTGACCAGGTATTTTGGAAATACACAGTGCCTCAATCTTCCCTGCTCAAACAAAAGTCAAACTTATACATTAAAAGGGATTCAAGAACCATAACATGTAATTGTACTGTATGTATGACTGTGGCATACTGCAGTTCAAATAATCAAACTGTAAAAAGTAAATTTGTATTTGGGGAAATGTGAATACAGTCAGAGCTCCATATCTCTGTATTCTGCATCCATGGTCTCAATCAGCTTAAGTCTCAAGGAAATGGAAAATATTCAGAAGAAAAAATATTGCATCTGTACTGAACATGTACAGAATTTTCCTTGCCATTATTTCTTAAACAACATAGTATAATCACTATTTACACAGCATTTACATGTATTAGGTATTGTAAGTCATCTAAAGGTGATTTAAATTATATGGAGGATGTACTTGTGTTATGTGCAAATATTTCTATGCCATCTTATAGAAGGGACTTGAGCATCCTGGATTTTGGTATCTGAGGGGGTTCCTAGAAGTAATTCCCCGTGGTTACTGAGGCACAACTATATAAGTATCTGATGATATTAAGGAATTAGTGTTAAGCCTTTTGGTATAATAATAGTTCAGCCAAGTTTGAAAAAACAGTCTTTCCTTGTATGAACTTCACACCGAAAGACAGCTGGGAGACACGCCATTGAATAAACCCAAGGAGGACAGGCTTCCACAGAGTGGCCTGTGCTCACAGTGCAGAGGAAGTTCATGAAGGAACTTCATGGTTGGTTCAAGCAGTGGGTATCTCAAGGGGAATGGGCTTTGAGGTGAGCTGGACAAGAATGAGAAGAGGTGGGTGGGTTAGGGGTGCAGAGAGGTGTGAAGTAATCAGGCAGTGGTATATATGGCTTAGACATCCCAGAGGGTCAGGCTAGGTTTAGCTCTTCACCCTGCACACAGAGTCCTCTTTCTAGCTCCCACATCCTCTTCCCAGTCCAAGGCTCATGGCATGAACTACAGGGGTTGGGCTGAGTAGGGAGGTTATGGTTCTCTCCTGCACCCTCAGGACTCTTCCCGCCTGCTGGTCCCAAAGGGACTCCCTCACCTCTGGAGCTGGGTCTACAACACCAGCTTTCCTCCTCCCGGTGCTGCTGCCTGGCTGCTTGGACGATGTTTTCTGAAGGAAGTCAGAGATCCTCTGAACTAGGAAGTCACGGTCTTTCAGGTTGGCAAACAGGAAGGTCATTTTACTCTTGGTGCTGATGGACAGAGGGCTGGGCAGGACACTGGAGCTGTCTGCTTTTTCAACAATGGTCACCTGAGAAGGCAAAAGCACTCTCTTAGGCATGTGCATGTTAGGACATAAAGTTAGGTGTGCTTTGTGACTGTGAGAGGACCACAGTGGTCCTAGGGCTGTCGTCTCTTAGGCACAGTGCAGTGAGTGGCCCAACTGAATTCATATCTGGACACCACCACTTATCATGTGTTATTTTCAGCAAGGTACTTGTGTATCTAAGTTTCTCTTTCTCTCTCTTTTTTTGGTGGGTCTGGAGTTTTAACTCAGGGCTTTGCACTTGCAGAGCAGGAACTCTACTGCTTGAGCTACACCTCAGCCCAGGTCTCATTTTATTCATCTGTTGATTGGGGTGAGTGCACTGGCCTTGTGGGGCCCTTCTAAGGTCAATGTTGCAAAATGTGAAGGGCTTAGCTCAGCTGCTTGCCCCTGCTGGCTTTAAAGAGACAAGGAGAGCCTAAGTACAAGGAGAGCTCCTCAAGTGCAAGGCTGTCCCCGGCGGGGGGAGGAGTGGGAGTGGGGTTTGAACTCAGGGCTTCATGCTTGCAAAGTAGGTACTCAACCCCTTGAGTCATACCTCCAATTCATTTTGCTCTGGTTTTTTTTTTTGAGATGGAGTCTTATGAACTATTTGCCAGAGCTGGCCTGGAACCATGATCCTCCTGATCTCAGCCTCCTAAGTAGCTATGATTACTGTTATGAGCCACTGGTACCAGGCCCAGGGAACATTTCTTGATAGCTTGCCTTAGAGCTCAGCTCTGACCCTGAGGCATGAAGATTACTACACAGGTATGAAGGTCAGGGGACAGGCTTTCAGTGGGCACTTCTGCAGAGCCCAGGTCTAATGGGGAGCAGACAATGGACACACAGGCTAGGCCCAATTACCAGAGGTTAGAGTTGGCAACAGTACAAGCTGGGAGGCTATTAGGCTGCTTTCCATTGAAGGTGTCTCTGGGGAGGCAGGGACTGAGCTGCCACCTGGTCCAGCTAAGTGAGGAGCTGGAGAAGAGATGAGGAAGAGGGGACAGCAACCACCTATAGATGGGAATAAGACTGGCTGGAAGGAGGAAGGAAAGACTGTAGAAGTTGGGACAGATGGAGCAGGGCAGGATATGGTGTGTGTGGGTGTATGTGCACAGGTGTGATATTTATGTGTGGGGTGTGTGCATGTTGTGGTATGTATATGTGAATGCATGCATACATGCATGCCTGTGTGTGTGTACATGTGTAGGGCATTATGAGTGTGGTGCGTGTGCAAAAGTATGTGTATATATGAATGGGTGATCTATATGTGTGTGCATGTAAATATTGTATATGTGTGCATATGTATGTATGAGAGAGCAGGTTTATGTGGTGTGTATACGGCACGTGTGAAAGACCAGGTCTACATATACTGTGTATGTGCATGAAGGTCTGAGGAGACAAACAACTTGCTGCAGGCCTCACAGATCGAAGGAGACAGTGGGGATTTTGTGTGTGTGTGTGTGTGTGTGTGTGTGTGTGTGTGTGTGTGTGTGTGTGTGTGTGTGTGTGTAATTTGGTTTGAACTCAGGGCACTGCACTTGCAAGGCAAGCACTCTATTGCTTGATCCATGCCTACAGCCCTTTTTGCTCTGGTTATTCTGGAGATAGGGTCTTCCTTTTGACTTAGAGTAGCCTGGATAGCAGTCCTATTTTACATGCTTAGCTTTACACGCTGCATCTCCACTGAGATGCGGTCTCAAAAACTCTTTCCAGGATGGCCTAGAACTGAAATCCTCCAGGTCTCAGCCTTCCACCTAGCCATAATTAAGTATGAGCCACTAGTGCCTGGCCAGTTGCAGAATCTTTTAAGTACAGGAGAAGATGCTGGAAAATCCTCGGCAGGGCACCACTGTGCTCTGACTGACATTTTAAATCTAGATGGCTGTGCTGGAGGATGTGTCATAAAAGGGTTAGGTGTGATTAGAACCTTCCTGAGGTGGCGTAAGGTGATGATAGTGTCCTAGGTAGTGACTGTAGAGATGAAGGAACAAGTTCTGGAGGGAGTGCTGACAGGACTTCTTTGATTAAGATGCAGGAACAAGGACAAGGTCAGAATCAAGGATGAGCCTGCTTCTACCTGGGCAAATGGGCAGCAGGGTGCTGCTTCCTGAGCGGAGTACAGGAACAGCACAGCTAGGAGTGATATCTAAGTGCACACTAGCCACAGTGGAGCTTCCCTGAGTGTCTGTGAGCCCCTGGCTGGGAAGTCGAGCCAGGTGTTCAGATGATCAGTGCCAGGCTGGGCCAGTCTTTCCCTGACCAGCTGGAGAGCTGGGACCCAAGAGCATGGGCCTGGTCCCTGAGCCTGTCTGACCCCATGGCACTCAAAGGCTCTCAGCTCCTTGACTGGGGAATGCTCACCTCCCTCAGAGGTATAATTAGGTAACATGCATCTTCCTCTTTGCTGGAAAAGCAGATGTAGTTGTTGGAGATGAACATCTGACCAGGGATGTGCAGTTTGTTGAATGGCGTCCACAGGGTGCAGCCTGTGTGGCCATCTAGCCGCTCGTCCCTGGGCAGCCGGAATGTGGCCCGGTAGTACTCGTTCTTGGCTCGGGCATCCAGGTCTCTGAAGATACAAAGTGGGAAACAAGCAAAGAAGAGTCAGGGACAGCACACCCTTGAGGAGGTCCCAGTTTTCACATCAGATTCAGCATCCTTGGGTCTGCCAGCAAGCAAGTCATGCCCAGGGATTTCAGAGTTCAAGAAAAGAAACATTATATGACCAAGAAAAATGTGGGACTATAAGACCAGCAGAGAACTGGTAGCACATAACATGCTTTTGAGACATGACTGCTTTGAAAGGACACTTGGAGGCTGATCCAGTGTGTACCTACTACTTGGTATCAAAAGGCAGGCAGGGCCCAGAGCTTCCTGTCCAGCTCAGACCCAGCATGTGGCTGGCTGCTTCTTCACCCTGGGAGGGGCTAATTCCACCCTGAAACACAGGCAAGCTCTCCCAGCAGGGAGTAGTGGAACTAAAGCCAAAACATGCGGTGGCTACTGCTTAACAGAAATGCTTATTCAAGCTGTGGGTGGTAGCCTGGCACCCTGATCCTTGCCTCTTTAGTGGTTCTGTCCACATAAACACATCTTCCCAGCTCCCAAGGGAATCTTCTTTCTGCCTTGGGATGCCAATGCCCTGACCAAGACCTGATCATGCACCCTGACTGACAGGGTACTGCCAAGTTCTAGCCCTGGTTAGTTTCTTTCTGGAAGGTCCTAAAGATACCATGTCATTGCATCAGAAGAGTGACATCCATATATATTATTCTGGTCCTGAAGGTACACTGTGGACCTACATGATGGTCTGTGGGTACAATCCAGGAAATGGTCTGGCTGGGATGAAGTCTCTGACCACGGTGTGAATTCAGCTATGTTTACCCTGGTTGTGGGGTCCAGGGAACTTCTGAGATCTTGGCTGAACTTGCAGGTTTCCTGTGAGGATACAACCATGGGGCTCAAACAAAAGTGATCTGGAAGGGCTGGCTGCTATGATCCATTCCTCTGTCTGACACTTCTATAGACAAGGTAGCAATGACCTCAGATATCCACATGGCCTGTTTCCTCTGTTGGCTTCAGACCTGAGGCCCTGACCTCATGGCCATCAAGGGCCTTCTGTGTCCATCATGATGGAATGGAGGCTGTACACTACAACCCCATATTCACCGGAGCCTTCCAGATGTAGCTCCTGGGGACCTCAGGGCACCCTGCCTGAGGTGGCTCACATCTTGGCTCCACTGCTTGCAAGCTCAGGGATCTCTCTACAACTCAATATCCTGATCTGAGACCTAGGGACAGTAAGAGTACCTTCCCATCTTCCTCCATATCAGCAGTGCTTGTGGGCTATAACCAATTCCTTGTGGTGCCCTCCCCACAATGTACTAAAATGATCTGTTTGTTGGCCTCCTCCTAGGTGGGGGCCTATGAGGGCTGAATGTGGAGATTCTAGGTCCACATATCTGGTCAACTGCCAGGTACCAGGAAGGGTCAGTGGATCTGGCTCAAGTGGGCCCACCTTCACCTGCTGTCCTGCTGTGTGGTCTTGCCATCTCCCAGGAAGGCAACATACCGCTTCAGAGCCGAGATGTTCTTGTGTGGCCGGATGGGCCTGGGCAGCGCCTTGTCCTCCAGGAAGCCCTCACTATCCAGCAGCTGCCTCATGGCCAGGTTGGCCAGCTGCTCCATGAGCTTGAAGGTCTCGCCAATATTGAGGAACATGGAGAAGAAGAGCTCCCGATCTCGGGTGTCCACACGGATGCTCTCAGGGAAGAGCAGGGTGGCATTCTTCTCCAGCCGTGTGACATCCACCCACTGCACCACAAGGCTCACTGGATGCAGGCAGGGATAGATGCACCACTGATCAAAGCTGGACAAAGCAAGGCTCCTGACCCCCATCCACACCCAAAACCTACCCGGGAAGGCACTTCCCTTGAAGACACCATTTACTGTCATCCCTTGGTGCACGGGCCTTACTATGCTGAGACATGTATCCTATGAGGAGGGACCAGACTATTGGATCTCTACTGCCTCCCTGACCAACCATATTCAATCAATATTTGCCCCAAGAATGGATGAACAAGGTAGGGAACAAGTATGCAGAGGTGAACTCTCTGGGACCCTGACCTGGAAGAGCCCCACCAAGTGGGAGCCACTGATGAGTGAACCAAGTCAAAACATGGTGGAAGCAGTGGAGAGCAGGACTTTGGTCTCTGCCTAACAAGGTGACTGGCCATCATTACAGTGTTGACAGGTGAGTGGCAAGGCCAGGAGGAGGGAGAGGGAGGCTGCGGTAGAGGAGCACAGAGGGAGATGGGCTTGGGGAAGGGTGATGACGTCTGAACACTGGGAAATGCTAAAGGCCTGGGAGTGCTTTCTCAGGGTGACAGTGTAGAAGAGGGAGATGAGGGCTGGGTCAGGGAGGGCAGCCAGCACTCTGAGGCCAGGCTATCCTGCAGGAAGGGACCTGCAGCAGATGACAGCAGTGGCACAGGCCCAAGGCAACGCACTACCTGGAAGCACTCAGGGAAAATGTATGCTTTCGAAAACACCAACTTAAATGAAAACCAGGAGGCTGTAAAGAAGGCTACTGTGTGAAGAGTCTTACTAGTGGGATTGTGGATGTAACACAAGCCCTCCAGGAGTAGGCAGATGCTGGAGTGGCCTCATCATAGGCTGCTAAAGTGGTATCTAGGTTCAAGGGAGACCCCCCTCTGGTGGTTGTATGGAGAGAATATCTGGGGACTGAGAAGGGGAAACCCTCAGAGAATGCTGACAGCAGGGAGACAGTAAACTTTCTGGTGGAGAGGTCAGGGGAGCGAGGGAGGGAGGGAGGAGTTGGTGCTCACCTTCCTTCCCCAGCAGGAAGGAGTAGAAGCATAGGTGGTTGACAGTTAGGTAGAGCCAGCCCTGCCTGGGTACTCGGCCCTTCCAATAGCTGCAGGAATAGTAGTTGACCAATTTCTCGCCCTCTGGCATCCCAAACTGCTTCCTCATCTTCAGTTCAGCCTCTTTGAATTTCCCAGGATCTTCATCTCCCTGGGGCTGCAGGTTCTTGTTCTCTTCTGCAATGATACCCTGGAGGGAAACAACAGAACCCAGGCTTGCCCATCATGATCCTGGGCAGGTCAAAGGGAGGAGCCTCAGAGAGGCTCAGGACTTTGGTTTCAGAGCCACAAAGGGGAAGGGTGGGCAGAATACAGCTAGTATTCCTTTCTTCCTGGGGAATGAAGCAGCTGCGCTCTGGCTGGTTTGCTGTCAAGGCACAAGAATGATACAAGCTGCCTGTGTGATTCTAAGCAAGCTCCTAGAACTCCCTGAACTACTGTTATTATTGACTCTGAGCAGTTACTTTTTAAACAGTTTAATGTAAAATTGTTTGACATAAATCTCTAAATATAGTAGAAAATGCGAATACAGAATGAGCATCCTTAATCCCAAAATGCATAAACACAAACTGAAATGCTCCCAAATCTGAAGTTTTTTTTTGGTTAGAACTGGGGTTTGAACTTAGGGCTTCGTGCTTGCAAAGCAGGTCCCTTACCACTTGAGCCACACCTCTGGTCCATTTTGCTGTGGCTATTTTGGAGATGGAACCTCATGAACTATTTGTGGGGGCTGGCCTTTAGCCTCAATTCTCCTGGTCTTAGTTTCCCAAGTAGCTAGGATTACAGGCATGAGCCACTGGTGCCCAGTCCAAATCTAAAAAAAAATTTTTAATTGTGTGGGTCGTAGCCAAAATGCAGGCACAGCCAGACACAGTGTCTCAAGCCAGGAATCCTAGCTACTTGGGAGGCTGAGATTAGGAGGATCTGGGTTCGAGGCCAGCCCAGGCAAAAAGGTCACAATACCCAATCTCAATGGAAAAAGCTAAGGGCCGAGTGCCTGTCATCCTAGCTATGTCAAGAAGCATAAAATAGGAGGACTGTGGTCCAGAATCACAAAAAAGCAAGACCCTATCTCAAAAATAACCAGAGCAAAATGGGCTGGCAGCATGGCTCAAGCAGTAGAGTGAAAAGCCCTGATGAGTTCAAACTCCCAATACCACCAGAAAACCAAACAAACAAACAAAATAAACACAGGCAGATGAAAAAAAATTGTGTAAAATTACCTTCAGGCTATGTGTATGAGGTATATATGAAACATAAATGAATTGTGTGTTTATAATTGGGTCTCATTCCCAAGATATCTCAGGATATGTAAATAATCCAAAAACCTTAAATATCCAAAATCTGAAATGCTTCTGATCCCAAGCTTTTTGGTTAAAGGATACTCAACTTATAGAAGAAAAGTGTATTCAGTGAAAAGGGGGTCTCCCTCTTCCCTCTGCAGCCACTTTCCTGGTTTCCTCACAGGTATCTGTGCACACACACACATATAGCTATTAGCAAATTCACTGTTTTCTTCTTCCTCCTTTCTCTGCCCAAATAAGATCTTCCTATGACCCTGTTCTGTAAATTGCTTTTCTCTCCTAATCCTGCAAGATGTCCTGCATTTGACTCCCTGTGTACCAGGGGACTCCTGCTCTTGACCCACCCCACTCCCTCATCAGCTGGCATTTTCACCAGGCTCAGAGTTCCCACAGACACAGAGACAATCTCGACATCCTGGAGTAAAACAGGCCCTTAGTGTACCTGGCTCAAAACGTATAGCCTATGTTCTAGAATGACACTGGATAAACTAAAGCAATCTAAGGCCTCTGCTGGTGGCTTAGCCTGCTGCTTCTGCTGGATCTTTTGGCTGCCTCACATCCCGTCCTCCTATCTGTGGGTAGGGAAGAAAATCAGGAGCACAGGGGAGGACCCGAATATGAGGAGGTGGAGTCTGCTCTGATTCCTTCTATTTCTCAATGCTATGGTTTGAAAGTGTCCATGGTGTTTGGAGATGGAGCCTTTGGAAGGTAATTAGGGTTAGATGAGGTGATGATGGAGGGGTTCCCATGAGGGCATTAGTGGCTTTGTAAGAGGCCACTACTACAGAATTGCTCTGTCTCACTATGTGATGCCCTCTTGTCATGGTGTAGCAAGAAGGCCTTTACCTGATGTGGCCCCTCAACCTTGGGATGAATAAACTTGTTTTCTTTATAATATATCAAGCATTTGTTATAGCAACAGAAAACATTCAGTTTAGCTAGGGAAGGAAACCAGAATATGTCACCCCCAAATATCCCTTTCTAACACAAGAATTATTTTGAGCTGAAGGCAAATCCAGGAAAAACTCTCTGCCTTTCCCTTTTTGCCTAAAAGCAGGATACAAGTTCTCCTTGACTGGAGATGACTCTGGACTCTTCCCAGCTGAGATGATACCAGAGGTGACTGTGGACAAACCTGCCACTATTAATTCCCCAGGTACGAAAAAGGAACTCTCTTACACTGTTGGTGGGAATGTAGACTAGTACAACCACTCTGGAAAAAAATTTGGAGGCTACTTAAAAAGCTAGACATGGATCTACCATTTGATCCAGTAATACCACTCTTGGGGATATACCCAAAAGACTGTGACACAGGTTATTCCAGAGGCACCTGCACATCCATGTTTATTGCGGCACTATTCACAATAGCCAAGTTATGGAAACAGCCAAGATGCCCCACCACTGACGAATGGATTAAGAAAATGTGGTATCTATACACAATGGAATTCTATGCAGCCATGAAGAAGAACGAAATGTTATCATTCGCTGGTAAATGGATGGAATTGGAGAACATCATTCTGAGTTAGGTTAGCCTGGCTCAAAAGACCAAAAATCGTATGTTCTCCCTCATATGTGGACATTAGATCAAGGGCAAACACAACAAGGGGATTGGACTATGAGCACATGATAAAAGTGAGAGCACACAAGGAAGGGGTGAGGATAGGTAAGACACCTAAAAAACTAGCTAGCATTTGTTGCCCTTAATGCAGAGAAACTAAAGCAGATACCTTAAAGCAACTGAGGCCAATAGGAAAAGGGGAACAGGTACTGGAGAAAAGGTTAGACCAAAAAGAATTAACCTAGAAGGTAACACCCACGCACAGGAAATCAATGTGAGTCAATGCCCTGTATAGCTATCCTTATCTCAACCAGCAAAACCCCTTGTTCCTTCCTATTATTGCTTATACTCTCTCTACAACAAAATCAGAAATAAGGGTAAAATAGTTTCTGCTGGGTATTGGGGGGGGGGGCGCAGAGGGAGGGGGCGGAGTGGGTGGTAAGGGAGGGGGTGGGGGCAGGGGGGAGAAATGAACCAAGCCTTGTATGCACATATGAATAATAAAAGAAAAAAAAAATTCCCCAGGTATACTGACCTTCCCACTCTCCTTCCTCCTTCCCAGGTAGCCTAAAACTGACTTCCTTTGTCCTGTTGTATCCTTTTAAATGCATTCTTCCTTTGTGAAGGTGCTGTCAAAGCCAAGTTCTAACCAACCATGCAGTTGCTCCTTGTTTCTCCCTTGTAGCTATGAAGTCTACATGTTAATAAACTTGAGTTTGTTATTATTTTGTTAAATCTGATTTTTTTTACAGCCCCCCCCAAAAACCTAAGAGAGGAGAAGGAAGAACACATTTTTCTTCTCTCATACTTGCACACTATAGTTGCAATGTAAACATCTTGGCTCTCTCAAGCCACCAGGGGTGCCTCCCTACACTGGGAAGAAGGCTGTGGCAAGGTACCTTCCTCTGTACTTAAGCCTTTGTTTTTGCTACCCCTGTTCCATCTCACTGGAAAGCTGGAAAACTGCCTGCTAGGTTGGGTGTCTCTCAATGGCCCATCTGTTAAAGTCATGTCCTATTGGGATGTGATGGAACCTTTAGGAGGTGGGGCCTAGTAGAAGGTCCTTGGGGGGTTTTGGGGCCCCAGCCTCTTCCTCTTTCTTTTATGATTCCTGGCTGATGACATAAAAGGTTTTGTTCCACCATGATGTACTGCCTCACTACAATCCCAAGGTCATGAGGCCAACTGGCTGTGAACTGGAACTGTCAAAACTGTGATCCAAAGTAAGTTATAAGTAATATATAAGTTTATACCTCAGATATTGCATTACATAGGCCAGCCACTGCTGAAGAATAATTCCAAGACAGGCAGCCATCACTGGCTGTCCTGCCCTTCAGGCTATCCTGGGTCTCAGCAGGCAGCTGCTACTCCCTCACTTTCTCCAGCTGCACCTGGGATCTCCATGAGTAGGGAGCACAGGGGTTGACAACAGCCCGCTCTGCATTCCCTTCTGTCCTCCCCATTGCAGATTCCCCAGCCCCAAGCTTTCAGATGAATTCCCAGCCTGTACTCAGGAGAACTGGTTCCCACACAGGGATTAGTCAGCCAATGGGGCTGGAATTTGTGGTTTACTGCAGATAGACCTCACCTATAAAAATCACTGGGTAGATTTTAGATGAGGATTTAGCTTCTTCAACAGTTTTAGGCATATTCAGGTTTCATATTTCTTCCCCAGTCTCAATTTAAGTAAGCTATATTATGTGGGGACCAACAATGCCACCACCAAGATTCCACCTCCTAATCCCCAGAACCTAAGCATATGTTACCCTATAAAGCAAAAGGGATTTTGTAGAGGTGTTCAGGGATTTTGCAGATGTGATTAAAGATTCTGGGGTTGGGAGATAATCTTGGATCATTTGGGGGAACCCAATATGATCACAAAGATCCTTATAAAGAGGGAGGCAAGAGGGTCAGTGATACAGGGAAATGGTAACAGGAAGGGAAGAGGAGGAGAGACTGATTGAATTAAAGAGATTATAATGCCGGTATTGAAGATGAAGGATGGGGGATGGGCAAGAACCAAGGAATAAGAAGCTGGAAAAGGAAAAGAAACAGACTCTCCTAGGAAGCAACACAGCCCAACCAACACCCTGATTTCCACCCAGTAAGACTTCTGACTTCTGGAACTATAAGATAGTAAATTTTGGTGGGGGTGGTGCCAGGTACTGAATCCAGGGCCTGTGCTTGATGAGAAAGGACTCTATCACTGAGCTACACCCCCAGCCCAGTTTGTGCTATAAACCAAGTTCACTGTAACTTATTGCAGTAGTAACTGGAAATTAATACATACGTAGCATTCTAATAAAGTATATTTTGTCCAAATTCTTAAGTTTATGGGCTTCCTTCTTTTAAAAAATACCCCTGCTTTAGTATAAGTGCTCCTAACATTTTATTTCCAACATGGCTTACTGGAGCTTTCTCTCTTTTGTTCTGAGTCACTTTTACCAAAGGTATGCTTCTATTTTTGGATCTGTTACTCTTCTCTACTGTTCCCTTGTTTTCTAAGGAATTAACCTTGGCCTTTTGTTATTTCCTTCTGCCTAATTTCCTGATTTCTCTAGAGTTCCTTTTCTAACTTACTGAATTGGACAGTTGGCTCATTAACTTTTGCCTTCTTTCAAAACATTTAAGGCTTTAAATTTCTTTCTGTGCATTACTTTTGCTGCCTACCACAAATTCCCATGTATGTGAGTATTTCAATGCTCATTCAGTTTTATATTTCCAATTTCCACCGGCTATAGTTTGGACCTTAAGTGTCTCCCAAAGGCCTGTGTTCAGTGTGTTAAAGGCTTTGTCTTCAGTGTGGCACTAGTGACAGCTGGTGAACCTTTAAGAAGTGGGGCCGAGGGGGAGGTTTTCCAGTCATTGGGGATATGCTCACAAAGGGGATATTGGGACCCCAGTGCCTTCTTCTCCTTTCTCTCTTTTGTGTCCTGGCCATGAGGTGAACAGCTTTGACCCACCATGCATTCCTGCCATGATGTGCTGACACAGACCCAAAAAACAGGGTAATTGGTCATGGGCTAAAACCACCAAAATCACGAGCCAGAATAGATTTTTTCTCTTTATAAGTTGATTACCTCAGGCACTTGTTATAGTTATGGAAAGCTGACTAACAAACCATTTCTTCTTTGATACATGAGTCACTTAGAACTTTATTATTTCGATTACTGGGCCCAACAAATAGGAGGCATTTGATAATGCCATCATAATAATAATATCATCATCACCATCATCATTCAACTTGCTATCTAGGAGAGCAAAGGGTGCCTCTGCCTTCTTTGCCTGTTTTTCTGGAGCTAGACTGTAACACAGGTCCTACCTTGAACCCCAAGTGCATAGAGACGAGCTGAGAAACTTGGTCTTGTCTGTCCAGGTTTATGAAGTTCTAGTATAATGAAGTCACAAGCACCTGCCCAAAGCAACTATGCACTGTGAAACTGGCCAGCACCAGCCCTCCCAGGAATCTAACTTAAGGCAATAATCTAACAACAACAACAATAAAAAGACACATCCATATGTGTCTTTTCTTATAATGAACTATAGAGGTAATCATCCCCTGAAAAAACAACTTAAATATCAACATATCAATTTATAGACACTCATAATTTTCATCAGCATTATCTTGATGGCTGCAAAATATTCCTTTCTACTCAGAAAGCAAAGATCAGGAAGATCGTGATTTGAAGCCAGCCCGAGCAAATAGTTCGTGAGACCCTATCTCGAAAAAACCCATCAAAAAATAAGGTGTAGGCCCTGAGTTCAAACCCCAGTACTGAAAAAAAAAATTCCAGTAATATATCACATATGACTAAGTCCCCTGAAAAATAAAGCACTTAGCAGAATAAGCAGACAGAGAGCACTCAATAAAGACTAGCAAGTATTATTACTTTCATATTACAGAGGAAAGAATAGCTATTTCCCTTTTATCATGGGACTGGGGGGCATGGTTTCCAGTGTCTTTGCTAATATAAGTGTTGCAGGGAACATCTTGAAAGGTGTCATTCTGCACACGTGAATATACTGCAGGGTTAACTCCAAGGAACAGAATTGCTAGATAGAGGCATATACCTTTTAAAATAATGCTAGCTTTATAATAAAAACATACTTCAAAATATCCTATTATTTCCAACTTCTTCCTGTTAGCCAAGGCACTGTGTTGTATATCTGCATATTTGTTGTAAGGTGCTTTGTAAGGAATGGAAACTCCAAGCTAAGCTTCAGTCAGACACAGGCCAGGATAAGAAGGATCTTCATAGGTATGTGAGCTTTCTGTTATTGAAACAAATAACTGAGATAATGAACGTAAAAGGAGAAAAGCTTTATTTTTATTGTGGCTCACAGTTTCAGAGGTTTCAGTCCATGGTTGCTTTACTATGTTGCTGGGGGCCTGTGGCAGTACAGTACATCATGGCAGGGAGTGAGAAACAAATAGAGAGTGGAAGAGGCTGGGATTCCAGTATCCTCACTCAAGAGCACGCCTTGAGTGACTTAATTGCCTTCCTCTGGGCCCCACCCCCTAAAGGTTCTATCACCTCCCAATAATGCCAAAGGCTGGGAACCAAGCTTTCAACCTATGTGCTTTTGGAGGGACATTCAAGATCTAAACTATAGTAATAGGTTCAAATGCCATTTTTCAGCACTAATAGAATGAGAGTGGATACTTCAGTTTCCATGTCTATAAAATGGATATGAAACCTATACCATGTTGCTTAAAGATGAAATAAGATAATATATAATCATCCCTCGGTATCTGCAGGGATTTGGTTCTAGGATCCCCTATAGATGCCAAAATCCTCAGATGCCAAAGTCCCATAAATAAAATGGCACAGTGTCTGCATGTAATCTATACTCATCCTCCTGTATACTTTAAATCATCTCTAGGTACTTACAACACCTAATGCAATACAAATAGCTGTTATGCTGTTTTGCTTAGGGAATAATGACAAGAACAAAGTCTGTACTTGTTCAATACAGACGTAATTTTTTTCCCAAATATTTTTTCAACTTGTGGTTGGTTGACTCCACAGAAGAGGAACCTGCAGGTATGAAGGGCTAACTGTATGTGAACACCACAGCTGGAGAACCGGAGTGAGGACTATTAGAACAAAAGCCTTACGTGGATCTTGCCCTTGACGAAGGTGGTGATATCTTCCTCATTATCAAAGATGGACAGTGTCTGAAGCAAGTTGTTCTCCAGCCATTCCCAATGTTTTGTGATCTCTTTGCGGGAAGAACCTAGGAGAAGTTTGGTAAAGAAAATTCATGAAATTACCACGTCTTAAACATAAATTCAAATAAGAGAGATTAAAATGGGTGACCTAACTTGCTATATTTAACTAACTACAATCTTTAAGCTGCTTGTTAATCTTTTCCTTCTTAAACTTTATATGTATATAAGAAAAGTAATGAACAGTTTTGGTAAAACAAAAAAACAAGAAGTCAGATAGAATTGCAGGAAGTCATGCGGAAGAGAAAGTCTCCACCCCTCCCAACTCCAAGGGAGGTGGCATCACTAGTCCCTCTGTTTCCTAGAAATGGTATGTATCTGCAAGCTTATGAGTTTATCAACTTTTTTTTCCAGTTGAAAGAACATAAGGTGGTCTTTCATCCAGATGTGTCAGCAGACAGACAGACTGTGTAGAAATGGCTCTACTCTGAGACTCAGGCGTCCAAAGGTACCAGCTGAAGTTTCTGTAGGATGCCAAGCCCCTGGCCAGGGGCTCTGCTGGACAGGGAGTAGCCCCTGCTCCTCTCTTCAGCTTCTCCCAGCTGACCTTCCCCCTACTATCTGCCCGCCTAGGAGGCAGCTCCTGTCCTCTGCAGAGAGGGCACTGCAGGTCTAGAAGAAGTGGAAAAACTCAGAGAAGGCAGCACAATGTGACTGGCAAAGGGTAGGAGGACTTCTTGCTCCCATGGAGGAACTGAGAGAGCAGCCCTAGGAGGAGAAGCACAGGGTTTGCACTGGGAAACCTTTCTGAATAAGTGAACAGAAGATACCCTGCATTCTTCTCACTGTCCTAGGGTGGGACAGTTCATGGACCCCAGCAGGCCAAGTTAATCATGTAGCCCAAGGAAAGCCCCAAGTCTTGGTGTGCAGAGAGCCTCAGTTAGGAAACAAGTCCAGTTTCAGTGCTGGGGATGGAACCCAGGGCTCACACATACTAGGCAAGCACTCTACCATTAGGCTATACTCCCAGTCCTGAAGCAGACATTTTTCTAAGGCACCTAATCCCTCACCACCCCATCCTTCCCTAACTGGCAACACTCTTCTGTCAGCTGTACACATGGCTCTGACCCCTTCCTGGTCAGGCTGGGAACGTCTCCAACAGCAGCTGCTCATTGCTATCACAGCCTATCTTAGTAAGAGCTGACTGGTTTCTTGATATCTGCTCAAGGAGTTCACCAACCTAACAGAAAGATCCTCCCGCAATGGGCTTAGGTGATGCCCACGTGAAAATGACTGCCCCAGAATTACTCCACTTACAATGAGTCACACCAGGCAAACAGAATTTCCCTGGAAGTACCTTAAATCATCCATAAATTGTCTTTACTTCCTTTTCACTTTCTTTGCATTTCTATTATGGCATCATTGCCCTGATCTAGTTGGTAGAAAAGGGATTTCTTTCACCCTTTCTCTCTTTTTGCTAAGAGCTCATGATTGAATTTGGAAATTAAGATTACACAGGATGCACCTCACTGCATTATTTTCTTTTACACACACATTCCTGCCAACCTAAAATAGATGAAGTTTTCACTCTGCCTGTATGAATTTGTCAGCATTGTAATTATAAATGCTTGTACTTCTGCATTTAAAAGGAGTTTTATTTAAAAGTAACTTAATAGTCAGAAGGAAACAGACTGTGCCATCTATGTTAGGTACTGGGAATAAAAGGAAGGTACAGGTAATCAGACTGTTAAGTGCTACTTCTGTGTTCAGGACTTTCCATGGATCTTCTTTTGTTCCAAGAACACTGTGGAGATAGGTACCATTACTTTCATCTTATAGGATGAAGCTGAGGCACAGAGAGTAAGTTATTCAAAGTCATCTAGCTGGGAAGTGACCAAACTAGAATCCCAGCCCTGGCTGCCTGGATGTGGAGCCTCTCCTTGCCTTTAGGAGCTCTAGTCTGTAAAAGCACATGACATGGTACAGCCATGTCAAGTAAGAGGGAGGGTGTGGCTGGATCTGGGGAATCTGGGGTTTCCCACGTGACATCCAGATGGGCTCTCACAGAGCAGTAGCACGATGCACAGAGCCAGGCAAGGTGGGGTTGGAAACCTCAGGCTTTGCAAGCTTGTTGGCTGCCACCATGTGGGCTGGGGAGGGGCAGCCAGGAATGAAGGTAGGAGGACCCTGGACATCCTTAAATGCCAGGCTAAGTGTTCAGGATCATCACTGGGCAGGTGCCAGCAGGACTGTGTCTGGTTTTGGTGATTGCTTCTGGGATCCAGCCCAGATGGTGGGGGACAGAGGCACAGGCAGAGATCAAGGAAGGCAGTACTGATTTGGGGATTACAAATACAATTTTAGCAAGTAGGTGAATCTGAAAACATGGAATCCTCAATAAGGCCCAACTGTATGTAATTTGAGAAAGGTGGATGGGAATGTGGTGCTGGAGAACCCTGAGTTGAGCCCTTGGAGTCACGTAAGGCTGTCCTCTGCCTGCCCTGTCCCTGGGAACACAGGAGCTGCCCCCAAGCTGGAGAGATAGTGCCTCTGTTTCCCTCTTGCTGGTCTGCACTATGCCATCTAAATGAGGGGCAGTGTGAGGTTCTCAATGGACACCACCCCACCAGGAATGCAGGCTGAACATTCCTTCCCTCCTAGAGGTGACCTCATAACTTAGGGTACCTACCGCATGCCACTGTCCAGTAGACTTGCGAGTCCTGAGTCTGGTGCAGGATGCGGTAAGGGGCCACTCGGGCACTGGAGTCCAGCACCACATCCAGAGTGCCTACAAGGAGACCTGGGATCAGAGCAGAGAGATGTGTAGGGTAAGAGGCTGGCTGTGCTGACAGGCTCCGGGGCTGGAGCCTGGAGGAAGGTAAGCCAGGATGGCAGGAAGTCCAAGCGAAAGTAGGGACACACATCCTGAATTACCCTCAAGGTCAAACAGCTTCTTTTCTCTTGATGGCCTCCAGCCAGATCCTGATCTCTCAAAAAAATCCCTTACTTCTTCCCGAAAGCAAGTGCTTATTTTCCTGGCTCAGAAACACTTGTGGGCAGGGGCACATGCAGGCTTGACAGGACTCAAAGCTTAAACAATTCTGGGAGGCTCTTTCAGAAAAACACAAAATTGGATTGAAAACAAGTATTTATTTATTTAGTGTTGCTGGGGTTCAGACCTGGGGCCTTGCTCATGCTAGGCAACACTCTACCACTGAGCTATGCCCCCACCCAAGTATTTCTTTAACAAGAGGAAATACCCATTTTACAAATTAAAATAACAAAGAACTATACCACAATATCACAAAAATCCAGAAAAATAACACAGTATCTTTTCTATTACTGTTGTTGATTTTGGAGACAGGGTCTCACTACATAATTCAGGCTGGCCTCAAACTCAATCCTCCTGCCTCAGCCACTAGAGTGCAGGGATTACCGGTGAGCATCATCACACTTGCTTTACACTTATTAACACAGCTTCTATTAGCTGCCTGACACATCTCTTAAAATGTTCCCCTTCCCTCTGACTTTTGGCAGTGAATTGTTTGCTTCTTCACAGGACAATAATTTTGTAACATCATCTTCCATATTAAGAACTGTAAGACAACAGTAGTTGTTCTTCTGCCATGGATTGCACATTTTTATTTCTGAAAGTGGAAAGAAGTTTCCTACAGCCTCAAGAGTCATGGCTGAAAAGGACACATACATTTCTAGAGCTGTCAAGTTGGGAAAATCCTGATGGAGTTTTTTCATCTCTGAACAGAAGCATTTTAGGGCATTTCAAGTTTTCCCTCTCACCATGTGCATCTACCCTTTGAACGGATGGCACGTGTAGTTAGCCTCTGGTAGTGCTCTGTCAATGTCATTATTTCCTGACAAATCAGCAGGAAATACTTCCATTGCTGTCTGATTCACTTTTCATTAAGTAAGTGATGAAGCGATCTAAAATCCTTCTTATTCTTCTTTTTTAAAAGAAGAAAATTTGGAATGGTCTGAACATATGCTCCCATCTTCCTGATGATACTACAGGCAATTTCTATTGATTTTATTACTGGACTTTAACACTTTTGTTTCCTAGTCCACTCTTTATTTTTGGCAGTACCGAGGTTTGAACTCAGGTCCTTGTACTTCCTAGATAGGCACTCTACCACTTGAGTCATGTCCCCAGCCCTTTTTACTTTAGTTACTTTTTGGATAGGATCTCACATTTTTGTCCAGGTTGGCCTCAGACCAAGATCTTCCTACTTATGCTTCCTCAGTGGTGGGGATTACAGAGGCTTACCACCATACTCAGCTTGTTTGCTGAGATGGGAGTCTCAATAACTTTGCCCAGGCTGGCCTCAAACTGAGATCCTCCTGATCTCAGTCTCCCAAGTAGCTGGGATTACACACACAAGCCACCACACCCAGTCTAGTCCACACATTTTTAATCTTATTTGTTCTCCAGGCTTTAATAAATACAACGAACAATTATAAAACAAGGTACTCTTTACATACATCCAAATCAGAAATTTGATTTCTCACTTGTTTTAAATGTTCTAAAATGTATCTCTAAATTAACAATTAAAAGGGCATATTTGGGGTTTATAGAGTTTGGAATAAATCTTTTTGCACTGTTTATGTTGAGGGCTCTCTTTCGGTTTTGGAAATTTTATTTAGAGTTTAAACTGTTGGCAGAACCATGTGGCGGAATCTGAAAGCTTTTCAATGGGTTGACCACCTCATCACACTTTAATGAAAAGTCCAGGATGGCAGGTTTTAAAAGATGGCTGGAATAACTGTTTCACTGACAGTTCTCTCCAGGGGAGACAGTGCTCTCCAGGGGAGACATGATGTCTATGATGGCACAAGGAATGCCATGACAGAGGCCAAGGCAGGAGGCACAAACATAGCTGGAGGAAGGTTAGGGGAGTTTAGGAAATGGCTCCCTGGGGGATGAGGGGGTCTTGGGAGCTCAGTCCTGGGGGACACAGAGAGATGGGTGATGTAACAAAAGCCACTTGCCACCCACTGCCTGGTTTTCCTCAGTGGGCTTGCTGAAGCTTCCAAGGTTGACCACTGGACTCTCTAAAATGAGGTTGTGGTTAACTCTACTGAACAGCTTGGTCCTGGAGACAGGTCCCAGCCCTGTGACTCTCCAGGCCCTTTGGGAGGGAGCCCAAGAATTGAAAGGAACACTGTGTTTTCTTGGAAATGGTACAGTCGCTTCCACATTATGAAGTATGGCCCACGAAAGGCTGGCAGCAGAGGTCACCCGTGGGAAGCCTCCCTGGGCATCTGGCAGGACTGTCTCAGCTGTTTGAAAATCAGGACGTTTCACAGAAAATTCTTCCGGTAAATTGGAAGATCTGGCAGCACTGGGATGCATTCCTGCACGGTAACAATCAGCACCGGGAGGAACACAAGCACTGGGTTTCCCTCAGGGCAGCCCTGGGCATGGCTGAGCTCTGTTCCAGCGGGTGGGTGCAGGCCAGGGGAGCAGAGGGGCTTTGCCAACAGCTGCTGAGAGAATGCCCAGGGGACCCCCCAAATCTAGCGCCACACGACTTCAGCGGTGGTGCTCCACAAGGGGCACCTGGCTTGGTCACGAGAACACTCCACACTGGTAATTAGTTAATTAGTGACCCACACTTGGGTTAGCAGCTCTGATGGCAAGAAAGGTGGGCGAGGAGAAGCTGGAGGAGGGAGGCCTCTGATTTTCATAGAAGGGCTATTCTTGAGTGGAATGGGAGTAAAGGAGGGGGCAACACGTAACGTGTGCTTGTGACATTTAGGGAAACTGAGGCAGGCAGCGGCTTGGGAGTTCTCGCAGACTTGCAGCCCCAAGAAGCCGCACACGTGACGGCAGGATGCCGGATCTCAGCAGAGGCCACCGGCAGTGTCCACTTGGTGGCCCTGCCGCCCAGCCGGAGCGCCTTCCTTCTTTGAGCCCCGCGTCCTCCTCCTGCCCTCCCACCCCGTCCCGCCCTCCCAGGCGACCCCGGCCAGCTTCACTTCGCGCCCCCGCGCTGTCGTCACCTGCTCCCTCGCCTCGCCTCGCGCGCGGCTCCTCTCGCACTCCCGCCCCCGGCCTCGCGCCGCGCGCTGACGTGCGTGTCCGCGGCGCCGCGCCGACCCGGGCCTGCCCCGCGCGTCCGTCCCCGCCCGGCCGCCCGCGCGCCTCTCACCCGTCAGGCCTCCGCCCTTGCCGTGGCCGCGGCGCCGCTGCAGCACGAAGAAGGGATTGGCCCGCTCCGTCACCCACAGCGCGTTGGCCACCAGCACCTCCTCCGGGCCCAGCCACATCGCGGGACAGCTCTCACAGGGCCGAGGCCCGCGAGGCGGAAGCTCCCGCCACCGTCGCCGAGCCGGAGCCGAGCGGGCGGGGTGGGGCCGGAACGGCCGGCTAGCCCGCGCCCCCTGGTGGAGGCAGAGGGCAGCAAGACGTAGGCCCGAACCGCTCCGCCGCGCAGGCCCCGTCCCCACCCGGGCGCTCCGCCCCGCCCAGGCCCCGCCCCCTCCCAGGCTCCTCCCCGCCAAGTCTCCGCCCCTGGCGAGGCTCCGCCCTCGGATCAGACTCCCCCTACTGGGGTTCTGTCCCCGCCCAGGCTCCGCCCTCATCCAGGCGCCCCCTCCCCCCACCCCGACCGGGTACCGCCCAGGCTCCACCACCCGACTCCCTCGACCTCTGCAACCTGCCTAGTCTCGGAAGAGGGGCCTCTCTGCCCTGAGGACCGCCCAGTCCTAAGGGCAAGGGGACCGGGGGTGCACAGAACAGGGGCTCCGGAGAGTTTAGAGAACACCTGTCCAGAGTTTGGAGAGAAAATGTAAAGAAAGAGCCCTTTAGCGATAGATCCTTGGCCAACCGTGCAACTCAGTGCATGTTGATGTTGCGCGGGGCGTCTGCAGAAGGGTAGGCGGTAATTCTCAGATGGCGACACTTGAGTTTGATTAGAGACATTTTTTTTTCATTTTTCTTTTATTATTCATATGTGCATACAAGGCTTGGTTCATTTCTCCCCCCTGCCCCCACCCCCTCCCTTACCACCCACTCCGCCCCCTCCCTCTCCCTCCCACCCCCTCAATACCCAGCAGAAACTATTTTGCCCTTATTTCTAATTTTGTTGTAGAGAGAGTATAAGCAATAATAGGAAGGAACAAGGGTTTTTGCTGGTTGAGATAAGGATAGCTATACAGGGCATTGACTCACATTGATTTCCTGTGCGTGGGTGTTACCTTCTAGGTTAATTCTTTTTGATCTCACCTTTTCGATTAGAGACATCTTCAAGAGCCAATGGTGGTTGGCGGAAGGCTCCCAGGAGACTAGTGTCTCGGAAATCAGTGCAGTCACCTCGCCTAACACATGGGGTCACTGGGACTGGGTGGCCTTGGGGTTAGGGTTACCTCTGGTCCCTAGAAGTAGGGGTGATTTCTGTGTACCCCGGGGCAGGCAACTTGCCTTACTGCGGATGTGGATCAGTGTTCCTTCCCCCATCCCCCACCCCGTGCTGGTCTGCAGGGCACAGAACCACTCACTCACAGTCCCAGCCCTGGGCATGTGCCACTGTACCATGAAGCAACATTAACTTGACCATTAAACGTGGCCATTGAGGGGTCTGAGTACCAGGCATGGGGGATAGAATGGTGAACAAGACAGTACATGACCTTCAAGTCAAGGGTGCTTAATTCTCTCTGGGACAACAGGTATGAATCCATAATGTGGGGAGGGGGTGAGCAACTGGGATGTGGTATCACCTGCTGGCCTGAGCCCCAAGGAGGGAAGGGAGTTCATTAGAATGGTCCTGGGAGGCTTGAGCTGGTCTTGAATTGTATCTCTTGTCACTGGCATTCAATGATCTTAGTATGACAGATGTAGGTATGGTTCAGAGTCTTCTGAAAACTTGCTTGCACCTCAATCAACTTTCAAGATGTACAGGCTGGCTTTCCTTAAGATTTTGGAAGCATAAACTGATAATGTCATTATGCTCGCTACAGAAATCTACTCTCAAGAATTTGAAAGTACTGTTACCCCCTGAGAGGAGGTAATGGGTTATCTTGGATGTTTTTGTTACAGGGGCTCTCAAATTTGAGCATGGGCTAGGGTCATAGGGCTTTGTGAATCACAGATTGCTGGGCCCTACCCCACAGCTTAACACATTCATTTGGTGATGTTGCTGCTGTGGTGGAGACTACTCTTTGAGAGCTATTCTGTATTAGAAGGAAAAGAACATTTTATGAGCAGTTAATATGTGCTAAGGCTACTTCTTTTTTTCTGTGATATAGTTCACATTCCATAAAATTCACCTTTTTAATAAAAATGCACCATTTAGTGCTCAAAGTTGTGCAACCAGAATTGCTATTTAATTCTAGAACTTTTTCATCATTCCAAATGGAAACCCTGTATGCATTAGTAGTCCCCATCTCTCCCTTGCCCCAGGCCCTGGCAACCACCAATCTGCTTTTGTCTTTATGGCTCTATTCTGGACATTTCATGTACAAGGGATCCTACAATATGTGGCCTTTTGTGTCTGGCTTCTTTCATTTACCATAATGTGTTCAAGATTCATTCATTCATGTTGTAGTATGTGTCAGTGCTTTTCTTTTTTTGGGGGGAATGGCATTTGAATTCAGGGCTTCGTGTTTGCAAAGCAGGCGCTCTCCGGCTTGAGCCACACCTCCAGGTCATTTTGCTCTGGTTATTTTGGAGATGAGGTTTGAAGAATTGTCTGGGCTGGCCTCAAACCGTGATCCTCCTAATCTCAGTCTCCTGGATTGCTAGAATTACAGGTGGTGAGCATCAGTGCCTGACTATTTTTTTGTGTGTGTGTGTCTTGAACTCAGGGCCTTCACCTTGAGCTATTCCACCAGCCCTATTTTTGTGAAGGGTTTTTCCGAGATAGGGTCTCATGAACTATTTGCCTGGGCTGGCTTCGAACTGTGATCCTCCTGATCTCTGCCTCCTGAGTAGCTAGGATTACAGGCATGAGCTACTGGCATCCACCTGGCAGGGTTTCATTTTTTTTATGGCTGAATAATTGAATAATATTCCGTGTTATGGATATGTCACATTTTGTTCATTCATTCATCACTTGATGGGCACTGTTATTTCCACCTCTTGGCTATTATGAATAATGCTGTCATAGACATTTCTGTATGAGTTTTTTTGTGAACTTGTTTTAAATTCTTTTCTATATACTATATATGTAAAGAGTGGTATTGTTGGGATATACGTTAAGCTATGTTTGACTTTTTTTTTTTTTTTTTTGAGGTACTGGGGTTTGAACTCAAGGATTTATGCTTGCTAGGCAGGTGCTGGAGATATGCCTCCAGCTGTATGTTTGACTTTTTGAGCAACCACCAAACTGTTTTCCAAAGCAGCCATGCCACATCACATTCCTACCAGCAGTGTATGAGAGTTCCAGTTTTCATCCATTGATGCAGGTTATTGTCTGTTTATTATAGCCATTCCTAGAGGGTGTGACGTGATATCTCACTGTGGTTTGGATTTGCATTTCCCTAATGATGAATGATGTAGAACAGCTTTTTGTGTGCTTTTGGTCTTATTTTCTTTAGAGAAATACCTATTTATAACTTTCATTTTAAAATTGGGTTATCTTTTTATTTTTGAGTTTAAGAGTTCTTTATGTGGGTTACATACACATTATTGGAAACTACATTGTTATTGGGTATGAGATATTAAGCCTACTAATTTTAAATCTAATCTGCCCCTCCCAGATCAACACTATTGGGTAGGTACTTTGTGATTTTAGAGATGTAAAAACTGAAATCCAGACAGGTGAAATGATTTGCCAAGTTTACACAGCCCATGGCAGAGGTGGTACTGACATCCAGACCTTTATAGCTCTAGCTCTTTCCCACACATTTGGACTCATCAGCTTCTCATTTGTGTAGAATGGTGATGCTGAATGTGCCCTGGGATGTAGCAGTGGAGCTGTGCTGTCTAAGGCAATTGGTGCAGCCTTTTTCTGGGACTGTAGGAGCTGGTCTGTGATAGCCATGTGCCTCCAATTGGCCTTGGGAAGTAGACCAGCTCTTGTGCTAAGGGGCTATGGGCACACTGAATGGAGCATCACTGGAGGAAGCAAAGCTGGCGGATGTATTCTAGTGTCAATGTTTGAAGGCCAAATCACACCACACCTGACACAGGTATCCCCCAGGCACTTTAGCCTTTGAGAACCATTACAGTCCCCTTTTGCTTTAGCCAATCTGGGTTTTCTGTCATCTGAACCAAGAGTCCTTACTGGTACATGTCATTACCAACATTACTCCATGTGGTCCAAACAGCTTTTTCAGCAGGTTTTTATTGAAATGGTTATATTAGCAAATTCCACACGTACAGGTATACACTATTGGCATGTAGGCATATTCCACACAATTTCACTATTAATTATACTCACATCATCCGTGTGGACCCAAGACACTTCCAAGGGTTGATGGATTTGATTGTCATGAAATCAGCTCACGTTGTACTTTCATGTATTTGTGTTCTAGACAAGGTAATTCCCCCTGTAGTGAGCCCCCAAAGTAAGCTAATGATCATTTTACTTCCTGATATTTGATGTGTGTTCTTTCTGGCACAAGCATTCCAATGGGTGAATTAAAACTCAAGTGCATAGTTTCCTTTTCATCCCTCAAGGTGCTTCTGCACCTTACCATTTGCCACATTTACATATATCCCAAGCTTCCCCCACCCCCAGATTACCTGTGCTATGGTTAGAAAAATAGTTTTGTATGCCATCCTCTGAGACGTTGTGCATAGTTAGCAGGAACCCGAAGTTAGAGGGGCTCTTTGAATGACCCAAATATGAAAGGTGTAACCTTAGTGTTTTCTATGAGTATAAAAGCTACTGAGGGTCAAAAACAATTGTGACATATGTGGCCTAGGATTTAAGTCTCTTCTTGTGCAGAAACAGGGTATTTCTATGAGGTGATGGTGCTCTCCATGCCCCTACATCATCTCCTAGCTCAGAGTTTTTTCCTGTTTCTATAAGCACACTGGTCCAGTTTTCTTGGACAGAGAGAGCTATTGCCACTCTGGAGTCCATCTTGCTTCTTATGTTGGCTCAAGACACGAGATTCTGGCTCAAGCAACAGCCAAGGGAGCCCATCTTCAAGCTGTGTCAGCAAGCCAGGCCAGGACTGCCAGGGATGAAGAAGAGAGGTAGAGTACTCTCCACCCTTCTCCACGTGGCATGTGTCATCATAGGCTGGGCCCTCTACAAAGGCGCTGGGACATGGAACCAGGCTACACCTAGTGACCAGGCCCATCAAGCATGGCCACTGGTCAGCAGGAGCAGCTTGCTCACCTGAAGGAAAACAAATGGCTTGGGATGTTATATTCTACCTAACCCTCCCACCTTTTTTTTAAA